AGACTGGACAAGCCTGCAGTGCATACTGGCAAGCATGGGAACCAGGTTAGGGGGCAGAACTGATAGGGGTTTTAGGGAGTCGCCTCAACTAGGCTGCAGCTCCAACTGGTTTGCATGAAGACCGAGTATGAAGTGGGTAGAATCGAGCTGGACTACAACACCCATTGGTTCACAAGGAAGACAGGGCTGGAAGCCGAACGGACCCAGTAATCGCAACGACCAGCATATGCATAGGCTGATTGGTGTGACGAACAGTGTTGGAGTCTGTACTAGCAAACTCACTCAAGAATCAGATCTGGGATCAACTCAGATGAAGTTTCTTTGGATATTTCTCCAACTGAACTGCTGATCTTGGAACCCCAACCATCAAGAGACTGTCAGCCAGTGGACTCTGAATAGGTTTCATTACGGTTGGGAAGGAGAGATTGGCAGCAATCCAGAACTGATGAACTATCAAAACTGTATGAGCAGGACCCTTGGAGCGCGCCTCATGTTTGGGATGGGGGATGGGTGGGAGGTAGGGTGGGGCTTTCCCCTTTGTTACTCCCCTAACCCTACATACAGGGCAAAATGATTATATTAGTGTGGAAACAATGATATTACCCACTTTCACCCTGTAGCCCGTGACCCTTTGTACCCTAATAAACTAAGATTATTAAAAAAAAAATAATAAAATAAATAAATAAATAAACCTGCTAGTTAGTATTTAGATACTTAGCCCAATTTTAATTATTTAGTGTTTCCATTGATTTTAGAAGTTATTTTGTTTTAGTTATTTAGTATTGAGTAATAATTATTATCTTTGTTCTGTTTTTTTTTTTACTGTTACTTATTCATTCACCAGGTAGATCAGCAGCAAAACTTTCTGTAAGATATGTCCAAAACCACAAAATGAATACATAATTTTTAAAGTTTTTGGGAAAATGTAATTAAGTTGTGAAAAATTGAAATCCATGATAATTGCTCATTAATACGTATTTTTCACAAAAGCATTAAAGACCCCTCATAAGACCCAAATAAGATTTATCTAAATGGTTGCGTTGCCGAGGAAGTGGGGAGACAAAAAGAAAGCTCTTGCATCTGCTGGTTTGCTCCCCATATTGCTACACTAGGAGCCAGGAGCTTGTTCTGGGACTCCCATTAGGATTCAGTGGTCCAAGCACTTGGGCAATCTTCCTCCATTTCCCATGAATCATAACCCACTGTGCTACAACCCCACGGAGGCTTCTTTCCGATGTGTGTGTCTGTCCATCAAGGGTAAGCTTTGCTTTTTCCTTCCCGTTTCTCTCAGTCCCTCTTGGCAGACAAGGTGGCAATTTGCACACTTCTCTTGCTGCTTTTACTTCCATGTGATATATGTCATTCCCATTCATATGTCATCAATCAGAACAGGGGTTATAAGTCTGTCTATATGCTTTTTATTGTAGCCAGATACGTACTTCCGCTGCAGAAAAAAAAAAACACCATGCATAATGCTAAGGGATAATTACGTATGCACCATCACCCCCATCACCAATTTGTATTTAGAATCCTAATCCTAACCTCCATGCGACTGTATTTGGAGACAGGGTTTCTAGGTAATAATTATGATTAAACAAGCCAAAGTGCAGGGTGTTAACATCGTGGGATCAAGGCCTTTAGAACAAAGGGAGAGACCCTCGCTTCATCAAGTAAGGACAGAATAAGAAAGCTGCAATCTGTAAGCAGGAAGAGACATCAGCACCGAACCAGCTGGCTCATTCCCGTGTTCTTCATCCTGAATCACTGAGACACAACACTCCTTAGTCCACCCAGTCTATGGTGTTTATTTATTATGGCTGCCAGGGCGATAATCCAACTTTAGAAAAGCTCTTTTTGTTGTTGTGGCTGAGTGTATTTGGGGTCTTTTGAGCTTTCTGTATCTGTTTTGCCTCTCTTTCAAGACTTGGATAGTTTTCAACTAATTTTTTTACTTTACTTCTTTATATGTTTGCCTGACTGGGTTATATCAAAAGTCTAGTCTCATAGACATTCTAACTTAAGCTTTATTGAAACTCACAGTTGCCATCTCCCCGAGTTTCCTAATTATTTTTTGTTGTTGTTCTTTGTTTTTGCGTTTCCTAGATTTCCTTGGGTTCAGGCCTACCTCTGGATGCATGATGCTGGGGTTTGTGAGCTTGTCACTAAGCATCCTGGGCCAAGAGCTGCTCTAAGGGAATCTCTGCTGCCTGGCCCTTTAGAACTGTGCACTAGCTGCTCCAGGCATTGGCTGAAAGGAGCTGGGGAGACTTTCTCCAGGTCATGCAGTGAGCAAGCCCAACTACAAGGTTCCAGAGTTCACGTAACTCTGGTGTTCAGAATGGCCGGCTCTTTCCTGGGAAGTACCTTGATCTGGTAGAGATGGGATGATGTGTTCTTCCCAGTGACAGATGGCATTTAGCTGTATAGCATCGTTTCAGTTCTGATGCTATGGGAGCAGAAGGAGGCAGTGTGAATTCTTTTTTTTTTTTTTTTTTTCAGAGCTTAGTTAGCTTTCTGGAGTGAACTTAACATCAGTGAAGGCTGTGTAATTCTCCTGCAGCCGGGGTTCTTAGACTGGTGGAGGTGGACTAACAGCCCTCTGTCTGCTTTTTCCCAGAAAGATGCTATCCTCCAGATCACAGAGTCAGGGAAGGGGCTGTGGCAAGCTGTGTTCCTCTGTCTCTGCTGGCTTTCAGAACTTATGTTCCATTTGCAGTTTTTTTTAAAGTTGTTAGCTAAATTTTTTTTTTCTGAATTTCCTGGAAGTCAGATTCTTCTTTTGTTGTATAGGAGCTTTTCTGTAGCTCAGTGAATGCAGATTCTTTCTGGTCAGTCATCTTGATCTGCTTACAATGCATGAAGACGTGCGTTGCTTGAGCAAGGAGGGTTCCCTGCTCCCCCTTCTCTAGATCCTGGACACTTGTCAATTTCTTGTCAGAAAAGTCCTTGCCAGGGCTGGAAACAGAACTGACCCAGCAATTGCAAGCACCAGCATGTGTATAAGATGCTTGGGGCGACGGACTGTGCCGGACCCTGTGCTAGCAAACTCACACAAGAATTAGGTCTGGGATCATCTCAGATGAAGTTTCTTTGGAGATCCCTCCAACTGAACTGCTCATCTCAGAACCCTAATCATGAAGAGACTATGTCAGCCAGTGGATTCTGAAGAGATTTCATCGTGATTGGAATGGCGAGATTGGCAGCAATTCAGACCTGTTGATCTATCAAAACTGCTTGAGCAGGACCCTCGGAGCGTGCCTCACATCGGGAACCTGGGATGGGTAGGAGGTTGGGTGGTGCTTTTCCCTTTGTTTCTCCCCTGACCGCAAATACAGGGAAAAAATGATGATATTAATGTGGAAACAATGGTATTACCCACTTTCCTGTAGCCCTTGACCCTTTGTACCCTAATCAAAAAAATAAATGGTCAAATGATTAAAAAAAAAAGTCCTTGCAAACTGCTTCTCAAGGAAGGGGTTTCGTTTTGAAATATACCAACCCCTTTATCCTTTACTGGTCACAGTAAATTATGCTGTCCTTTAACCAAATCAGACTAAGTTCCCAGACAGATGGGCCTCTTAATCTCCAACACCATTTTCCTCATTTTAAAACATGTATTTTATTTTTGTGTCAATGTTGGGAAGTAGGAAGACTATCTTTCCTAGAAGTTTTCAAATGATAAAAACATCCAATCGAGTAGGAATGTTTTCATTGTTAAAAAAGTAATTCAGTAAACATGATAGAGTGTAACGTGACTTTAATTCGCAATAATCTATAAAACATAATATAAGCAAATAGAAGGCAGCAGTTCCAAGGTTTCAATCAAAATAGTGTCAAGGGGAACTGTTTATCACCATGATTGGATTGTTGCATTGTATGTGTGTGTTGCACTGAATGCTATAAATACGTACAACCATTGTTAGCAGTCATTTTTAAAAGCAATTCATGTGCAAATTAGATTAAAAACCACAGATGAGCAAGAGCTAACACAAATCATTCTTCTCTCTCTATTCAGGAAAAATCACCTGTTCACCTATATATAATCTTGATATATATGTTACAACCTTTTTGTCATTGCAGTTAACACACACACAGTATTTTAAATGTGTTGACATTGTGAACATACTGCTGTAGAACACGTTTTGCAAGTTAATATATCCTAAAAAGATTTTTGTGCCTTTAACTATTAATGGCATATTAATGAACCATTTGAAAGGCAGAGTGACAGACAGGGCAATATAGACAGACAGAAGGAGAAAGATTTCACTCATAGTTTGGTCTTCAAGCGCACCTGCCGCCCCAAGCTTGGACTAAGCGAGGTCAAAGTCAGGAGCTAGGAGCTCCACCTGTGTCTTCCATGTTGGGGACAGGAACCCAGGCCCTTTGAACACCATGTGCTGCCTTGCAGGTACACTAGCAGAAAGCTGGATGAGAAGCAAGCAGTAGCTGGGACTTGAACCGGTACTCCAGCATGGAATGCAGGCATCCAAGCAGTGTCTTAACTTGCTGCACCACAAAGCTCACCCCCCCATCTACATTATCAACTGTTATTCTACAACATGTTTTCATGCAATGGTTGAACCATCCTTTTCAATCAATGTGTTCCCAACTCTTAACCATAATGAATACTCAAGTCCTCACCCAATTCCACCCCATTTTAATGTTCAGTTAGGTCACCATCCCCTATCCTATAAAAGGAAGGCCCTGAAGTGGTACGCAGCCACCGTTCCTTAGGACAGCAACCTCCTCATGAAGAGAGATTGCTTACGTTCATGTCTGAAAGTGTACTCTCCCATTGAATAAATTTGGTTTTCCTGTGCATTCTAAAACTCAAATAGGACAAAAATATATACTTTCAAATTTTAGAAGAAAAACATCCTTTGCTCTTTTGAGTTTAAGCAATTTGCTAATTAAAGTTTCTCAACTTAGGTTTCCTGGATTTGGGAGTGACACGTCCCATACCATGTGACATTCAGTAGCTTGCACCATCTGTTCGGATTTCAAGTGTATCTTGCCTTCTCTGTGGCAAGAGCCAACCTACGGATGTTGGCTATGCAACCAGCTGCGGCTTCCTGGAGGTCTTGGTCTGAGGAGCCAACCATATCCAGGAGAAGCTGTCATCAAGGACAGGAGGACAAGGGAAACAAGATTTTAAAGACACAAAATTAGGTGGTTAAAAAATAATTTTAAAAGGTAAATACATGCAACAGTCTTTGCATTCAACTGCCTCTCTATCTCTCAGATGATTGCTATTGCAACCACCCATGCAAGGTTGAAATAGAAATTTTCTACATTGTGAAATTCACCAGTAAGAGGAAAAATTCTAAAAAAGAAAAGGGTACTCTCAATCTTCTGAAATGTAAGAGAAGATAATACTGTTGTTTTTCTCCTGGTGTGGATTCCGTATCTCTGATGTCGCCGTGCGGAAGGAAAACACTGGGAACACGGCCCACGCACTGAGAGTGGACAGACTTCCTTCCCTTGTCTTCAGAAACAAGGCAGATATCACCTATGTGACACCTAGACTATAGCAGGAACTTCATCAATATGAGTTGGACTTACCAACCTAACTGGAAGGTTTAAAAGCTGTTAGGATAAGCACACCCACCATTATCTACTTGAAATATGTGCAAGGGAAGCAACTTCTCATTTATCTGTTGCCTATGATTGCTAAGTTTGCTTGCTCATAGAGTTCTAGTCTGAACACAGTTTCGCTCCAGAGTTTGGAAGGCATTGTTCTATTGTCTTCTTACTACAATGTACTCCTTGCCACCAGAAAGAAATACAAAGTAGTTTTGAGAAAGACGTACAAAGTAGTTTTTATTCCAGCTGTGTGGTGGAGCTATCATTTCTCTTTCCATATAGATACATCTGTATGTATCTATCTTTTGAGCATTATGGATTTCTTTGTACTTAACATGCCATGATGTTTTATAAGTTCATGGATCTGCTTTTCTCCATTGTATGTGGGATACTTGATGGAAACTTTTTTTTTTTTTATGGAACTTTTTAATCTGGCCTGTCATGCACTTTAGTTCTGAAAGATTTTTTTTTTTTGAATTTTCAAATTTCCTTTCTATCTTCTTATATTCTCCCTTTGGGAGTGACATTCTGATGTTATATCTTCGACACTGTTTTTTCATTTATCTTTCCTGTTCTGATTTTTAATTGATAAAAAGATGAGATTTCACAATTTTCACAGCACAGATTAAGGAGCCTAAGAATTCCACTATCCCTCTTTCCCCCTTCCATTCCTGTCTCCTCCACTTACTATTTTCTCCTAAATTTTTACACTAGCATATTCATTCACTTCACAGTAACAAGCTTAACTTTTGGTATTTAAACATTTCAAGACACAGCAAGTAGGGGAAAGGAAAAAATTAAACTGAAATAAAAAAGGAAATCCTGTTATTATTCATAATCCCCAGCATGCTAATCTCACTTAGAGATTACATTTTTTGTGGTTGGTTTCATCTATTTTTTTCCTTGTATTTGGAAAATTTCATACACCTTATTTTTCAATTCTTCTACTGAGTGAGTGTTTTCTAAATATTATTTTTTAAACTAAAATCTCGTTCTGGTTTCATGAATGCTATAACATTTCTATAACACGGTGAATGTTAATGGTTATAATGAAATGCTCCTTGCTATATTTGCTACTGTTTGTCTGGGTCTCCATCTTGTACATTCAGGACATTGTCCAAATGTCAGTTACTTATCGGATGAGTGGACTTTCTGAGCACATTCATGAGGCTTGCTGACTACATCTGACTGAGCAGTGTGGGTGGTCACAGGACCACTCACATTGGTCCTCTCCATGAAGGCAGGTGTTCAAGGCTATGGTCTTCCCTCTGCTGGGGTGGGCTCTCTGCCTGCTGCCTCACCTGCTGGCCCCTGGCGATGCTGGATGGTATCTAAACGGATCAACCACCAGAACTATGAAACTTTACAAGGCACTGCAGCAGGTCGAGACACTCTGTCTGCAGGCATGGCCCTGGCAACAAGGACTCTGGCTGGGTTGTGTCAGACTGGCACTGAGTCCCAAAACAGTCCAAGACTGTAAGTAAGGGTAAATGATAGAGCCAGCTGCACATCTACCCAGCCCGGCACCAGGTGAGGCACATCTGGGTCCCTAGTCAGCAGGCCCTGGGAAGTCTTGTGGGCACAAACTGATCATTTTTGTGTGTGTGTGTGTGTGTGTGTCATTTTCAACAACATGGATATAATTGGAGGCCATTAGGTTAAAGCAAACAGATCAGACACAGCAACACAAACACCATGCGTTCTCGCTAATGTTTGGAAGCTTAGAAATTGCACTCATAGAGTATGAAAAGGAACAGTGGTTGCTAGAGTTCAGGAAAGCTGCGAGGGAGCCTGGAACAAGAGGATGGCCCAGCAGGATAACTACAGTTGATAAGAACTGGATGTTTCAAAATAGAGGGTTTTGAATGATCACAACACAAAGAAATGATACATTTCTGAAGTGACAGATATGCTAATACCATAAGATTACTACATATTGAACGCATGCGTTTAAACATTACACTACAGCGTGCACCCAGGAATACGCATGATCACCACGTATCAACTGAAAAGATATCAAAAAAAAATAAAAAAAAAGGCTGTCAAGGCTTGGTCTAGTTTCAGCCTGTTCATTTAGCTGGTGCCATGGCTCAGTACGTTAACCCTCCGCCCTCTGGTGACAGCATGCCATTGGGTGCTGGTTCCACTCCCAGCTGCTCCACTTCCCATCTGTCTCTCTGTTTATGGCATGGAAGGGCCAAGGAGTATAGTCAGCGACCCTGGAGCCCTGCATTCATTGTGGAGACCCGTTATAGGCCCCTGGCTCCTGGCTTTGGACCGGCCTATACTCGGATGTTGCAGCCATTTAGGGTATAATTTCATAGCTGGAAAAATCTCTCTTTCTCTCCCTCTGTAACTCTGTCTTTCAAATAAAAATAAATAAACATTTAGAAACCCACGAAAATGCCTTTAGCTTGTTAATGCTTTAGTTAAGTGCTGTGTTAGATACATTGATGACCATTACCGTAATGCTCATTTGATTACATTCTCCTTAATCCAATTCAAGTGATGAGCCGCTGATTTATTTTACTAAGTGTATATACTTTGATTTTAAAAATTCTCTCTCTATTCAAACTTCCTGAAGCAGAAACTATGATGATGCATGTCTCAAATGCAGTCCTGACCCATCCAGGAGGGAGGCAGTTTCGTGAGTTCAAACGCCCCCCGTATCAGCACATCAGTGTTAGCCATTTCTTTCCAGTCTACGTGTACCACACTTGGACTGAACCACAGAGTGACTCGGCTGTACCTTGACTGCGCCGTTCTCATGCATTGTGATGCAGTTGTTGATGTCTTCTGAGAGTTGGTACAAAGCCTGAGCTGTTGCTCGGTGCACTCCGATGTCATTGGATTTCAGATAACGCACGAGGGGAGCCACCGCTCTGTGTTCACCGAAGGTCACTTTATTTCTGCCCCACATGCAGCAGTGTGAGATAGCTTCCGCTAGATGTCGCTTCAATTTCTCGTTGTTCTGCACAGAGAAAAATGAACCGTGGGACGTGTGTTAAGATGGTCCTGTGAGATCAGCTCTCTGCACGTTGTTTCTTACCAAGATGCTCATGGGTCTAGCGAGAAGGGACAGCTCAATAACCACATATATGTTTCGATGCAACTAGAATTTTGACGGTACAATAGACTAAGGTTCAACCTTGGGTTTGCTTTTTTCTTTTTAATGAACTGAATGTAGTTAATACACTAAAGGGTGACCAGGTGTTGACATCAATCATGTATCCAAGGACAACACAAAATTATGGAGCAATTAACCACTAAGTAATACAAATATTGAGATAATCCTTAAAACATTTCAGGTTACTGGAGAAGTGGATTAGCTCTATATTTTCACCCTTCCAAAAGGAAGACAGTGCACCAAATACAATGACTCCTTCGGGTTTTCTACTTTATTTTTCCTATTCTTTTTTGTGCTTATTTTTTATTTATATATCGTGAATGAATCTCACATATTTCATGATACAAATCTAGAATTGGAGTAATACTTTCAACCTTGTCCTTCATGATGCCTGCATTCCCCAACCGCCTTCTTCCTCGCTTATTTTTACAATGGCATACTTTCCTTGTACTGTACAATTATAGGCTTAACATTCCATTAGGTAAAGATATCAACATTTAGCACATTGGGAAAAAAAAAAACAGCAAATGAAAAACATCTTACTGTTCCTCGGGAGTATAGATAAAGGCTGTGAACAACAATCAAGTCCCAAAGAAATCATCCTCGCTCATACGGAGTATAGATTTCTTCTTCTCTCTGTGTTACTTACCACAGATCAGGGAATACACACGATATTTTTCTTTAAGGTAATGACTTAGTTCACTAAGCATATTTCCCATTGTATCTATTTAGTTGCAAAAGACAAGATTAGATCCTTTGTTTTTTGCATGCGACTACCTCTGATAAATATTCTATGACTGAACAGGGTATGTATTTCTGTAACGGTATTGTTCCTTTGATAAGGCCACACTCAGTTTCCTGAATTCAAAATCTTCTAGACAGAACATTCTTCTGGTGTTTGATTTTCTGCGGGGTTTCTCTGCTGTCACCTGTTAGTCCACCTGACTATCAAATGACTTCTCGTCACAGTGGAGTCGTCGTCCCTCGAGGCTATTCTAAATAGCCCATCTCTATAGATAATACAGCGACTGCCAAAGTCTTCTAGCTCAGGGATGCACCAACCCAAACTTGTCAAGCTGGAGGACTCATTGGCATGAAGCTGATGATGGTGACAGTGGTGGTAGTGAAGATAGTTAATACATAACCACACTTCACAATGTAGTATTTTCTTTGCTATGACACATTAAAAAAAAACTCTTGTATATGAATCTTGCCTGTTAATGAAAAAATCCCATACCTCAATGATGGATGGATGTTAACGAAAATTGAATCCGTGTCTCTCATTTCAAGCTCACTGTTTTTGCCATTGTACCATGCTATCTTAATACAGTAGGAACTTAATGTAAAAAGACGTTACTTACCGTGTTAGTCAGTTTGGACAATAAAGGAACAACTCCATGATCTGTAATAACAGCTAAATTTTCTTGATCTTTTGCGATATTGGTAATGACAGCGCATATAGCTGCCAAAACTTCTTTGTTATCTGACTTCAGCAAATTAACGACAAGTTCCAAACCACCCACAAAGGAACGGACCATTTCGCCAGCATCCTAGGTGAAAATAAAGGCAGTATCAAAAACAAGTTAGAAGAAAAGTAATCAAAGTTACTTCTAAAAGTAACAATTAAGTTGAAAGTCAACATTAGGTAAAGAGTAACAATTAAACAATAAAACTGTGAGATATACCTTTGGCATGAAAGAAAATTCAGCTTAATTTATATGTAATATAAATATGTGTATATATGTACATATACATATATGTATATGTATGAATGGAAACATTTATACATACAGTGCATATACATAAAATTCAGCTTCAGCAAATATTATGTGTCATTTTGCTTGCCACGGAGGTTGCAGAAGTCAATAAAAATGCAGGATATTCTTATTATTTGTGGCACTTTGCTCTATCAAGTCATCACAAATACTAGTGGCCGTTGAAAGACACTGAATCTTACAAGCAAGATTCTATCCTTCGTGAAAACACAGGCCGCATCTTAATTCAGTGATCTTTCTAAGCCATTTGTTGAGTGATCTCATCTTCACATCAGGATGTGGCTCATGGACCTTTCCTGAAGGTACACACTTGGGTCACTGCTTGGGCTACAGCTTCGTGAGCCTTCCCAACCCTCTAATCCCATACATATTCCCCGAGCCAGTGGCTCCTAACATGCGTGAATAATCAGAACCCTGGGACTAAGTCACCGAGAAGGTAACCCACTAAGTCTAGGGTGAGCCTATACAAATGCGTAAAGGTATATGAGACCTATTAGCATAAAATAGCTATTACAGCAAATCTGTGTGTGTTATAAAAAGGTACGTATTTTTACATGCTGTCACATGCACACTTATGTGAATGTATGCATGTAAATAACGTTTGATTTTTTCCTGTTTGTGCTCAGTGACTCGCAGTGTTCTGTTCAGATGCAGGCAGACGCTTCTGAAAAACAGCTTGCAGGGGTCAGGCTCAGCACATCCTTTGGGAGCTTAAGGCGACAGAAAACTAGACTCAAATGCATGAAGTATGATGTTATAAGACCTGAGTCTGCAGTTGGTGGAGATGCTGCTCCCCCCAAGGTTACTTAGTTCTGGTACATGGCGTGTTGTGAGCATCCTAATTCTACTTATAATGAACACGAAGCGTAGGTCAGCTCTCTGGTCTGGCTCATTTTTTTCTGCTGTATATCTTTAATCAGCTTGTGTATTAAATGGCTCTCATAGGTCTGTAAAACTTACAAGAGTTTCTCTTAAAACATACCCAGAGTTTAATGCAGAATTCTGGTTCTGTCCTCTTCAAAATGTGTGCTGCAATTTAATCACCAAAGTACTAAGAGATTGCGTCTTCTGGAGGCATGAATCAGGAGAGAGCTTAAGAAGGCTCCACAGGGCGCTGTGCTTTTGTCATTAGGAATGCATAGCAGCAAGGGGCCACTGGGGGCACGCAGAGCGGTCTTCACCACACGGAAGTGCTCAACTTTGATTCTGGACTCTCCAGTTTCCAGAATTACAAGAAATACATTTCTGTTTTTATAAATTCTTTAGCCTGTGGTATTCTGTCACAGCAACAATGCAGCTGCTTAGCAAATGGGCTAAGACACCCAAGTTGCACTTGATACTAATTAAATAAAAACGTTTGGGGGTTACAGTCAATATCATAAGGACATTTGATTCTAACGTTCCAAAATTACCAGGTGAAGAGTTTAAGTTCCTTAGCAAAGGAGAGGACCTGTGAGCTCATCATGGTTTCAACACTGAAAATACGGCTTTGAGTACAAGTTACTTAACTCGTCCAGGCTTCAATTTCTTCATGTGAAAAGTAGAGTTAATCATAAGATATACCTCATGAGGTTATTAAAATTAAAGTTTTGGTATCCCATTGCACAGTGTGGTGGCTGTAAAGATAGTGTTTTGGAAAGGATAACATTTTTAAGCTGTTTTTTGCATGGTAATTTTCAGGTTATTTTGAAAAGGTGTTTGTTTCCAATAGACCCTGAGAAGGACTCCAAGACTGCAAGCTAGTGCTGGGTTCCTCAGTCACTGCGACCTAATCTGGGAGATCTAACCAAGAACATGCCTGTGTTCCACCATTCCAGGCCCACACTCCCCAGTAAATCCTGTATTCTCCTTACCAGACTAAAAACGTTAACTTTCACATCCCCAGTGCTGGGACTAGGACTCAGTGCCAGCCACACCCATGCAGCCACACTTGGGCAAGATACCATCCAGATCACACAGTCCCTGAGCCATGACAGGCAACGACATCACTCAAGCTCACCTGGAAGGCACACCACAGCCTCCTCTGGGTCCTACAGTGCCAGGAACATGAACACAGCCATTATAAACTGCAGTGCACTGATTCTTGCAAGAATGATACACTCCTTACTAACTGACACCCACATACAGGTCACACTTTCTCATCCTTATGAATTGCTACAGAGTGAACAAACATAATGCTAATATACACTGATGCCATTGACTACAGCTGAAGAAGTCACTCAAGGCTTACACTTTTAGGCTCACCTGCACCCGAAGCCAAAACAACATTACAAATGATGCTTTGCATTCCAGCTAAGAAAAATGTTTCTCCAGTAAGAACTACTCCATAAACAAGAAGAAAACGGTTACACTTAAAGACATCAGCACAGGGACACAGGAAACGAAGAAACAAGGAATTTCCTCCCACCGCCCAAAAGATACTAATTTGAAGAAAACCTTAGAAATATCTGCAAAAAAAAAGTCAGAATAATGATCCTGAGGAGACTCAATGTGATACAAGGGAATGCAGCAAGACAGGTAAAGCTAGCGAGAAAACCATACATGATAATGAATGAAAAATTCAAGAAAGAGACAAATTATTAAAAGGAACATGATAAAGACCTTCAAGCCATGTTACAGTCAAAAAGTTAAAAGCTAAGGACTTGGAGGGAATCCTAAAGGCAGTGAGAAAAATACGGAGTTATCGATAGGAAAAAGCCATTAAACTAACAGCTGACTTCCCATCAGAAACCTACACAGACCAGACGAAAGTGAGAATATAAAGTCGGTTAATTCATCCTTTAGTGAAGGAGAGATAAAGGCTTTCACCACAAGCACAGTTGAGACAATTCACCACCACCGCTGTGTAACTTAGGGAGCCCTCCAGCAGAAGCAGGAATCACGAAAATGTAAAATACAGTAATACAGCAGACACAGTCAGTACAAATCAGCAAAATGAGTTACACCTCACCTATTACTATTAATGCTTAACGTAAAAGGATTACACTCTCAATAAACATGAAAGATACGACTACAAAAAGACACAACGCGGTGCTTCCTATAAAACTCTTGCTTGACAGGTAAAGATGCGTAGACTTAACGTGAAGGGTTGGACAAGCATCCACCCTGTAAACAGAGGCGAACATAAATCAGATAAAACAGGTGTAAAATAAAAACTATCAACGAGTAGAACACTGCATATGTTAGACAATCGATTCAGCAGAAACATACCAATCCTCACTATATGTATGCACCCAGCACTGAGACACATACAACGAAACTATTAGACCTACAGTGACAGCGCAGCTCTAATATGTAATAGCTGGAACATTTTCTAGGAACATTTCACACCACCTATCAAGTCCTCATACACTTTTAAAAATGATGAAATTACACCGTGTATGACCACAAAGGAATAAAAGTGAAACGCGTGCACACACACACACACACACACACACACACACAAGAGGAGCAACAGAAAATTTACAAAAGCATCGAAGCTGCTGCCGAATGACCAATGGATCATTGTATAATTTAAAAAAAAGGAAAAATAGTTAAAACAGATGAAAATTAAAATAATACATTTGAATCAGTGGGATAAGGCAAAAAGCAATATTAAGAGAAAAGATTAGGATAATAAATTCTTATAATTATTAAAAATATAGAAAGATGCAACATAGATTTTTAATAATACATCCTAACACATTAAAAAGCAAAAACAAACCAAGCTCCAAATTAGCAAGAAAAAACAAATAATCACTGGGGCCAACTATGGCTTAGTTGGCTAATCCTCCACCTGCAAGTGCCAAGGCACCCTGTTGGGTACAGGTTCCTGTCCTGGCTGCTCCACTTCCTGACCATCCCCCTACTAGTGGCCCAGGAAAGCAGTGGAGGACGGCCCGAAGCCCTGGGACCCTGCGCTTGCACGGGAGACCCAGAAGAAGCTCCTGGCTCCTGGCTTCAGATCGGCTCAGCTCCAGCCGATGGGGCAAGTTGAGGGGTGAACCAGTGTAAAGAAGACTTTTTTGGTATCTCTGTCTACAGATCTGCCATTCCAATTAATACAAAAAATAAATCTTAACGCTGGTGACTCGTTCTCTTTTTGATTAGTAATTTTTCATTTTTTAAACTTTTTTTTTTTAAATTGGAAAGTCAGATTTACAGAGAGCAGGAGAAAACAGAAAATTTCCATCTGCTGGTTCACTGCCCAAGTGACCTTAACAGCTGGAGCTGAGTCAATCCACAGCCAGGAGCCAGGAACCCCCTTGGGGTCTCCCACTAGGGAGAAGGGTCCCGAGGCCCTGGGTCATTCTCTACTGCTTTCCCTGGACACAAGGAGGGAGCTGGAAGGGAAGTGGAGCAGCCAGGATATGAACTGGTGTCCATATAGGATCCCAGGGGATGCAAGTGAGGTTTTAGTCACTAGGCTACCCCCCTTCATATAAATTCTCCTGCTGTAATCTGTGTGGCTTCTCAACTCATTTTAGCTTCATGGCTTAAAGATGGTCTGTTATCATCTGTCTGAAATGGCAATTCTCCTTTTCCAACTGATTTGTGGAAATAATGAAAGTAAATCAACTCTTACCAAGCCATGATCTCCATGTAACCATCAGGACTGGGGAGATGAAGGCGGACCCTCCACCCGCTCAGACTGATCCAGAGACCACACCCTCCCTCTCCAGCCGCCGCCCCCACCAACCCGCCCAGTACCCCATTCCCACAGCAGAGGCAGCTGCATTCAGAAGTGAAGAAAGAGACTCAGTTCACTTTACAGAGTTCAGCGAGTAGACCAGGCCTGGTATCGGCAGGACCCAGGGTGGTCTCCTCTGGCCCACTCACAGACACTCAGTCACACATCCGTCTCAGGGATGGAAAAACTTTCCCTTTCTTCTATCTGTAAATCTGCCTTTCCAATAAAAATGAAGGACGTCTTTTAAAAATAAGCAAGAATTAGAGCGGAAAAGAAATTGAAGCAAACAGATACATGAATTGAAGAGCATGCTTTTCTGATAAAAGCAGACAATTCTTTCGCTACACTAGCAAAGAGCAAAAGGGAAAAGTGATATAAATAAAGGCAGGAAAAGGAGACATAATCGGCATCACAAAAATAAATTACTTTAGGGATGGACTGTTGCTTTGGTAACACTGTTTTTATTTGATGTCCCTATTTATAAAAAAATTAATAATATAATCAAATTTGAAAGCTACATATCAACATGCCATATTAGACTAAAACTTCAAGTCCTTAACTAAAGATATTCAAATCCTGTAAGTCATGTGATTTCCTTTATGAATATCTTTTGTTCTGCTGGGAACTATTGTAAAGTTATTGGTTTTCAGAAAAAAGAAGCATTTAATAGAGATAAATAGCTTTAGTGACAAGAATCTTGAAATATATTCTATTAAAACGCTCAAATACAGTGGATTTTGCCATAACAGTTAGCGTGGTTTTTTTTTTTTTTATCCTGGCTCTGCTTTTGATTTCATTTTGATATCAATTTGCACCCTGGGAAGCAGCAAGTACTTGGCCTGCTATCCATTCAGTTCCAAGTTCCCACAGGAACTGTGGGTACCCACTTGCTAGGCTGTACCTACCACTGGTGAGGATGAGAACCAGGATTGGGGGCAGGCCAGGTCAGGTCAGGTCAGAGGGACATGTTGGGCTGAGCTAAACTGCAGCACCCATGTGTGTCCATAAGAGCCAGACAGAATGCGAGCTGGGCTGGGCTAGGCAGAAGCAGAGGCTGGCACATGCAAAACACGGAGTCATGCCTGGTGGGGATTACTGGGGGAAGCCCTGACTAGGCCATAGCACCCACTGGTATGCATGAATGCTGGGTCTGGTGTGGGCTGGCTGGGCACAGCGGGAGCACCCATCGGTTTACTTGAGATGTGGCTGGCACAGAATGGCATTCACTGGCATGTGCATTGGCTGGTGCAGGTGACAGATCACACCTGACCCTACGCAGGTTCGGGCACACAAGTCCAGTCTGAGGTCACTCCAGGTGAGGTTCATTGAAGGATTCAGCAACTATGCATCTGGACTCAGATCCTGGAAACAAGGAAAGTCACAGGATGTGTGACCCAATCTTGGAGTGCATGCTTAGCCATTGGGCCTCCTCAGTTGCTGATGCTTGTGCAGTGGACAGCATGCCCAGCTGCACGGGAAGGACACTACAGCCAGTTCATCTAGACCAGCAGAGGAGGTTGACTGCCCCACTGGAGGATGGAAAGCAGAACAGGTTGGACCACTCTCCCGGCCAAGCCTTGCAGCGTGTTCCTGGGTCTGTGGATGCACTAAGATAGGCTTTGTCAACTAATAGACCCTAGATTTTTTTTAACCTTAGAGCGATGAAACCAACAACTTCTCAGAACTATCAAAATCAGTCAGGTAACACCCTTGGAATACTCTTCCCTCCATTGAGGTCTCTATCAAATGACATCATCAAATGACCATCCCTTATCCCCGGGTACTGATGTAGTTTAGCAGTAAGGCGTGGCCTCCTCCCTTTTCTCCCCTATAGACATAGGGAGAAAACAAAACAAAAAAAAACCTGAACATTGGTCCTGCCCACCTTCCTCTATACCTGAGCTCCCCAATCCTAGTCTGAGGCCCACATGGACATGCATTCCTCTCAGCTATGTAAACAAGATTCAAAAGAAATTTAAAATTTAACAAGGGCAGTAGGACAGGCATTGCTCAAAAATTATTGTGGCATAGCATTGATCAGCATTGTTTTCTAGCAGGTAAATCTGACTAAGAATAAGCAAAAAGTCATTCGTGGCCTGTGGTGACATTATTCAACATGGTGCTGGAGACTCCAGAATGCTGGATTTTCAGTTTTTACCTACCTTAGCATTTTTGATGCATGGACAGAGGGCCCATGCTGCACTGGCCTGCACGTCTGGGTGAGGATTTTTCAGGAGAGACCATAGCAAACGAACTCCATCTAAGCGATCAATTATTCTATGGGAAAATCAAAAGCAGTGATATAAACTGTAATTAGTAAGTTAAACGTGAAAACTTCAATAGCTAATCTAGCTACACACTTTAATTAATTTTTTTCTTTTTTTGCAAAATACCACCAGCAGCAGGATCATATATGATATTGAATTGTCGGCACTCTAATTACGGTTTTAAATTCATGATCCAGGAAGCTAGCTGCCTTATAATTATGGGTCCACATAAACTTAAAAGCCACATATGAACTCTGCATAGAGTTCGTAACTACAGAATACATATCTGCTTCAAACTTGTGCCATCACTTTTATTCTGGTCTTTTATTTGGGCTGTTTATTTTAGCACATGACTTTCGCCTATGTCTGTCCTTAATCTAACATTGTTTTTAAAGGAAGAGTGACTTCTGTTTAAAGATCTACAGAGAGAAAAAGACGAGAGAGAAAGATCCTCCATCTGCTGATTCCCTCCACAAGTGGCTGCAATGGACAATCAGAGCTGGGCTGATCTGAAGCCAAGAGCCAGGAGCTCCTTCTGGGTCTCCTGTGCAGATGCAGGGTCCCAAGGGTTTGGGCCATTCTTTACTGCTCTCCAAGGCCACAGCAGGGAGCTGGATGGGAAGTGGAACTACTGGAACCTTAGCCGGTGCCCATATGTGATACTGGCATTGCAGGCGAAGGCTTTATCTGCTAGTTCACAATACCAGCCACCCAGCAGCTGTAGCATAGCAGCTAAAGTCCTTGCCCGGAACATGCCCCGGGATTCCATATGGGCACTGGTTCTAATCCCGGCAGCTCCACTTCCCATCCAGCTCCCTGCTTGTAGCCTGGGAAAGCAGTCGAGAATGGCCCAAACCCTTGGGACCCTGCACCTGCGTGGGAGACCCGGAGGAGGTTCCCGGCTCCTGGCTTCAGATTGGCACAGCACTGGCTGTTGCAGTCCCTTGGGGAGTAAATCATCGGATGAAAGACCTTCCTTTCTGTCTCTCCTCCTCTCTGTATATCTGACTTTCCAATAAAAATAATATTAAAAAAAAAACTTTAGTGAGTTTTCCCTTTATCAGTTCACAGATCCTGTTGAGTGAGTACTCAAAATAGATTTAACGAATTGGTTTGAAATAAGGAGGAAGGTAACACTGAGGACACCCTTGAACTACTATGACCTACTTTCTCCAGTTGAGAGACAGGTGGCTCTTTTTTGAGGATATTAATGTTTCCCCACGAGAAACTGATGATTCTATCATAAATTCTCCCAGTAAGCCCAGATTAGCCCCCATTTCATCCTAAGTAACATTTGGTTAACTAAGTCATGATCTGGCAGTCTGGCGTTTTATTTTTCGTGATTTGTGCACCTAATTCTAAATGATGAGCCTCTCCCATGACCACTGAAGGGTTTCCCTGTCACCCTCGTATGAAATCGTAGTATGCAGGGCCCGGCGCGGTGGCGCAAGTGGTTAAGGTCCTCACCTTGCACGCCTGGGATCCCATATGGGCGCCGGTTCTAATCCCGGCAGCCCCACTTCCCTTCCAGCTCCCTGCCTGTGGCCCGGGAAAGCAGTCGAGGACGGCCCAAAGCCTTGGGACCCTGCACCCGCGTGGGAGACCCGGAAGAGGCTCCTGGCTTCGGATCGGCATAGTATCGGCCCGTTGCGCTCACTTGGGGAGTGAATCATGGGACGGAAGATTTTCCTCTCTGTCTCTCCTCTCTGTATATCTGCCTTTCCAATATAAAAATAAATCTTTAAAATAAAAAAAAGAAATCGTAGTATGTACAGAGTCACTTACACCATGCTCTCAGGCTCGCGTGCACAGGCACCCACCGTCTTCGTGACATTCACAAGAAGTGCTTGGTTTACTCCAACAAGAAGGTTCACCAAGTGTTGAATGCCACCACATCTCTGGACGATGACCCGGCTTTCATAATCTTGGCAGCATTCTCCTAAGGCCCCAACCACATTGATCAGCACTTCTTCAGGCTGATTGGTTAACAGTCCCACCAAAGCTTCAATGGTTTTGTATTCCCGAAACCTAAGTTCATTACATATGTGTGTGTGCGCACAGAGAGAGGGAGGAGGGGGGATGAGGGTAGGGAGAGAGAGAGGTAGGGAGAGAGAGTAATTACTTTTAGTATATTGTTAGTATTTATTAAAAAATGTTAATTGCAATAATAATAGCTACAAATTTTACTGTCAAAGCCAAGTTCAATCACCCAATGAAATAAACATTATCTATTCATTATCAAGTGGGGAATCTGAAGCTTGGTGAATAGCAAGGATGGTATCTACCCCTAGTTACTTGCTCCAGACCTGAGTCTTGAATTTTCAGGCTGCACAACCTCAAGAAAATTAGGGCCTCTTCCAAAGCTGAGCTTTCATGGTTCCAATCTAGTAAGTTCTTTGCCTTAGCTTATAGACTTATCTTACAGACAAGAAAGGACTCGCTTTCCTGCCACCCACATGAAGGACTCATTTTGAATTCCCAGGCTCAGCTGTTGCGGACATTTGGGAAGTGAACCAGCGGATGGGAGATCTTTTGCCACCCTCCATTTGCTTTCCTCCATTTGTCTTTCAAATAACGTAATAGTTATTCTAAAAGGAAGGCAGTGATGTGGGGCAGCCTTTGGGATGCCTTCAATGCTGACATCCCATATGGATGCTGACTCATGCCCCAGCTGCTCTACTTTCAATCCACCTTCCTGCTAATGCACTTGGGGAAGCGGTGGAGATGGCCTAAGTGCTTGGGCTCCTGCCACCTCCATGGGGTACCCGGACAGAGTTCTCGTCGCCTGGCTTTTGGCCCAGCTGCAGTCACTACAATCATTAGCGAGCCACTGGATGGAAGATAATCTCTTACCTTGTCACTCCCTCTTGGTAATTCTACTTTTCAAATAAATAATCAAATGTTTATTAAAAACAAGTTGAAGAAATGGAAGAAGGTATGACAGTGCAACCATGGCTATCCTTTCAAGAAAAAATAAATAAATATTTGGGAATTACTAGTTTCTGCATGGAAGGTATTTTTTAACCTTTCCAATAAGTTTCAGTAGTATTTTCAAGTACTGTAGTATAGGAGGCTTTTACTTTTGAAACAAAAGTTTAATTAGCTGAGGTTACTTTTATTTTAGCCATTATTTTAAAAATGTGCTTAAGTAAAATAAACTAAGTAAAATAATTACGAAAAAGAGAGATGTCCTAAATTTTATTACCAATGGTTGTGATAAGGAGGAATGGAAGAGAACAGAGAACTTGTCCTAAGATTAGTTCCTCCTTTCTGGCTAGGTTCTGCAATGGCTCAAAAAATTCTTTTATTTCCTTTTTTTGATCTTAGGAGTTTAGGTTTCACTTGTGTTAGGATGAATGAATTTCTTATTAAAGGAAATCATCAGGGTGAAGTCTATAATGATAGAGAAATGGCCAGCTTTTTTATTTATTGATAAGATGAAACATAAAATTTTGTAAATACTTTAAAATGTAATTCGGTGAAAATGGCTTGAAAATGACTATCTTTAAAGTACTCTTAAATGTTGATTGAGCTAGCTCATTTGTTTTTAGAAAAGGGGAAAGAGTGAAACCATCTCCATCTCAGAAGATGCCTTTCCAATGACATGCCTGATTTAATTGGCTGCTATATATTAAAGAGCCTGTTGGCCCTTGAACCTACCAAGGCACATAAAATCACTGCCTTTAGGATTGGTGGGAAGGGAGAGGGGGCTTTCGCTTTCAGGAATGCCTTCATTCCGCCAACCTCAATCAAAATGGTATACTGCAACATTGGAATGAGTTCTCTCCTAAAATAGGATTCAATGACAAGACTGTGTCTTGGAGGTCGTATTTTCAGTGCAGGACACTCCCTTACTTGGTCACATTCTCCTTGCTGATGGAGCACTTCCATATTGCCCCCGTGACAGCAGCTAGGCGTTCTTTGTTGTCGGTGTTACTCAGCAGGCTAGCCAGGGGTCTCAGGCCTCCGTGCAGCCTAACCAGGTCACGAGTTTCCTCGTCTTCAGCACACTACACAGAAGATCAAAACACAGCTGTCAAGGACCAAGGAGTACCAAGCTCTCAGTGATGGCTCAAGGGGCTGCCATTTTTGAGGTCACTTGCAAGTGCAATAAAATTCTTCTCTAGACCGGCGGCTAGCTAACAATACTTCTGTTGCCTCAAAAAAAACCTTAGGAGTGACTGACATTTCTATATTCTTGGCAATTCTCCAAAGCCAAGTTCGAGTGGCCTGGACTGCTTCAGAAACAGCAGTAGAGGTCAGAAAGAAACCCAGAAAACTCTGTGCAAGGATGGAGAACGAATCTGTGGTGATGCAGTGTGGGATCTTGCGGGCATGTGTAGTAGACAAAACAGGTGAGTGGTTGCGAATTGGTCAGTTTATCAAAGACGCCTGAACTCTAGAGACGGATTCTAGAGTTCACCAAGGGATTGCTAGACCCAAAGCACTGGCTTGACAATGGCACGTGTATTTTATTGAAACATCTTTGTTTGTATCACCCTCTGTAATATTTGTTGCAGGGATGTTCACAGCCATTATTTCTCAGCGTAGATTTGTTATTTTCCTAGGCAGACTATTTTCTGCTGCCATGTGACTCAGAGATGTCACGTACCAACCCGAAGAGTCAGAGCAACTCTCACGATTAAAACCACAAAAGCATCTGCTATGTTTATCTTTTGATATTGATCAGAAGTGAATAAAAAAAAAGATTAATTTCTTTTTTTTTTCAGAGTAAAATAACTTTAATTATAACTACATGCATTTTTTTTTTAACAGAGGAAGATACATGTTTGGGGACCAGCATCATGGCATAGCAAAGCCCTTGCCTGTGTCACCAGCATCCCATATGACTGCCAGTTCAAGTTCTGGCAACTTCACTTCTGATCCAACTTCCTGTCAGTGGTCTGGGAAGGCAACAGAGAACGGCCCAAAGCTTTGGGATCCTGTACCCAGATAAGCAGAAATGATACAGCTTACCTTACCTTCAATTGCACAATTTCAGCTATTGAAGCCATTTTGGAATACAAAATAAAAATCTTCTGTTCCTTCTCACCTATAACTCTTCTCTTTTTTTTTTTTTTTCCGATATAATACTATTTGAATTCCTAATAAGTGTACAATTCAGTATACTGCTATTCCCCTCCAAATTCCCACTCGCACAGACTTATTTCTTCCCATTTCGTTACAATAGTGGTAGTCCTTTCATAAGAACCATAATTTCTATCATTCCTCTTATTTCAGTGTACCCCAACAATTTTGTTCAGACATGCCAGGGCATCTACATCCATTTCTACCCATGTCCAACAGTTTCACTGGGGATCTATCATTTGTATAAAAGCAGGAATGCATGTTCCATTATTCTCCTAACATCTTATAGATGAACCCCGTACTCCATCACTATACATTTCCATAATTGAGAAGCCATGAAACCAAGTCAACAACTGATATGAGTTAGAACAGCCACACAACATTTCTAAGCAACTATTAATCTTTACTCACATAAGGCATAAATGCATGGCAAAGCATGAATGTTAAGGGCTGAACTGCATCCTCTCAAATCCATGTACTAATCTTTATTCCCCAGCACCTCAGCATGTCAGTGTATTTGAGAGAAGCACATTAAACAGGTACACCAGGCTAAATCAGATCTTGGGGCGGGCCCTGCACCAATAGGACTGCTCTTCTCATAAAAGAGATTAGGACAGCAATCACGTGAAAGCACAGGAGGAAGGGAGCCACCCCTAACTCAGGGAGAGAGGGTACGGAAGTAGGTCTAACCTGGATAAATATGAGAAAATAACAATCTGTTGTGTAGGCCACCCACTCAATGTTACTTGGACATGTTAGCTCAAGCAGACTCATAAAATCCCTGACTGAAATAAATCCTTTCATGGGCTCTGTCTTGTCAGCATATTTTGCTACTCTGCATAGACAACGTGCATTTCTGGGGAATCTAATATGTTTAGTAGAACCTATGAAGGCCAGTAACCAGCCAAGCACTCATAATTCTAAGCTGGTTTCATGTGCATATGAAATTTAGGAGTCACAAAAACTGATACGCTAAAATAATAAATTGGTAAAAAAAAAAAAAGAAAGCTAAAATAACAATATACATTGTCATCAATCCATCTTATCTAACTAGGAGACACAAGTCCCAAAGTCACTGTATTTGAACAGGACAAATAAAAAGCAATGTAAGGAGAGGAGAGAATGCTTTTTCTGCCACTTCACACTAGGAAAATGGTTTTAGCATACAGAGAGACTGCCAACTATGTTGAAGCCAGTTTTTCCTACACGTTAGGTGTTCTCAGGCTTGGGTGTGCATGAAAACCTCCTAGTACCTATAAAACAAGCACATCCCATGGTCTGAGACCCACAGAAGGAGATCACATATTTAAAACATCACATTATTACCTAGGCAAGGGTTACACTGCTGGGAGAAAAACAGCTAATAGCTGCTTTATCCTGCGTCTGGTTAATGCCAAATTCGTGCTAATTATAGTACTATGCCAGGATAATTGCCTATTCTATTTTTTTTTTTAAAGATATATGGTGGGCAGAGACTGGCATGCCAACAGACAGGGTCTGGAGATCTTTGTGCGAGTGTGTGTGGGCCCTGGGCAGGCAGGTAGGGCCTCAGGTTGGCACCACACACCGCCAGAAGAACCAGGCTTGGGAAACTGCATGCTCGTGGGCATGGGGGGGCTGTGGATTGCTCAGGGAAGCAGGTCTGAAGATGTGTGGGAGGGGGGACTCTAAGGGGGAATATGGCAGGTGAGGAGTGACTTCTCGGACTTCCACCGACCAGGCTACTACACTCGCAGGTGAATGAGAGGGCTGAACCAAGTGGTCTAGAGGAGGGAAACTAGAAGACCTTTCAAGGTGAAACCAAACACACATGCCCACGTGGGAGACCTGAGCTGGGCTTGATGGTACCAACCACTGCCTACTGGCACACATGAAAGTCATAGCTGGGGGGCTTGCTTGGCAGGGCTCAACCACAGTACCCAGTGGTGAGTGTTGGGGCAAAGGATGGATCATGTTAGGCTGGGTCATGACATTAAGCAGCTCACAAGAGAACTGGTTCTGAGCAGATCCTGTGGGGGATCATGGACTCACCCCTGTGGGACTGCCATACCAGCTAGTTTGCTCAACGGTTGGAGATGGTGATGGGCTAAGTTAGGCATGACCCAATAGTAAGAGTCAGAATGGGTGTGGGCTAGTCAGGCAAGCCCATTGTACCTGCCAGAATAGTAGATCAACAAGTCAGGCTGGGCCACAGACCCACCGGTGTGCACAAGATCTGCCACTGGGCAATAGTTCATGCAGTGAGTACAAGAATCAAAGCTGGTTATAGTACCTTCCAGGCCAGGTTACAGCACCTGCCAATATACGTGTGGATCAGGTCTGAGAACAGCCAGGCTGGGCCAGTGCATAGCACCCTCTGGCAAATGTAAGAACCAGGATAGGGTGTGGGACAGGTTGGGTTTGCCTGCAATGCCAGCCAGTTCACATTAGAGCCTGGGACTGGGGGCTGGCTGGGCTAGGCTACGTGTCAGCACCTTCCTGCATGAGCTGGAACTGGGGGCAGCCCAGACTGAGCCAGGTTGTAGCACCTGCTGGTGAATGCCAAGGTGAGGTGAGCCATGCTAGTCTGGACCACAATACCCACCAGCACATGTAAGACCTGGGAGCCTGTGAGTGCCCACTAGCGGAGCTGTGGGAGTTTCCCTGCTGGGTTACTGCTCCTGCTGGTAAGCCTAAAAGCTGGAACTGGGGGAGAACCCAGGACTACAAAACACATTGGCCTGTTTGTGAGCTGGGTTAGGGGTAGGCCGATGGGTTTTATGACTGTACCCACTGGTGTATGCATGAGCCAGAGTAAGTGAAAGTTGGTTGGGCTTTGCTATAACATTGGCTAGCAGGTATGAGACTGGGAGGAAGTCCTATCAGGCTAGACCACAGAACCACCTGTGTGAGATCTAGGGCAGGAAGTGGGCCTAGCAGGGAAATTGTAGACAGCTCTCTCTGATGGGCTGCAGCTCTCACTGGTGAGCATGAGAACCAGGGCTGAGTGTGAGCTGCATAGTGGGGTTGGTCGGGATGAGACATGCTCCAATACCCACTGATGTGCATGGGACAGTGGACCAGTCTGCTGTACATGTTGACATGAGCAGGAACCAGGGGTTGGGGCAGGCCTGGTAGGGGTTACTGGGGGGCATCCTGACTAGGTTTCAGTTCCTGCCAGTGTACGTAAGGGCACAGTGTGTGGTGGGCAGGTGCATCCATTGATTTTCATATGAGGTGGAGCCGGGGATGGAACTAACCAGGTGACTGCAACCACAAGTGTGTGTGTAGGTTGATGTAAGTAATGAACTGAGCCAGACCCCACACTGACTGGCATACTGAGTCAGCTTGGGATCACCTCTGGCAAGGTTTCTTTAGGGATTCCTTCAACTGGATCACTCGGTCAGAACTCTATCCACAATGAAAATCCCAGCATCTGTGGTCTGACTGTGGAGTGCATGTGTCAAAACTGGGTGTCCACTGTTGCTGACGTTTGTGCAGACACTCACGGGAAACATGACACCAGTTCATTGAGGCCTGCAGAGGATGTCTGATACCTGGAAAGGGGAATACATTGGATGACTCTCCTGGTCAAGCTTTGACAGTGAGTATCTAGGCAGATGGAGACTCTAAGGTGGATGATGTCAGCTAATGGACCTTGGAAAGATTTCTTCATCCTTGGAGCGCTGAGATCAATAACATTTCAGAATGATCTAAACCACTCAGGCAGAGCCTTCGGAGCATGCTCTATCTGGGGGACCCTGGGATGACATTGGGTGTCCTTCCCCATTCCCCGGTACTAATGTGGTTCTGCTGCTAGGAGCAGCCCTCTCCTCTTTTCCCCGTGCTTTCTCCAGATCCAGAAAGAGAAAAGGCGGTTGGAAACAATGGTCTCATACACTTTGTCCCATTCCTCCACCCTTCCCACTCTAATCGGTGATCCAGATGGGCATGGATCCCTCTCAACTATGTAAACATCAGCCACAATGGATTTATCATTTTTTTTTAAGTACAGAAAACACATTAGGTGACAGGAACAACAGCGTCTGCTGGAGGCGCTCACTGACCTGGTAAATGGCCATGGCACAGTGTTCCTGCAGTTGCTCATTCTCACTGTTTAGGTTCTTCACCAGATTTTCAATGATCCTTTCTGCTTTGATTGCAGCTCGGTAGTTTTCCTAGACAAGTAAACTTGACTATTTATACGTGCATTATGCACAGATAAAAATAACCTTTTGCATTTATTAATCAATGGAATGGATGCAATATCTTAGTACATCAATACCAAACATAGTATATGACAATCAGAGAATCTGACAATGAGAATTAGTCAACATGAAAAGAATTATATTCTCAGGCACTGGTTTTATATGTTGTCAGTTTGATCTTCTCTAAGAGAATGACGACTTCTTGATGACAAACAGCATTAATGGTAATAATTATGTTTGGCTAAAGAAAATGAAGAACAGGAAGGAAACGATTGACAATCGGTGTAGGTACCTCCGATGCACATTCCTGTAACGTCCCCACCACGGGAATGAGCATGTCTTCATGGGACGTCTTCAGTAACTGAGCCAATAGAGGAATGCCCCCGGCTTTGCGAATGGCTTCTTTATTGGCATAACTCTTGCTACAACTCCACAGCGCCAGGGCCCCACAGCGAGCCACTTCCACATCTCCGGTGTCATAGAGACTTAAGTATGCAGGTTCTGTGGTACTTTGCGTGCAGTCAAGGAGAGCAACCTACAAAAATACATAAAGGCAACAAGCCTGGACATCTTCAAAATCTGTACATCCTGTAGTAGCTACCCGATGGTTATCAAGCTCGCCTCTGTCAAAACTAAGAATACTTCTCCAAAAAAAAAATAACCAAGTTTTACACTACACAGAAGCCAATGAAAGCGAAAAAGCAAATAAAACACTTGAAAACACGATCCTCTCAATTTGGGAGGTTTTTGGTTTTTTTCCTTACGTTTCCTTCTCTTAAGAAATTTAATCTCACTAAGATAGTACTCACCATTTCTTAGTATGGCTGCAATAGTTGCAGTAATAATACTTGTAAACCACATCCTTAGCCCCCGTATCTCAGAAAACTAAGGCTCCCCAAATCTACTGGAATTTTCTAATGACAGCTGAATGCCCGCCCCACTCTCATTTGTTTGAAAGGCAGAGATAAATGTAGAAACAGGTGTGTGCGTGTGTTTGCATATATATATAGAGATACATGTTTGCATCTCTCTCTCTCTCTCTCTCTCTCTCTCTCTCTCTCTCTCTCGGCTTTCAGTTATTGGTTTGTGAAAACGGGCTGGAGCAGAACGAAGCTGGGACCCAGGACATCCATCCTAGTGCTCAGGTGGTGGCTTGCCCCAACCTCTCAAGCCATCACTGCTGCTTCCCACAGTGTGGAGAGGATACTACAACCTGGCTTGATTCCAGATACTCTGGTATGGAATGTATACATCCTAAGAGACTTCTTCACTGTTCTCATCTGCTGTATCTCACGAGGCAGTAGCTGGGAGCTGGATGGAAAGGGGAGGAGCTGGATGGAAAGGGGAGGAGCTGGATGGACAGTGGAGGAGCTGGGTGGAAAGGGGAGGAGCTAGATGGAAAGTGGAGGAGCTGGGTGGAAAGGGGAGGGGCTGGGTGGAAAGGGGAGGAGCTGGGTGGAAAGGGGAGGGGCTGGGTGGAAAGGGGAGGAGCTGGGTGGAAAGTGGAGACTCTGGGACTAGAACTGGCACTCCAGTTTCCGGTTCTGCAGTGTTGTTTTAACCTACTGTGACACAATGTTTGTCCCCACTGATAAGTGGAAACAGGATTTCTTGTTGAATTTCTGAATGCATTTCTCAGTTCATACATTCACAGTAAAACACATACTAACCCAATACATGTTTATTAATCCTTTATAACTGCAAGGCACTGGGCTAAGTGCTGTGGAAGACAGCAAAGAGAAAAAAACAAAAATACATGCCTCCCTGTTCAGGAACTTAAAGGTCAGGAATGAGACAAGCCAGTCAGATAGCACGCTGTAGGAGGAACAAGTCTATTGCCCCCTACTACGCCGAATAAAAACACATTTCTAGATCTCATCTGTGTTTTTAAGATCCTGCCTGATGTGGCAAAAGCAGGAGAAGAACGCTAATTGTTTCTTTTAGTAATAGTTATGAAATAAATTTTTTTTCTGATTATGAAGGTAAGATAGTAAACAGTAGACAAAAATCAGAAAATGTAGAAAAATAAGAAGAAAAATCAAGAATCACTTCAGAGAAAATCCCTATAAATAATTCTGTATATTTATTTCTATTTTTTTTAAAAGCTATACCAGTCTTTAAAAATTGGTCTTTAAAAATTCAGATTGGGGTCCATCCTGTGGCACAGAGCAAGCTAACCTGCTGTCTACGCCAGCAGCATCCAAATGGGCACCAGCTCTGGACCCAGCTGCTCCACTTCCTCTTCAGCTCCCTGCTAGTGCCCTGAGAGGGCAGCCAAAGATACCCCAAGTGTTTGGGCCCCTGAAGCACGTGGGGAAACTGGAAGAAGCTCTTGGCTCCTGGTGCATGGCTTCCCCGGCTGCTGTGGCCTTATGAGGAGTGAAATATTGATGAAAGATTTTCTTTCAAGTCCTCTCTCTGTAGTTTTGGCTTTCAAATAAATATAATGCATTTTTCAAATTAAAATTAAAGTTTGGGTTCATAATTATGAAATTGTTCATCTGTTTTGCTGGTTTTAGAAAATAAACAAAATGATTATGTCACACGGGAATCTTCAATGTATTAGTGTTTCTGCGTCTTGGATATGCAGTAGGTAAGCAGGGACCAACGTGGTGGCCAAACAGGGGATCTGAATCTGCTTGTTTTGTATTAGTATCGGATCCACATGAAAACTGATGATGAAAAGGTTTAATAAACAAAAAAGGCAATCCATAAAAACATTATGTATTTGAAAGATATGTTGTGAACTATCTTACTGAACAAATTTAATGACTACCAGCCTGTTTGCAGTTCTCAGTTTCCTGTTTCTCCTTGGAGGAGAGTTCTCACAGCGATACTCAGCACAGCACAGGCTACAGGCTACAAGATAATGGCTCAAGGCTCAGCTGACGTGCAGTAAGGCAGGAGACAGCTGTGTGCGGCTCAGGGCTCAGCCAACGTGGAGCAAGGCAGGAGACAGCTGTGTGTGGCTCAGGGCTCAGCCAACATGGAGCAAGGCAGGAGACAGCTGTGTGTGGCTCAGGGCTCAGCTGACGTGGAGCAAGGCAGGAGATGGCTGTGTGTGGCTCAGGGCTCAGCCGACATGGATAAGGCAAGAGATGGCTGTGTTAAGACTCTAGATGCCCCTAGCCCACAACCCCCTCTTCTCACCACTGGCCATGCACACCAATGTTGTTATTGACAAGTAACCACTTACAAATGTTTGTTGCTTTTTGAGAGTTTTGGTTGAAAGTTGTTTGGGGGGGTCACTCATTGATGTGGGTACCCAGAAATAATCCTTGGAGAGAAACGATATACATGAAGCCTCCCAGAACACACTGCCCGGCCCCCAGTGGCTGGGAAGGAAGGAGGGAACCCTCCATGTCTGTGCTGCTCACCAGCCTGGGAATGCCACCGTGCTGCCTCACCACCCGTCGGGCTCGTCTGAACTTGGCAATATTCGCAATCGTCTCTGCTGCCAAGCACTTCAGAATCTTGTGTGGAGAGTCAAGTATGTTGACTATGATGGGCAGTCCGCCGAGGTCAACTATGTTACGTCTGATTTGAGGGTTCTGGCTGATCTCTTTCATGATTTTTAACGAACCGATCTACACGAGGAAAGCAGTTATGAATGAGTCCTTAATACATAGGAAGTGTCATGCTTTTAAAACTCTGAGAGCACCTACAATTCTCCTCCCTTTTCTTTTAAACAAAAATCACTAGGAACCAATACAAAATAGCAAGAGAAAACGAAAGCAGAGAGGAGGGCATAGAACAAGTGCAGCTAATAAAAGGAGGAGGCCGACTAGCAGCATCAATAGCAGAGAAAGGCCAGACCCAGGCAGCCAGGGACTCAGCTACCCCAGAGCCTCAGCAGGGAGGAGACTGTGCCTGCTGCGACAAATCCACTCACCTTACACTTGATTTCATCGGTATCCAGTAAATTGATTAAAACCTCAAGGCCTCCCACGTCTCTGATTGCCAGTTGGCAGGTCTCATGGACTAGGTTGAAATCCCGCATCAAGCACAATGCAATCACTGTAGCTGTTTGACTTCCTCCCTATGAAGATGCAATGCCACAGAAACGTTAGGTCAAACCCTTGCTTTGCCGTAGGTTTGTACCGAATGGTTATGAATTTATGAACTAGGAAATGTATCTCCCAATTCATGTCATATTGAATTTTTAAGTTTTCCGATTGGATTGTTACTTATTCAATGAATGGTACAGAGGTAAAACAGAAATGCCGGACAGAAAACCATTAAACACCATTCCAGTGAAAAACTCAACAGGAAAAGATGTTCTGTCTCCTTTTAACAGCTACAAGAGTAAGCAGCAATAATACACGAAGGGGCAAGCCTTGAGATGGAGAGTGAACATGGCAAGTTTCTTTCTTTAAAAAGACATTTGTTCAATAAAATTTTCAAAGGCATAGTTATAGAAAGCGGGAGGCACACTCACCTATACACAGGTCACTTCCATCCACTGGTTCACTCCCCAAATGGCCACCAGAGCCGGAACTTGGTGGGGCTGAAGCCAGGAGCCAGGAGCTTCTTCTGAGTCTCCCAAGCACGTACAAAGGCCCAAGCAGTTGGGCCACCCTCTGCTGCTTTCCAAGGTGGGTTAGCAAGGAGCTGGATTGGAAATGGAGCAGCAGGGATTTACACGGGATGTCGGAGCCAGGGCGGCAGCTTTATCTGCTAAACCACAGCCTCGGCCTTCCAACAGGAAATTCTATGTGAAATAATAAGTGGTTCTTAAACAATGTGTGGGGGTAAGATAAACGATATCTGAAGTATTAATCTTACACACTATGATACTATGAAATAGGTATATGTGGTCTTGGGCCAACAGGTTGCTTAGTATTCAGCTTTTGAGATAGCGAGCCTGAGAACCCTCCAGGTGATTCTCATATGCTAATGAGGTAGTTGATAAGCTGGCCATTTCTAGATTGAATCTAATCCCATCTACCCTTCTCAACTTTCAGAAAAGGGATGAAAATTGAGTTGAACACAGATAACAATGATTTAATTAATCATGCTTGTGTGATGGAACCCCATTAAACTCCAAAAGGACATGGGAGGGCTTCCAGAGCACTGACACATGGAGGACCCTGGAGGATGGTGGACTTGTGGTACTTAAAGGTCCCAGAGCTCACGAGTTTCAGGTTGGGAAGAGCTGGTTACTGGTCTGAGGCAGAGTGACAGTGAGTCCATTATGGGTCATCTGGTCTTATCTTGTCAGGAATGTATGGAGTGCCCTACTGAGGTCCTGCTGTGTGTTCCCATTCCCTGATACCTAAGACTTAGAAAAGCCCAGTGCTGTATCCCTTAGGTGGTCATTTCGCGCTGGATCAGCTAGTCACTTGGAAGTGGTCCTGGGCCATCTCTAGCCAGGGTTCGGTCCTTTAGACTCTCTCCCATGGTTAATAAAACCCTTTGCCTGAACCCAAAGCCTCTCTCGTCCTTCCAAGAGCCTTTTAACCTAGTAAAGAGTAGTAGTGATTGACGTTTGGCAAAGGGGAGTTGTAAAGTACTTTCCATAAGCAGAAAAGTGAGAATTCTTAAATAGGAGAGCGGAAAAAGATGGCGTTCTGAGGTTGTTAAATTCTATAGTGAGAAGCATTTTCTGTCCATGATATTGCGAAGAAAAAAAAAAAGCTGGGTTTGCTACCTGGCTGATAACAGGCCACAGGAAGGGCAGAAGATGGCACAGCAGGCCAGGGCAGAAGCATACCATCCAACAGTGCCCAACACCGCGGCCTTCGTGAGCCTTGCAGTTCAAGGTCAGAATGCATTCAGCTTTTGTAACCCCGTGACATGAATGAACATTTTAAACTGGAGAACAGTAACTCCACAGATCAAAATGTACATACTTCCAGAGACAGAAATACTCTAAAAGATCTGTGAAAATTGCACAGATTTCAAGAAGCTTTCTTCTAATTCTGCTTCATATGCATGTGCATGTGTGTTTATCTGCAGAAAGAAATCTGACATCTTGTTATTGTTGTAGACAATTGGGGGGAATTTTTATCAGGAAAGAATTAAGGAATCATGCAAGAATTCTACCCCTTTAAAAAAAAAATTCATGAAATGGCTATAAAAATAGTCAGTTACTAAAATCTTAGTTCCTTTAGTTACAAAACGACTCTAGCAAATATATATCCCTGAAGACATGCAGAAGAAAGAGCAAAACAATTGTCCTAAGATGGGCCCAGTGTGGTAACCTAGCAGCTGAAATCCTTGCCTTATTCCCTGGGAGCCCATATGGGCACTGGTTCTGTGCCCTGGTTGCTCCTGGCTTCTGGCTTCAGATCAGCTCAGTTTTGGCCGTTGCGACCCCTTAGGGAGTGAATCCGCAGATGGAAGATCTTCCTCTCTGTGTCTCCTCTCTGTAAATCTTTAAATAAAAAAATCTTAAAAAAAAAAAAAAACAGTAACTGATTGCGACTGGCATCATGACAGAGGAGGGACTGGCACAAAGGCTCGGTGGCTAAATCCTCAGCTTGCATGCACCGAGATCACATATGGGTCCCAGCTCCTCCATTTCCCATCCAGCTCCCTGCTTGTGGCCTGGGGAAGCAGTCGAGGACAGCCCAAAGCCTTGGGACCCTGCACCCACGTGGGAGACCTGAAAGAAGTTCCTGGCTCCTAGTTTCGGATTGGCTCAGTTCTCGCCGTTGTAGCTACTTGGGGAGTAAACCAATGTCCAGAAGAGCTTTTTCTCTGTATCTCCCTCTCTGTAAATCTGTCTTTCCAATAAAAAATACGTCTTTTTAAAAATGACAGAGGGAGCCAAGCTAGTTGACTTCCCATCCACAGAGAACCGAAAAGCTATTCACACACCAAGCAACCTTTCAATAGGCAAGTGGGAGACTACAGTTCCTGCTTTTAACATAATACGAAAGCAGGAAGGGAAGAGTGTCTCTTCCTTGAGTTCCAAGTAGGCCTGGGGAAGTGGGTCGGAATTGAATACAGGTGCCAGGCCCACCTCACTCTAACTCAGCCAGGATCCCATGTCTCTGCCCCACCAGCCCAAGCCCACGCTGTTTGCACCATCTATAATCTCCTCCACCCCTAGCCCAACCTTCACTGGAAAACAGAGGCAGTATTCCAACTTTTCTTGCCTAGTGCCGTGAGATCTAAGCAGCTGATGAAGCCTTAGGGTGGATGTGCCTCTTCGGGGAGATGGACTCACACTTGTGTGGGTCACTGGGGATCTTACGGGAGGGCTTGACCTGTGCCTCTGGTCCTTCACGGGGTCAGATGACTGTGGGACCCAGAGATGACCCAATCTGGTGCCAATCAGAGCACTCGGGGGACAATGTTGATAACCTCTCTCTGATTTGGGCAGATAGTAATGAGCTTTGGAACTCTATTGGGGGCCCAGTACTGGGCTAGTAGAGGCCAACACTGTTACTCATAAGATGGTATCAAAACAAAGTATTTCCTATCTGCCATGCTCAGTCCCATTTTCCAGACAGGAGACAGGGCTGTTACCAAGCAGCCTGGCTTCTTTATGAAGACCCTTCTTGAAACACCTCCTCCAAATAGCCACGTAAATAGCTGGAGGGATGCTTACCAACCCTATTGGGAAACAAATATATACGCAGTGAGCCTGGAAGCAGAATGTATAACTTTGGGAGAGGATTTAAAATGGATATTACATAGTACAAAAAGTTTTTCTTGCAGGAGTGGAGAGGGGTCTGGTGGAATAAAAGACAGGGGTAACCCCTGAGCCTATAGGACTATATCATGAAAAATAGAAATTAAAACTAGTTGTGCTTACCTTTAAATACCTCACCAGCTTCTGAATTTGCCAGTACTCTGATGGCAAATCCACGTTTGCCTCCTGACGGTGGTCACTTGGTTCCTCCTCTTCCTCACCCTCCGAGGGGCTCTCACTTGATACTTCTTCAAATTTATCGACATTTTTACTAAGGACAACAACAAGAATTAGTTTCTACCGAGAGGCTACACCATAGACAAAGCTATGCAAATAATATTTTGGCATCATGTATATACGCAACAGGTCAGATACTGACACTTTCTGAGAAGTTTATTCTGATCTACATGGGAAAGAAAGTAACCCACGGCTCTTCAGCAGGAAAGGTTTAGTGGCGTTGTTATGTGTACATGACTAATAACGACAGAAGCAGTGAGACATAAGCAAAAAAAAAAAAAAAGAAATAAACATCCTAAGGCCGTATTGTATATTAACAACTAATTTCAGGTATTTGTATGTTAGCTAGAGTTTATACACTTAAAATTGAAGAAAATGAAAAATTCATTTTTGAAGTCACACCAGCCACATTTCAAATGTTCAACAATCTCATGTGACTACTGGCTACCATACAAGCCAGCCTGGATTCTGACCACCTATTTTTTTTCCTTTAATATGCATTTATTTAAAAAGGCAAACTTACAGAGAGAGAGAGAGAGAGAGAGAGAGAGAGAGAGAGAGAGAGAGAGAGACATTAGAGAATGAAATCTTGCATCAATTGGCTCATTCCCAAAATGGTTGTAAAAAACTGGGACTGGGCCAGGACAAATCCAGTTGCCTGGGTGTTCATCTGGATCTCCCATGTGGAGTGTCAGAGGCCCATGCAGTTGGGCCATCTTCCAGTGCTCTCCCAAGTGCATCAACAGGGAGCTGCTTCAGAAGTGGAGCAGCTGGTAACCGAGCAGGCACTCATAGGCGATGCTGGCGTTGGAGGTGGCAGCCTTACTTACTGTCACACAAACAGGTCTTGATTATTTCTTACAATGTCAGGATTAAATAACTGCACACTGTTGACACCTAGTGCAAGGGTCTCCTGTTGATAAGGAGAATCAACATGGAGAACAACCCTCTCCATGAGGCATGCATAGAAACACTTAGAAGGACACATGATGTTAAGAGCAGCAATGGGCAGAACATAACCAGATACAGGACTGAGGCGTCCCGGACCAACTCCTAAATATTGGGTGCCACAGCACTTCACATTCTGTGATTTGACCCAAAAACAACATTATCAGCAGAACCTTAGGCAAATCAGTGGAAAAGGGCATAGCCATTGTTCAAGAGTCGACTCAATGTGCCTGCAGAGATTCCTAATGCACTCATTGCACCTGCCCATCTCCACCTCCCACCCGGAAGCAGGTGTCAGCCACTAGATCACCAGTGTGATCTCAGCGACTGCTTACACACACGGGAGGGGATCGTGAACCCAGCAGGTATGTTGAAACTGCTTGTCACATAGTCCTGATTTCAGACAACAAAAGTGTACTTCCAAATCTTCTAGCTAATTCTAATGTTAAGGAATTCCAACAGAAACTATGATTTATGGAGATCTTGTATATGACAGGTACTCTACAGGTCTAAATCTCCTAATACATCTTAGAATGTTCTCTGCTTCTGTTCCTGTGTTTCATTGTAGATTGTCTTCTAAGATCCATGTTTCTTGTTTAGAATTCAGCACCTAGAAGGTACTCCATAAATACCTGGTGAACGAATGACCGAATTAAAAATAATGAGATCAATGCTGTGGCTTTGTGGGTTAAGCCGCAACCTGCACTGTTGGCATCCCAGACAGGCACCAGTTCAAGTCCTGATGGTTCTGTTTCTGACCCAGCTCTCTGCTGCTGTGCCTGGGAAAGAAGTAGAGGACGACTCAACTGCTCGGTTCACTGCACCCACGTAGGAGACAAAGCTCTTGGCTCCTAGTTTTTACTTGGTATGACTCTGGCTGTTGTGGCCATTTGAGAGATGACCCAGTGCATGGAAGAGTTCTCCCTCTGTCTCTCCTTCTCTAATTCTGTTTTTCAAATTAAAAAAAAAAGCACAAAGAGTGAACGAATGAACAAACCAATGTATTCAGGATAGTTTAAGGTGCTTGAGAGATGGCATTTCTGGTGATGAATTCTGGGAAATGTCAAAAAAAGAGTGGGTTGATGGAGAGGGTGCAACAGCTAGCCAGGAAAGGAAGAGCCTTATAAGACATAAAACTTAAAGGCAGTGCATATCCTACTGTGATCCACACCACAGAACATGCTGGGTCTGACCCCACTTTTACATCAAAGGTCACATCCGAAGCCTTGCTCTTACTAGACGGTAGAGGAGCACGGCAACTTCTTTGCTAGTTTGAAACCTATTAAGAGTCAGGATTTTCACAAGTTCCCCATAGAAAGTAGGCCTCCTCCATCCTTCCCCCCAGCTACAGTGTCAGTGGCAGCCACTGACAGTAACAGCTTCAACTCCCACTACACAACCGCAAGTAGTGGAGCCCTGATTTTCCCATACCTCCCCACCCCAAGGCAAGGGTCCAAGGTGGCCTATACTTTAAAACTCATCTTGCAATTCCTCTTCAGCCCAAGAAGGCCTGCCAGAGAAGACCTTCTTAAACACAGATTTAAGCAAGATCAAGAGTTTCATGAAGCTAATCACCAAAATGCACGCGTTTCTATTGAAAATTATTTGCCATGCAAAGAACCAGGAAGATTTCATCTTGAATGAGAAAAGAAAAATTTGGATGTCAAGAACAAGCTGATAGGGGGCCAGCACTGTGGTGCAGTGGCTTAAGCCCCTGCCTTTCCATCAATGTGCCTAGCAAAGGCAGTGGAAGATGGTTCAAGTGTGACCCAAGTGGAAAATATGGCTTCTGGCTTCAGTTGAGCCAAACAAGCTGTTGTGCCCATGTGGGGAGTGAAACAGTTGGAAGTTCAAGCTCTTTGTTCGTTTCATCCTCTCTTAGTAACTCAAGTGAGTACAATTAATCTTTCTTAAAAATCAAGATGATCAAGATGCTTGAATTATCTGATGAAGACATGAAGTTTCCATTATAAAAACAATTTAACATGTAACACAAACATGCTTGAAATAAGCTAAAAAAAAAAATAGAATGTCTCAGCAAAGAAACAAAAGCTATGAAAAAGTCAACTGGAAATTTTAGAACTGAAAATTACAATAGTGAAATAAATAACCCACCGAACAGAATCAACAGATCAGAAAAAGCAAGGAACTTGAGGACAGGCCAACCTGGACAACTTAGAGGAAATAAACTGAAAAAGAAAAGTGAATGGAGTCTCAAGGACAGGTGTAACATCTGTTTCTACCATCCCAGGAATAGAGAAAGAAGATGGAATTGAAAAACTATCTGAAAAAATATTAGTTAAAACTTCCCCAAATTTTGTAAAGATCATATACAGCTATACATTGAAGAAGCCGAATTAATAACCCAAATTGACAAGCCCAGGTCAACACAAATTGTAATCAACTTTTGAATCCTACAAAGAATTACCTTGAAAACTAGCCAGAGAAATTATTATCTAGAGGGAAAAACAATTCAAATAACAGCAATTTGTGATCACGGAACATGAAATACTCACTACTTTTCAAGTTCTGGGGAAAAATAATTCACAAACCTAGACCAGCAAAATTATCTTTTTGTTATCAGGAAAAATTGATCTATTCTTAAAAGAATCTATCGACGACAGCAGAAAGACTAAAGAAAGTTGTTTCAACAGAAAACTTGGAAAAGAGACACAGAAACAGGACATCAAGTACAGGGTCAGAGACACGGGACAGAGAGGAAAGGAAGCCAAGTGACAGCCGACATTCAGGGAAGATGGTTAAACCCACAAAGGCAGCCAGCCGCCAACGTGCAGAAGCAGCAGGTGCAGAGGCTGTGGACGGCTATCTGCCAGCGCGTACATGCAATCAACGTGTGGCAGAGGCCCCATCTTTCAGCAGCAAATGGGCGAGTGTAGGAGACTCAGGGGGCAGCTGCGATTGGAGTAGCTTTCTTGCAGGCATTTCAACCTTAGAAATTTCCACCCAGGAGCATGGTGGCTGGAAGAGACGCAAGGCTTGTATTTGCAGCTAATGCCTTCAACAGCGGCTAGAATAATTATAAAATAAGAAAGGCTATAGAAGAGATCAACAGCAACCGTCTACCAACATAATCCAATCTACATGGACGCAGCCCTCCAGGCAGCAACAGCACAAAGCACATTTGTCACAAGAATCTGAAGAACACGGAAAAATTCTCGGTCATACAGAATATCAACAAGTTGAAAAGAACTTCAGAGTGTATGTTCATAATATAAATTAAATATAAATTAAGAATCAAGAATAGAAACATAACAGGAAAAAAATTGGCCAACACTGAAAACTAAATAGCATACCTCTGAAAAACCCAAGAACCCAAGCAAAAAGAAGCCCCAAACCTCAAAGTAACTTAAAAAAACCCTTGAAGGAAACCAATATAATCACATCTTCAAAATACATATCTTAGGTTCTTACTATTACGGTAAGAATGCCGTTGTTGGCGCTCTACTTAGCCGTAGAGTGAGGGTGGCTGTAACGGGTCATACCTCAGTAACTGAACTCTTCCATATGGAGCAGATGACATTGTTTTTTCAAATCTTCTGCCATGCTTTTCATCTTGGCTGTCTTTTGCAGGACTTTTGTGGCTACAAATAAAACATTTTCTATCAGCTTTGTGGCCTTACGGTAACGAATGGGAAGCAAAAGATGGAAATGTAGATAGATTTGCTATAATTCTCACATCCACGAAATACATTTTCTTCATGCACGGAATGACAAGGTCCAGCCTCACCTGTCACTTGGAGACGTTCCTTTTGCTCTTCAAGTGCAGCATTGTATTTTGTTTATTAAAGAAATACCTTGTCTGGGGCTTCTTTGCACTAGACGCAGGCCCCCTCAGGCTGACTGTGCTGTGTGAGTCCTTCATATGCCTTCTATGCTAGGGACTTAGCTGCTCAAATGATGGCTGCCCAATGTTATCTTTCACATATAACGGTTAAGACATCTGCCTTTCCTGAGATAGCCTTTAGCACATACTTGGCTCTCATTTGGTATTTCTCAAGGAAATTCATCATCTAAGGAAGTATTTGCACAAAGAAATATTTTGAAACGCACTTTCCAATGAACAGCGCTGCAAACATCATTTTCCTTGCCAGGTTGTTCATTACTAAGTGTTTCCCATCGGTAGTTAACTGTACAGGAAAGTCGGTGTCCAAAACACTGCGCTGGCAGAGCAAAGAAGGTGAAAACCAGAATCGCCCAACCCAGCCACCCTGGTCAAAACAAACGAGAATCTGAGGAGCGAGAGTGTTTTCCTTTGCCACAGCACTTTGGACGACTCCATGATTTACTGTCGGGCGGGGCGGGGGGGAATGGTTGTGGCACAGTGGGTTAAGTCGACTCCAGCTCCTTCCTTGCTTGGCCTGCTCTCAGTTAATTTAGCAGCAGCAGATGTGGTAGGTCCCTCCCTGGGTCTTTGCCGCACCCATGGGAGATCTGGATGAAGCTTTTGGCCTGGCTCAGTTCTGGCCATTACGGCCATTTGGAGAGTGAACCATGAACCCACTCCTCTCTCTCTTTGACACTTTACCTTTTAAATGAGTCAATCAATCTTAAAAACCAAAATAAAACACCATCATCCTGCAGTTGTCAGAATTCCAGCAGGTGAAGGTCCCCGAAGATAGTTCTTAACCCAACTATGTGGCAAAGCAAATATTAAATCAAAGTTAAAATATGTGAGCTACTGGCCAAATGTAACTAAGTGCTTCAGGGGCTTTTGACTGCCTTCATATTTAGGACTCTGTCTTTGTTGTCCCACCTATTTGTAGAAAATCCCAAATAGGATGAGTTTCATATAAGGTAGATCAAACACGTGTGCAATTTACACAGTACCACTAACATTTTTGAAAATTTTAAGTCTTTTTATACAACGAACGTCCTTCAAAAGTTTTATGCGAAAAAAAAAAAATTGATGCCAAAACTTTGAAATCTGTGCTTCAGAGAGATCCTAAAAGCACTGATGGAAAAGAATGTTACGACAAAAGTTATATGTGGATTTCCCATGCTACTCATACCCAAGCCAAACTTTTCTTTTAATCACATTCTCCCACAAGCTTTTTGGAGTCTCGCAGGTGTCTACGTACGCTTTGGTGTCTATAGAAGACCTCCAGTTCAACGTTGGCTTCAGTCTCCTGCTCATCTGATTTTTCATGAAATTATTCTGATTCTTCTCCAATGCAGTCTTCCGCGAACCAGTTACAGCTTTACGGAATGTAGCTGTCTCCTCTTTCTTTAGTGCCTCCTCCAGTTCCTTTTTTTCCATTGATTTTGGCTCTTTGAATTGAGTTGCCTTCATAAAAATTAAGGAAAACAAATCTTTACGTCGATATACTTTTGAATTATCTATGACTACCTAAAGATGAACACTTTTCAGGGAAAGAAAAGTCTCTTCTACATCTAATTTCTATAGTTTCTAGCAACGATGCCTAAGGCCACGTCCAAGCCATGGCCTCTGCTTGCGTGGAGCAGGTGATAATGAGATGGTTCCCAGTATTTCTTGGCAGTTGGCTCTGCTGCAACACACACAGACGTAACAGTGGGGGTGAATGTATTCATTCCTTACCACCACTAGAGAAAACTACACTCCAGGCCTATGTTAATGAGATACCACCTGTGCAAGTTGCTTAAAACAAGGACAAAGGAAACATCTGGAAAGTAGCCAGAGATGAAGGTCACATCCATACAGAGGAGGGAACATTAAGAATCTTTCCATCACTGTTTATATCTACAATGTCATGATATGCTTTAATTGCAGAATGATGGACTTATGACAGTTACTGAAGGATTGTACTACTATAACAATACAGGGGAGACCGTGGGAGGGAGGGGCAACAGGAAGGCTGGAATAGGAAATCCCTGAGCCTGTAGATCTATATCATGAAAAAAATTAAAGAAGTCATTTTTTAAAAATAAGAGATAAAAAAAAATCATTCCTCTAAGCTTCTAATGTAAGAAATTTAAGAAAAGTGGGTACGGGAAGAATGAAACGCAAAGAAAGCAAAATGAGAAAAATCAATAAGGGCAGAAAAAACTAGAGAGCAAACAAATAATCGAACAAATCAGTACAATAATTATCTAGATCTTTGGAAAATATCAATAAAATTAAAACATTCCACAGTGGGGCCCAGCGGCGTGGCCTAGTAGTTAAAGTCCTCACCTTGAAAGTGCTGGGATCCCATATGGGCACCGCTTCTAATCCTGGCAGCTTCACTTTCCATCCAGCTCCCTGCGGCGTGGCCTGGGGAAGCAGTCGAGGATGGCTCAGAGCCTTGGGACCCTGCACCTGCATGGGAGACCTGGAGGAGGCTCCTGGCTCCTAGCTTCGAGTCAGCACAGCACTGGCCATTGCAGGCACTTGGGGAGTGAATCATCGGATGGAAGATCTTCCTCTCTGTCTCTCTTCCTCTCTGCATATGACTTTCCAATAAAAATAAATAAATCTTTAAAAAAAAATTCCACAGTGGTAAAGTAAAAAGAGAAGACATGAATAATAAATATTAGGAATGACCCCCAGCTGTTGGCAGTGGCCCAACTTGCCTTGTACCTAGGGAAGTGTTACAGTGTTGGGACAAAAGCAGCTAGTAGCTGGCGGGCATCCTGGACCTGGTTAATGCCAAATCTGTGCTAACCATGCCAGTGTGCCAGCATAGTGGCCTAGCCTATTCTATTTCTTTTTCCTAAAGATATGTTGGGTGGTAGGGGAGGTCACCAGGTTTGTGATCCCTGGGGGTGGGAGGCCCAGGGACGCCCAGGTCACCTGGCTTGGGTCATTATGCCTGCTGGTGCAATGAGTATCTGGTCCGTGAGCCACAGGAGCAGGGAGTCTGGCAGGGCCTGGATGGGCAGCCCGGGGTACCAGGAGAAGTCCATTGGCTGCCCAGCAGAACTCGTGATGGAGCTTAGTGTGTGGAGTTGCAGGGAGTCTGGGGGATGGCACAGTTGGGGGCATGCAGGGACAGGAGGATCCACATCCAGGATGGGTGATCTGACCATAGAATGAATGTGTCACTACCGCGCCCTGTCAGTGGAAAAGGCAGAGCAGTGGAGGGCAGGCCCGATGCACATGGAGGATATGGCAGCCCATTGGAGCCTGCAGGGGACGTCTAGTACTACAGCAGAGAAAGGAGAGCAGAATAAATTGAACAACTACCCTAACCCAGCAATGACAGCAAGTATCTGGGCAAATGGGAGACTCGAAGGTGGGGTATGTCAGCCAACAGACATTGCTAGGATTTCCTAATCCTTGGATCAGCGAGATCGACAGCATCTCAGAACTATTAAAACCACTTAAGCACAACCCTTGCAACATGCTCCACGTCATGGATCCTGGGTTAATATGGCCATTCCCCACCCCCGGGTACTGGGGTGGCTGGGTGTGACTTCTCCCCGTATGTCCCCCTTTTCCCCCAAATATAGGAAGAAGAAAAAGAAAATTTGGCAACAATGGTCTCATCCAATTCCCCTAACCCTCCCACCCTGATCAACTACGCGAACATCATCAAAAATAAAAATTAAAAAACACACAAATGTTAAGAATGAAAGAGGAACCATCACAACAGATGCTCTAGCTATTGAAGAACAATAATGAAATATTGCACTTGTGATATAAGTAAATTAGATAAGCTACACAAAAATGTAAAAATTAATTGAAAGACCAATGTTCAGGAAATGAAATCTGAATAGATTCATATCTGTGAAAGAAATGGAATTGTTTTATAAACCTTGCAGTAAATACTTGGTGCAGGTGAGTTAGCACAAATAGTTAAGACAGAAATGACAGTTATTCCACACAAAGATTTCTGGCCAAAAGAAAATAGTGAACATTTTCCAACTCTTTTCATGAGGCCACACTACCCAGACAATCAGATGAGGCAAACGTTAAGACATAATTTGTAGCTCATATTCTTCATTAGGACAGACTTTTAAAAAAAATGCTTAGAAAAATTTCATCAGATTTTACCCAGCAACATATAAACAGGATATGACATACGATTAAGTGAGATTTACCCTAGAATCCAATATTTGAAAATCAATGTAATCATCAGATTTGCACACTGTAAGAAAGAAAAAGACATAATTTCCAAACAAGCAATAAAATGACAATCTTTTGATACGCTCCCCTCCAGCAGTTTAAGCACAGGCTTCCTGGGAAATGCACAACAAAGCCTTCCCCTCCCTGTTAGGGTCAGCTCAACGGATGTCTAATGAGGAGCCTGACCATACACCTCTGCTCCACGGCCATGAATCCCCATAGACCACAAGGGTTGCCAGTGTGAAATGCATAGGTAGCCTGAACATACACCTCTACCTCCTGGTAATGAACTGTATACTGCCAGGGTTGCCAACATGAAGTACCAGGTAGCCTGAACATATACCTCTACCCTACAACCTTGAACCCCCTTAGACCATCAGAGTTGCCAACGTGAAGTAAGCAGGGAGCCTGAACTTTGACACTCACCTTGACATCCTTGCCCCAGTAAGGTGTCAGAGAAGGCCCAGTAAAAGCAATGATTGTTTTGATAAACTCCAGAGCTTCTCAAAAACCCAGAGGAAAATAAATTGTGTAAGGAACAGATGTGTATATGAAAACAAAAGAGATGTTGGAATAATCTAACAAGATTTTGGTGCAGTCATCATGAGAGTGTGCCAGTGTAGGACTAACAAAAATCCTCTCTCTCCTTTGTAATGTTTCTAAAATCTATTTGAAAGGCAGAGTGACACAGAGTGAGAAGTAGAGAGAAAAAGATCTTCTCTAGCGGTTGTGATTAGAGCAAGCAAAAGTCAGAAACCAGGAGTTCCAAGCGGACCTCCCTTCTGGATGCAGGGCCCAAGCACTTGGACTAAACGCTGCTGCTTCCCCAGTTGTGTTAGTAAGGGGTTGGATGTGAAGTGGAGCAGCCAGGAATCAAACTGGTGCTCCAGGATGAAATGCCAACGTTGAAGCCTACAGCTTAAAACCACTGTAACATAACACAGGCTCCATGAGAAACGTTACAGAAGGGAAACATTTGTAAGGGAAAAACAAAATATCTGCAGGTTTCTTAGAAGACAACACGGAAGCCAGAGGACCCGGAAGAACAGAGCTGAAGTTTTGAAAATGAGCAATTATCAATCAGAATATTATATTCTACAAAAACGTTCTTCAGTAGCAAAGGGGAAATGAAAACACGCTCAGGTAATTAAAAATGAAGTGGGTTTGCTTTGAGAAAACAGAGGTTTTCAAATAGAAAGAATGTGAAAAAGCATAAAAGTTACATGAAAAGCAAAGATAAGAAAAATGGGAACAGTAAAAGTATAGGCAAATACAAAGAACTTCTTCCTTTTCTGGAATGTTCTTGATATTTGATAGCGGAAGCAATCAATGTTGGTGGAGAAAACAGACAATTACAAGTGAAACAAATCTGCAGAGAAAATTTCTATACTTTGCCCAGCTGGGAAAGGGTGAAACCAATACATTGTACTTTTCTTAATAAACTATAATACCTATATCAGTCAGTATAAAATTGATAGTTATTTAAAACGCAACAGATTAATAAAAATGAAACACCAAAAATTGTTCAAGGAATTCACTGAAACGTGAAAGACGAAAAATGGAAACACAGAGAACAAATTGAAATCAAATTAAAATGTGCAGGTTTCAGTTCTCATCTACAATAGTTAAATAAAACAATCTAAATATACCAATAGATACTCCAAGGTAATATCACAGGTAGATTCCTTCTTACCTCCCTTCCTTCCTTCCTTCCTTCCTTCCTTCCTTCCTTCCTTCCTTCCTTCCTTCCTTCCTTTCTTTATCCTTCCTCCCTTCCTTCCAAGATTTATCTCCACTGGAAAGTCACATCCACAGAGAGAAAGTTGTTCCAACTGCAGGCTCACTCACCAGGTGACTGCAATGGCTGGAGCTGAGCACATGCCAAGCCAGGAGCCAGGAGCTTCCTGCGAGTCTCCCACATGGATGCAGGGTTCCAAAGCTTTGGGTCATCCTCCACTGCCCTTCCAGGCAAAAAAGCAGGGAGTCGGGTGGGAAGTGGAGCAGCCAGGACACAAGCCTGTGGCCACGCAGGATCCCGGTGGTTGCAAGGCAAGGATTCAGCCACTAGGCTGTCATGCTGGGCCCCATAGGATTGATTTTAAGGACCCAACCATATACTACTTTATAAGTATTTTACTTCAAATAGAACATTCAATTGTATAAACAGAATGAATGTAGAGATGGTCTGTTGTAATAGATCAACATAATTCCTTATACGGAATATAGATTACAGTACATTTCTTTCGAAAAATCTGAATATTCTACTGGATGCTTCCTTAGTCTATAGGACTCTAAACAAAATGGTATTAACAGCTGAAATCCTTACAATTCATTCACACGAAAGTATCACTAGATTACATTAAATGCATCAATTTTTTAAGCTAGGGGAAAAGGAATAAATGCAAGCCTGAGCAAAAAGAATAAATAACAAAAATCAAAGTAAAGCAAAACAACAACAACAAAAAAAGAAAAACAGTAAAGAAAATATATATACATATATTACATAGCGTTACAGTAAACCCTGAAGCCAGATAGTGCAAATCCTCCAGGGGTGTACCTTGGCTGTTCTAGGTGTCTAGGTGGATGCAGTACCCATCAGTTCACATGACAGACGGGGCTGGGGCAGAACTGATCAGGCAGATGCATCCACCGTGGTGTGAACTGGCTGGTGCAGGTGATGGATCAAACTTGATCCTGCGCTGGCTGGTGCATACAAGAGTCAAGTTGGAGGTAACCCCACGTGAAGATTCTTGGGGTTCTTGGGCCCGGCGCGGTGGCGCAAGTGGTTAAGGTCCTCGCCTTGCACACCCGGGATCCCATATGGGCGCCGCTTCTAATCCCGGCAGCCCCACTTCCCATCCAGCTCCCTGCCTGTGGCCTGGGAAAGCAGTCGAGGATGGCCCAAAGCTTTGGGAACCTGCACCCACGTGGGAGACCCGGAAGAGGCTCCTGGCTTCGGATCGGCATAGCATCGGCCGTTGTGCTCACTTGGGGAGTGAATCATGGGACGGAAGATCTTCCTCTCTGTCTCTCCTCTCTGTATATCTGCCTTTCCAATACAAAAGTAATAAAAATAAATCTTAAAAAAAAAAAGATTCTTGGGGTTCTCCCCAGCTAGATGACTGCACTCCAACTGTGGCCACAGAGAAAAATCACAAGATCTGTGGTCTGACTTTGGAGTGCCTGGGTTGGGACTGGACCTTCTCAGTTGCTGATGTCTGTGCAGTGGTCAGCATGCCCAAGATACACACAGGGACAAACGGCCAGCTCATCCAGGTCAGCAGAGGATGGAGGTGCCTTATCAGAGGATGAAGAGCAGAGCAGGTTGAACCACTCCCCTGGTCAAGCTTTGCAACATGTGGATGCACTAAAGTGGACTTGGATTTTTTTTCTTTTTTATAGATTTATTTATTTTTATTGGAAAGCCAGATATACAGAGAGTTACGACACAGAGAGGAGGGTCTTCCATCTGCTTATTCCTTCCCCAAGGTGCCGCAATGGCTGGTGTTGAACCCAAACCGAAGCCAGGAGCCTGGAGCTTCTTTTGGGTCTCCGACACAGGTGCAGGGTCCCAAGGCTTTGGGCCGTCCTCCACTGCTTTCCCAGGCCACAAGCAGGGAGCTGGATGGGAAGTGGGGCTGCTGGGATTAGAACTGGCACCCATATGGGATCCCAGCACATACAAGGTGAGAACTTTAATCACTAGGCTACTGCGCCAGGCCTGGAGTTGGATTTTTTTCAACCCTGGTACAACAAAGCCAACAATGTCTCAGAACTATCAAACCACTCACGTAGCACCCACTGGATACTCTCCCCACACCAGAGTCCCAGGCCAGACCCACGGGACACTCTCCCCACATTGTAGTTTCTAAGTCATCGTCAAAAACTGTCCCCTATTCCTGGTTGCTGATGTAGTTTGACAGCAAGGAGTGGCCCCTCCTCCTCCCTCCCTACGGACAAGGACAAAAAAATGGAGACATTTGTCCTTCCCACCTTCCCCCATAACTCGACCCTCCCTACCCTAATTGGAAAGCCACATGGGCATGCATTCCTTTCAACTATGTAAGCTATGTAATCAAACAAACAAATAAATAAATAAATAAGGTAATAATTATTGGAAGGCTATAATGATACAAATCGTTAAATCTCGATGGTTTCTGATCAGGGCTAAATCTTTTATTTATTGTAGATTTTAATACCAAAGGAAAGATGAAAAGGTCCTCTTAAAAACATTTCAAGAATTATATCCACAATCTAAATAAAACCAGAAATATTTCAAAGTTCAACAGTTACAATACTTTTCTCTAGTGCATTGTGAAAAATTAAATCAGGCTTCAAAAATACACGTGGCTCTCCAGTTGTCGAATGCAATTTCCTATTGAGAAAGCTGCAATTAACACGATAGTATGAAAAATGCAAAAGAGGCTGTTAGAACTTACACGTTTAGACATATTTTCTGAAAATTTTGCTGATTTTTCTCTTAAACATGTGACAATGTCTTCGCAAATCTCTCCTTTTCTTTCATACTTAATTTCATCTTCATCATCCGTTTTTCCCTTTGGGGGAAACAGATTCCATGATTAACAACACGGTGAGAATTAGCACACAGATCTTCTTTTTTCTTTTGATTTTCTTGGGGATTCCTGCGGTGGCCCATGTCCATGGATGCGCAGGCCAAGCCCTTCCCCTCCAGCTTCCTGCTGTCCATTCACTCACTCTGTCCTCTCTTTCAGAAAGCACTTGCTGAGACGCTCCTCCAGCTATTCAGCAAACAGTGGGAGCTTCTTCCCTCCTCCTGCTCCCCTCTCTATGAAATGCACTGTGACTTCAAAAGGCTGAGCTGATGAAGTCACAGAAGGCCTTTGTCCCTGCAGCGTTCTTGCTCCTCCCCGCTGCTGCCTGCTGTGTAGCATGCTCGCAACCGCTGGATCCCCTCCGAGTGCCCGTCCCTCCCCACTCTGACTCCTTGCTTCTTTCTACTTCTTGTTCTGCAGGCTAATTATCCTTAACTTATGGCCTATTTCTGTATGAATCTATACCATAGAGTGATATAGATAAACACGCAAATGTATTACAAGAAGGTCATGTACAATGAAATAAAAGATAAGTTTCTTTTGGTGCAAAGTCTGAAATCCATGCACCAGTTCTTCATCCTACACAGTTTTCATGAACTTCTTGAGCGCGCCTCATGCGTGGATTTCAAATTGTTTTGCACCAAAAAATGAGTTTAAAAAATATATTTTATTTATGTGAAAGGCAGAGAGAAATATAGAGGCAGAGAGAGAGAGATAGAGAGAGTCAGATTGAAAGAGCTTCCTTCCACGTCTTCATTCTCCAGATGGGCCAAGCTGAAGTTGGGAACTTGCTACAGGTTTCCAGTGCGGGTGGCAGAAACCCAACGGCGTGGGCCATTGAGCAGCCTCCTCCATCCCCCACCACACACGCCAAGCAGCCATAGTGTGCAGGGGTGGAAACTTGAGAACAGTGGCTCAGATATGCGCCGTGGGCCTCAACAACATCACTGTAACTGCTCCATCCAGTACCCACCTAGAAACGTAACATTGGAACTCCATTGTTCCACTAACCACTTGAACCCTGACTGTATAAAACTCTAGGGTGTGTGCAAGCATCTACATATTTTTATAACCCATCAAACAGCATCTCATTATCCCAGGGATTCAACACCTGCGCCACGCCAGCGTTCATGTATGTCTAGCGACTCACCTGTCAACTGGCTCCATCATGTTATTCAACAATTCCTTACACCATTTAAAAACACTCCTTCCAAACTATAAGTAATGCATAAAGTCTCCACATCATGAGGTTTCTCCAGGATAGAACACATTTCCCCACAAAAGTTATTGTTTTCTCTTGATGTTGTTGCTTGTTTGAAAAAGTTATATATTTGAAAGGAAGACTTGAGAGAGAGAGGAGGAGGAAGAGAGAGAGAGAGAGAGAGATCCTCCATCTACTGGTTAACTCCCCCAAATGGCGCAAAGGCCAGAAATGGCTGACTCCAAAAGTGGTACGAGGGGCTTCTTCCAGGTCTCCCCCATGGATGCAAGAATTCAGGAACTTGGGTCTTCCGCTGCTGCTTTTCCGGGTGCATTGACAGGGGGATGGATGGGAAGTGGAGCATCCAGGACTCAAACCAGCGCCCATAATGCACTCTGGCATCACGGGCGGTGACTTGACTTGCTATGCAACAGCACCAGCCCCTAGAATTTTCCTTTTTTTAGAAAGACTTACAGAGAAATCTATTTCAGGGGAATGACTGGGTAGGTGCAGATCCAGTTGCTGGAGCAGTAGGGCAATCCTCCTCTCACTCTTATCCTCTGGATCATGAATGTTGGTGATTTTACCAATAGTTATTGTAGCTGATTCTTCCGTTATTATGTTATTAACTGAGCCCAAGAGCTTTAACACAGCGTCTCTGTTATCTAACAGGAAAAGATTAAAAAAATTATTACCACAAACACAGACTAACACACCTGCAAATGACACTCAAAACATTTTTATTTCATCAAGCTGTCTCTGATTGGCCCAATTAAAACTTGTGCTTCTGAAATTTTACTGTACTTGGGATCATCTGATATGCACCTTTTGCTGTAACATTATTGAATTCTGTCAGTTCCCTAACATGACGAAGATGAAAACTTTTCAACTTTTTTGAAGAGAGACAAATATTTATCTCCTTAGAAGAACTGGAACTGTGGTGTGTGAGTGTGTGTGTGTGTGTGTGTGTGTGTGTGTGTGTGTGTGCGTGTGTGTGTGTGCGTGTGTGTGTGCACACATGCATGCCAATGCCTGGTGTTCATAAGTGCCCTATTTTAACACAGCAGATCTCTCCCGCCTGTCCAAACAGCTTATATGTTCAGTGCCCTTCGTTGAGAGAATTAAAACCAATCCAACCTGTCCTAGCACATATACCAAAATTATAGTCAAAAACTTAAATACCAAATCATGATCAAGGTTAGCAACATGTGAAATTTGAAGCTTAAGTTGCTGAAAACAGAATTTGGTTAATGTCAAAGAACCATACACATAAAAAAAAAATTAAGGGGCAAGTCAGGTTTAGAATGGAGAAATTCCAGAAAAATGAAAGCATATATGCATAGGGACAGGGATGGGCGAGGAGTACAGGCCTGATTCAGAGTCTGATGCAGCTGAACCGAAGACAAGCCAAGTGCTGGAATTCGTTCTCCAACAGGAAATTGGCTCTGCCATCACAGATAACACAAAAGGCTTATGGCTGAGCCGAGCGCTGCCTCGGAGAGAAGAGACGGGGGAATGAAGCATTTATGGAGCACCTCAACTTCAGAACTTCTGTGACCTCAGTAAGACTTAAGAAAACACATTCACCTATGTATCATGCGTGCTGGCCCTGAAACTAAGGGTCGTACGTCAGCTCCCACAGGAAGAGCAAAATGCAATCAGGGGAAAATAGTCAGCTAAATCAGACATATTGGTGTTACTAAAGAATCATGCATCTATCTATTAACTGCATTCTTCAATTCAATTTATTCTCAAGAATTCATCCCTTCTCAGGAAAGTAGCTTTGGTGTACAGACAGCCTAATGAGGAAAAACAGGCAAGCCCTAAAAGAAAAAATAGGCTGTTATCTTAAGAAGGCACTTTGAAAATGTATTAAGTGGATCACTTTCCCACATGATACAAATTGGATACAACTCGGATGCTTTCTGCTTTACACCTGCTGGCCACATAATTCTGCTGGAGCGTTTTCAATTGTAAGACGTATTTGCAATGCTATTTTGGCAGATAATTAATTGCATTTTTTTATGTTTAGGTGACAACGAGAGTACTACATCTTTTTCATCATGGAGGATAAATATTTCCCCCAGACCTCAATGAATGCGGCCATCACAGAAGGCTGGAGCCCCTCTACAAAGGCTATTTATTTATTTAGTTAGTTTTTTTTTTCAAGATTTATTTTATTTTTATTGGAAAGTCAGATATACAGAGAGGAGGAGAGACATAGAGAAAGATCTTCTGTCTGGTGATTCACTTCCAAGTGAGTGCAACGGCGGTGCTGTGCCGATCTGAAGCCAGGAACCAGGAACTTCTTCCAGGTCTCCCACACGGGTGCAGAGTCCCAAGGCTTTGTGCTATCTTTGACTGCTTTCCCAGGCCACAAGCAGGGAGCTGGATGGGAAGTGGGACTGCTGGGATCAGAACGAGCACCCACATGGGATCCTGGCGCATGCAAGACGAGGACCACAGCTGCTAGGCTATTGCACCAGGCCCAATAAATGTTTTTTTTTTTTTTTAAAAAAACAACATTTAAAAAGACTCTAGGTAGGATTATTAATTGTTTTCTTGATTCCATCTTGGTATTAAATCAGCATTATAAAATGTCATAAAAATCATTTGTTGGATTAAATAGGATTAAGAATTGATCTACAAATGGGCAGAAAAATAAGGTACCTACAATTCGTATGTACATTTGCTCTGCCCATTTGTTAGCTTTTGTTTTACCTGAGTTAGTAAAAATAAGAAAACTAAATCTTTTATCAAGATACATTTCCACTTCTCTCCTTGTTGCCAATTCGTTATTTTTTTGGCCCAAGAACAAGCACTGCCATTAACACAAAAAAAAATTTGCATGGGTCAGAGCTTCCAATTAAAATTAAAATTAAAGCATAAGGGGAAAAAAATGTCTTTTGCATATATTTGTTTACATAAACAAGGACTCGGCATTTTCTCTACAGATCCGAAAAGAATTTATTTCCCTTTTTGAGGGTCAGCTTCGCTTTCCCCCTACTGTCAGTAAAACAAAACTTAATACGCCCAAGCAGATGCAAGCTGAATTTTTAAAAAATTCTAAGTAGTGTTTTCTTAAAACAAAACAAAACAAACAACAACAAAACCAGACTCAATGCGACCGATTTGTAAATGCAATTCTATAAACAATCCAAACCCCCGGCGCTCTGGTCCCCTGAGCACCCAGGGACGCGGGCAGTGAAGGTGGGCAGTGGAGGGGTGGGGAAGAGGCAGCGAAGACCACCCTGCCAGCGGCAGGAAACAGGGTGGGAGGGGCAGCCGAGACCCGGCAGGGGTAGTGGCAGATAAGTGGGGGTGCAACGGAGAAGGGCAGCAGGTAGATGCCATCCTCCGGCAATGCAAGGCGGCGAGAAGAACCGAGGCTGTCCACGGCAAAACTCTTGCCTCAAGGCAGCATAACCCCGCACCTGCACTCACCTGCACGCACCAACGTCGCCCCGCCGCTCCTGTGCGCACAGCTGCTGTTGCCAGGACACCGGTAAACATCCTCCTCTCTCCCGGGCGCACCCGTCCTCCTCCTCCTCCTCCTCCTGGGGAGATCCGGCCTCGGTGGCGCCGCCCCCACATTCCACCCCAGATGCCGGTGGACATTGCCGGGGCTGCCAGCCCTTAACTCTGCAGAGACCCCCCCCCTCTGGTTCCACCTGTGCTGCAGCCTGCTAGGGACCCCCCCCCTTTATAACCACGAACGTACTGTTAAGATGAACTAATGCGTAGTTGGGGTCAGGTCTGTTGGGTTCGGAGGCTATTGCGGATGAGGAATAGGGACTTTCGGTTTTGGCAAAGAGTTTTGTTAGTGGGGGGAGAGTCACTTTCACGTGGCCAGGGGACTGCGTGAGGGAAATGGCTGCCCAGGGCATAGAGCAGGGAGCTTTTATACCTCTTAGCCACAGGGCACGGAGGAGGAGGCTCCGCTGAGCGCGCAGGTGTCTGCGGGGAGCTCCACGGTGTTGACCCTCTGCGCAGAGACAACGTTAGTGCCACTGGGCATGGCAAGCACTGCTGGATGGGAGTGGCCGCTGGACTTCAGCAGTGCTTGGAGTCACTTCTGCTCTGCCCCACCTGGCACGGTCCCTGTTGGAACAAAGGGGAAGACTCCGCTTTAGAGGGTGCAAGAACCCCAAAAGCCACCTTAAGCAAGAAACATGTGCTGTTCCTACTCCGCTAGGTTTCCAGTTGCGTTCAGAGAAGAGCGAAGCTTTGCTCACAGCTTTGCCTGTGTGGAAGTCATTCCTTCATCTAAGAACCGGGGTCATCTTGGGGCTGTTTTACCCCTAACCTGGGGGGCGGGGCTGGGGGGGATAGGGGGCTAGGGAATCAAAGCTGAGCTACTCGTGTGTCAAGCATGTTGCAGGGGCGACTGCAGCAGCGCTGTGCTCAGGGTGCGGAACCACCACTGTTGCTGAGCAACAGCCCCAAACAGTGGAGGCGCTGGTGGAGAGCCTGTTCCATGGTGCCGGGCTGGGACCAGGCCTGAAGGCATCCCAGACACCCCTGAAGGCATCCCAGACACCCCTGAGGAGGTCAGGATTCACTCCGCCTCACGCCAGCAGCCCACGCCCCCAAACCTAGCAGAACCTCCAAACCGCGTCTGCTCACCCACTGTGCAGCAAGTCCGTCACTGACGTGCAATGGCGGTAGAACGCAGGTCTTATTGCAACGTGCAGACCCAGGAGCTGCACAGCTTTTAAATGCTTACTTCCTGGGCCCCCCAAGTTCTTACAGACAGAAATTGGGGGCCGCGGGGTCTGCACGTTCAAGGTTCTTGGCTGGTCAGTGATGACGTGATCTTCAGGGAGTTTATGATGATCTGGTCGGCTCCAGCCCTTCTGGGAGGGGAGGGCGAAGGGTACTTGAATGTAGTTACGTTTCCTCCAGGATTGCCCAGGAAGAAGATGCTGACCATCGGGGTTCTTTTCTGCAAGCAACAAGAGACTCGTCATTATAGGCTCAGTTTTCTTTTTTCTCAATTTAGTGGACTACTTTTGGAAAAGAGCAGGCAAAGAGACCTTGCGTGAATAAAAACAGACCAGGACCCCTGGAGACAGGGGGAAAGGCGTGGGAGGGTCCATGCTTTGCACAAGAGGGGTTTGGTTTCACCACCACCGAGAAAAGCTGCTAGAAACCAGCCTGAGGCAGTTTTGACTTTGCCAGGTATGAAAACGTGCCCCAGGCAGAACCGTCCACGCCCCCTTTTCTACATTCTGGATCCTTCTGCAGGCTCTTTAGGGATCTCAGTCTTTCGGGGTCTCTTTTGCCGGTCATGAGTAAATAGGGCCTTCCCGTGACATCATCTTCTGGCTAATGATTTGTCAATAACCCATAGTAACTAACCCTGCCTGGTGTTAGGACTTTTCGCCATTAATCAAGATGCCAGACACCGCTGGTCACACAGAAAGGACTTTATTCCCGCGGGAGAGGCGGCCTTGGGGAATGGGAAAGCAGGTCACAGCAAGGCACAGAAGGCAGAGCGAGGGAGAGAGGTCTCTTGCCATTCTGAAGAGAGTGTGCACACAGGAGGAAGGGGGCGGGTAACATGGAGCCACAGCGGATTGGTGGATAGGGACATGGGTGGGTCATGGGACATTGGTAGATGCAGCGGTAGGCGGGCACTAGGGTGGAGGGGCCACAGGCGATTGGTGGAAAGGGACATGGGTGGGTCATGGGAGATTGGTAGATGCAGCGGTAGGCGGGCACTAGGGCGGAGGGGCCACAGCGGATTGGTGGAGGGGGCCGTCAAATACGGTGCCATGAGGTTACAGAAGATTGGTGGAGAGCACGGTTGAGAGGAAAATGGCGCTGAGTCCAAAAGGGCGCTGGTCTTACCAATCTTCAGGCTGCTGTTGGAGTCACTTCTCACACCGGGTCTGTTAACAGCTCGGCTATGGGGAGTCTTGTGATGTGCCGTAGGGGAATGCAAAGCAGCTCTTACTGCTGCTATATGCTCACATTGGTTCCCCTGAATATAGTTAAGGTGTCAACGCATTCCTGTTTGGGGGTAGCTGGTAAGTTCTCTCAAGACCCTGTGTGTCTTGTCTCCTACCCTGACACCTGCAGAGAACGCTTCCAACCTGTGTGTAAAGGTTTTTAACGGGTCAGAGATGGGGCAAGGATACAAATTTGGTTTCCCCATTAGAGTCCCCAAAGGTGTGTCCCCCATGACCTATGCAACACATTTCAATAGAGCTTTCGCATCTGACAGCCATTTGATTAGATCCCATCTAACCTTGGGTTTCCTTCTAGCTTCGCAGGGCGTCAAGCCTATCAAGTTTGAAAGTGCCCACCAACAGTTGGTATAGCCTGTCCCGACATCCCCACCTCTCAGAACATTCCAGGGCCCCCAGCTTATTTAAAAAAAAAAAAAAAAAGCTCAGCCTGTTGAGAACTGAACCTCTGCCACATGTTTTTTCTGTCTGCACACTGGTGCCTGGTCGCCTCTTCGGACTTACTTCTTTGTATGTTAAATCCAATTTGGCTTTAGTCTATGTCCCATCTGTTCTTTGTTCTATGACTCTTTCCCAATAGTCAGAGGCTTAGTATTGCGCGCTAACCCTCTGCCTGTGGCAGTGGCCTCCCATGTGGGAGTCCCAGCTACTTCATTGAGATTCACCACTCTCATGACCTGGGAGAATAGCCGAGGATGGCTCAAGGCCTTGGACCCTTACAACCACCTGGGATACCTGGAAAAAGTTTCTGGCTCCAACGTTTGGACCAGCCCAGATCTGGCTATTGCAGCTACTTGGGGAGTGAACCAGCTAAACGGAGATCTCTCTTCTCTCACTCTTTCTTTTTGTCTCTTCCTCTTCCTAACTCTAAACTTCAAATAAATCTTTAAAGTAAGCAGATTTTTAAGAAAAAGAAGTTTTCTAAAGTAGCTATAATGTAATACCTTTCCAGTAGTTATTGCCAGTTTATGTGTACTAACAATAGACATCACTCGTTCTGACACTGACTGATTCCTTAGCTTAAACGGGGAGGATAGAGGCCCTGTCCTCTGTGAAAACCACAGAACCAAGTTCCAAAACTAAAAGCAGCATACCAATGTGTTATGGTCCAAAGGGAACCTAACACCAGAACATTCCAGAGTGTCTGAAGCCATTGGGTTGTCGTGATTCCATAGAATGGAATGAGCAGATCAAGGCAATGAGACTGGGTATCTGATGCAGCTATAGATCCTCCTTCAGCAAATAATGAAATAGCAGTAACTAAACTGCAAAGCAGATGGCACCTTGTGCAGCCAAGTTGTTCAGTGCAAGGCTCTCAAATTTTCTAGACGATTTTTATGTATTTAAAACTGTGTTGTTTCTTTTTATAGAAATATGTCACTCAAAAAAAAAGTTTGGTTCTTATTTAAAAAAAAAAAAAACAAAACTGGGGCTGGTGGTTTGGAGTCATGAGTTAAACTGTTGCTTACAATGCTAGCTCCCCATGTAGCCATCCTGGTTCATATCCCAGCTGCTCCACTTTCCATCCAGTTGCCTGTTAGTGAGCCTAGAAGAGCAGTAGATATGGCTCGAGTGTTGAGACCTTAGCTACCCGTTTGGGAGACCCAGATGGAGTTCCAGGCTTGTGGCTTGCACCTGGAACAGATTCAGCAGCTTTTACCATTTGGGAAGTGAACCAGACAATGGAAGTTTATTGCCTTTCTCTCTTCCTATCTCCCTCAGTCACTCCACCTTTCAGATAGATAAATCCAAAAAAAAAAATTTCTTAAAAAAAATGATAAAGAGTAACCCCATATTCAAAGTTAAGGCAGATTAGTAAACTATTATTAACCCAATCAGAGATTTAAGACTAGTTCTGATTTAAAGGAACAGTTGGGAGCTGAGGCATCCAGAATATTCCATGTGTGAGATGGGAGTTATTTTGAGAAGATATTTAAATTCCTGTCATTTCTTACCTGCCTAAATGCAGAGCCTCCCAAGGAAACACGAGTGCACCTGTTGGTCCTAAGTTCCTCTTCCTGAGCAAGCAGGGATGACTACCACATCGCCAGAGACACCAGCCCAACATGTCAGACACTGTCATAAAGCTTCCACAGTCCCCATTTGGTTCTCTCTTAAAGGCCAGTATGTCTCTCTAAGAAGTCACTGCTTTCCCTACATGCCTTAAGCACCTCTTGGCATTACCTTGTTCCGTGAACTCTCTGACATGTGAAACTCTTCTCTTGCTAACCTGTCTTTCGTTGATTTAATTTGCAGGCTCCTAGCGCTAACCATGACAGAAGTAGAAATTTCTTGTCCAATATGTGTTTTAAGCTACTCTACAGAGGAGTTCATTCTAAGCCCTGCTTGTGGAATCTTGTATCCCTCCAAATGTACATGAAAATGATAAAACATGTCCTTGAGGGGTCTCCGGGTGACCTATTCCAGATCTCCGACTCGGGGCTCAGGACTTCAGCCAGTGAGGATCTCTGGGTGACCTCCCCCACCCCATCTCCGACTCGGGGCTCAGGACTTCAGCCAGTGACAGGCTGAGGGATGTATTTAGCTACTTTCCTGGAGAGACTGTGTTTAAGCATCTGCTCTGCCATCTCCTATCAGGAGGCCACTTTGCTGTCCTAACCTAGCCTCAGCTTTCAGTTCCTTGAAGACAGTGGGAAACTTGGTTTTGCAACTTGAAATCATGTATCTGCAAGACTATTTATGTAGGTTAAAGCTATCGATTAGTTAGACTGCTGATAAAAGACTTGATAATACAGGTATGAGTGCATTCTTCCGGATTTTTCAAAAGTGAAAAATAGTGACTGAGGCCTATAAAAATGAAAAAAGAGATATCAGAATGAATGTCAAAGACACTGCTAGTGAAATTGATCAGTCAAAGCTATCTGGAGGAGCGTAGGGAGGAAGGTAAGGCTTGATGTAGAGTTCAACTTCAAGTTTTGGATGACAGTTTGCTAACAGGGATGTTACTGAAGCTATCTCTTTTTCTTGAATATGCGTCTGGTCCTACCAGAAAAAGAATTGGCCTCATGAACCAATGAGTTCATTCATTGCTATTTTTCTTATATGATTACAAATATGCCGTAAGCATATATACATTTATATGTAGACATATATGAAAGAGTTTCTGTGTATACGTCAGTCACTTCTATTTGAAGATAGATTCTTGAAAATGTACACTACGGGAATTGGTGACACTGTTGGGAAACACATCTCAACGCATCTTTGAATGTGGCCTCAACTTCTCTGTATTCCAGACTATCTATGATTTCAAGGACATCTTCTGGTTCACTTCCTAAGTGCCTACAAGAGCTGAGGGTGAACCAAAGTTAAAGACAGCAGCCGGGAGCTGCTGTGGGTCTCACATACGAGTGTCAGAAGCCCAATGATCAGAGCCACTACTGCTGTCGCACAGAGGGTGCAGTGACAAGAAGCTGGAGGTAGGAGCATGGAAGCCAGGCCTCCCATAACATTAGGCTTGTTGAATTTACACGTAAAGTCACAACAATGGAACTTCGTTTTGTTTTCCAGAAACGCTTATTTCTGTAAGGTGTGTGTGTGTGTGTGTGTGTGTGTGTGTGTGTGTGTGTGTGTGTGCACGCGTGTGTTTCGCTGGTAGAATCCGAGTCTCTTGTCCTGTGAGAAGCTCCATAGGAGTTTTGGTAGAATTCACTATATTAATATATTTGCCCCTGACAGTTTTATCCTTTAAAATGAAGCCTGCTTCTATCATCACAATAATAGTATTTTTGAAAATATGTTTATTCTATATCTTATATTCAATACTTCAAGAAAGATTACCATGATTTCAGAATGGCATCCCTGGATTCAATAAATATCCATTGTAATTACACTTCATCAGAGTCTGGAGAAGCACAGAAAACACCAGAGAGCTAGAGGGTGCTCCGGAGCGAGCTGCAGGCTCAGGGCTGGGGGCCGTGCAGGGTCAGTCACGGCTAGGGCATGCTCCGGAGCGAGCTGCAGGCTCGGGGCTGGGGCCGTGCAGGGTCAGTCACGGCTAGGGCATGCTCAGGGCAAGCTGCAGGCTCAGGGCTGGGGCCGTGCAGGGTCAGTCACGGCTAGGGGATGCTCGGGGCAAGCTGCAGGCTCAGGGCTGGGGCCGTGCAGGGTCAGTCACCGCACTCTGCTGCCACGGCTTTGAATGACACAATCGATATTTGTTTCTGTAAGGCCGCAGGAAGTGAGGAAGCCTCCAGCAGAGGCGCGGAGGGGCCTGGAGCTGTAGAGGGCATTTGGGTAGAGAATGAGGGGAGAGGGTATGCTGGGGGAGGATCAGAAAGGAGAAAATCCGTCCGAAGGTCCGGGTAAATCTTCTTGGGTCTTTCTGCTGAAGTTTGTGTAGTTAGCACTCGTTCTGGATTGGGGGGAATCCAGGGGCGGACCCAGGGAGGGGGATTTTGAGAGAGATCCTCCCAGACTAAGATGTAAGGTTGCTGATCTGGATGTCCTCTTGGGGCCGCCTGAAAAACAACTCTTTTTACTGCTTTAATAAGACCAAGATCACAGGATCCTTCTCGTGGCCAACCCACTTTGAAAGTGGGCCATTCTTTGAAAGTTTGCCACTTTGAAAGTTTGCCAAGCTCCTCACTTAACCTGTAAGGAAAGATTGTGAGCCCTTTCCTTCACTTCAGTCCAATGGTCAAGAGTCAAACTAAGGGGCATCGTCACAGTCTGTCCCACTGTAATCGTCACAATAGCACACAGAAAAACGAATAAGAAAACACACAAACAAACACGTCCCTCACGTTTCTTCCACAGCAAAAGAAAATTATCAGATGGTCTCAATTCCCCTGGAGCATGATCAGTGCTAATCAAGCCTGCCTGGTCACTTTCAAAAACAGGTGGGGAACTCCCGCAGCAGCGGGAGCCTGCCGAGCGTCCTCGGCTCTCCCTCCTCCCTGGAGCGTCCTCCAGGGCCACGACCTGTGGTCTTCCGGGCACCTCTGCCAACCACTGCCCACGATTCTCACGAATCAGAGGACAGTCGTGAAATGCCGTAGCTCCAGGCAGGGCTCGAACCTCATGAGCAAACCTGCCCCGGGTGAGAGCCCAAGTTGCACGAGCAACCTCACCCCAGAAAGGGAGCTGCAGCGAGTGGGGCTCGAACCTCCTGAGCAAACCCACCCCAGCTGGGACACAAAAGACAAGACACTCAAAACAGGGAAACAAGGCGCCTACTTATCTCCAAACCTGTGTTCAAAGATCGGGGGGGTGACCACGTTTTCCGGCCAACACACCAAAATGTAAGGCTAGGTAGAATGAGAACAGCCTTACCCTCAGAATGGCAAGTCTCCCCAATGATCAACAAAGACGAGGCTTGATGCAAAAGCAGGAGGATTTATTCAGATGCCAGTGCACTGGGACAGAGGGCATTTCCTCATGCAGGAGGGTGGCACATCCATACTAAGTCGCTACATCATATGGCTTTTGTAGGTCAAAATCACAGATACAGCATTTTGAAAAATAGCTTACTAATGGATACAAATAGAATCATAAAACAATAAAGTTAGGGGCTGTTTTTTTCTAACCATCCCATCATAAGACTGCTGTTTCTTTCAGCTTCTTGTCACAATTTTCCTTGAGTTTGCTTTTCTCAGACCAAGTTTACTTTTCTCAGACCTTTGGAGCCTCCTCCAAGAAGTCAGGCACTTTTCGGCTCCTCACTATTTTACCTTGATTCCTGCTGAGATACTTATCTCAGGGCCACTGTTGAATTGTGTATCCTGAATCCCAGTTGAACCTAATCATTTACCAAAGACATCCTATTCAGCTATTCTCAGCAAGTAAGACAAGTAAAGTACAGAAGGCAAAGAAGCAAGTTAAATTTCTCCATTCTAAATTTTTCTTTTCATTTCTACATCATTGCAGGAGTTAAACATGACTGCTGATTCAAACAAGTTAAAACTAGAATCTTTGAGATCTTCAAAAAAAAAAAAAAAACCACAATCAGCTTACTACAAAGAAATTCAGGGAAAAACTGCCAGGACCCTTGATCAGAAGTTTGTCATCTGGTGTGGACGAGGCGCTGGGTTAGGCTAGCACAGAGCATCTGCCCCCGCGGGAGCTGTGAGCTAAGGAGTGGGTGGACGAATGAGGGCTTCTGTACGAACAGACCAGCCCTCCCAGTGTTCCAGTACAGGCTCCTGCGTGTGCAGCTAAGCACTAACTACTGAGCCAGTGTTACAGAAGCAGAACGTTTAGATGGACTGTTTATCAAGCTAAGCAGAGCTGCCTTCTCACCTTCTACAGCCCCCCACCTTCACAGTGATAAAAGTGGGTACCAGGCGTGGGTGGGTTGTGTTATCTTCCGGTGTGACAAGGTGCAGGTACACATGGGATGAGCTACTGATGGACTTTCTCAAAGCACTCCTTGGAAGCAGTTGGATTTTGGCTTGATTGTGGGAGAATTTGGTGTCCAGTTGGCCGGGCACACCTCGCCGTGGGTCTCTACATCCTGGAACGCCTTCACTAGGCGAAGGGTCTCTTCTACGCTGTGGCCCACTAGCAGGTCATTGATGCTCAGGTGCTTGATGACCCCATTGGGGTCAATAATGAAGAGGCCTCTCAGTGCCACCCCGGAGCCCTCCAACAGCACACCGTAGTCTCGGGAGATCTGTTTGGTTAAGTCTGACAGGAGTGCGATGTTCATGTGGCCCAAACCACCATTCTTGCGTGGCGTGTTGATCCAGGCAAGATGGCTGAAGTGGGAATCCACGGAGACAGCGACAACTTCACAGTTCACATTGTGACACTCCTTGGCTTTGTCACTAAAAGCCACGATTTCTGTAGGACACACAAAGGTGAAATCCAGCACGTAGAAGAAAAGCACCAAGTATTTCCCCTTGAAGTCATCGAGGCTTAGGTCTTTGAACTCGCCATCGACAACGGCCGTACCCTTGAAATAGGGCGCGTGCTGGGTGACTGCAGGAACATGGCACGAGGAGCTGGTGCTGAAGGCGAGTTTTGCCTGAGCGGAGCCACACCAGGAGAGGCTGGCCCAACAGGATCTTGCAGATGTAACAGGTCTGGGGGCTGAGAAGGCAGAAAGGCCCCGAGCAAGGGCACCAACCTGCGGGGCGAGCGAGGCCTGAAGCAACCCTTAGAAGCAACCCTTAGAAGCAACCTTCCTGCAGCAGCCGCCATCTTCAGTGCACGCGGGCAACCTCGGGGAATAGTATTTTTGATTTACAAATTACAAGCTGAACAAAAGCTTTGACTAATTGTAGTAGCCAGTATTTTATTTTCAGTCTAGGCTTCCTATACCGGAGGCAGGAACTGAGCCTCTTGAGCCAACATTTCAAGATGCCCAGGAGCAAGAATTCAGAATACTGAGCACAGCCAGGGCCTGAAATGGAAAACTCTGATACTCAATGCAGGCACCCCACCTGCCACCTGAACTCTTATGCCAAACACCTGTCCCCCAATTATTTTTAAATAAAAAAATAATATTTCTGAATACACTATTGTTTTGTCTAAGATTATGTAACGAAAATGACATATTCCATGTAGTCTTTGGTCAGCTCATCCTGCTCCTGGTATTCAGTTAAAGCAGTGCTTGCATTGCAGCCTTTCCACGGGTGATTCTCAAAGAAAATGCGTCATCTCCTGCGGCCTTCTAGCTCTCACATCCCATTTCCTGTCCTTGCCAGAGAAATGGGATGGCGATATTTTGCACAGAAGTTACGATTTATAGAAAGTCTAAATCAATGTAAATAAAAGCTCTGTATTTTGCTGGTTTCCTTAACCTGAACCCTTAGAAAAATGGAAGTGCTGTTACTTTGGCAAAGAAATGACAGCTTTGAAATCTGTGTATGCTGAGTGCAAGTAAAATTAAATCACTTATGGTGCTACAAACAGACTGAACATTTGTGAAAAGGATTTGACTCAACTATCCATTTCTCCATTTTGTTAACAGCTATTTAAAGTTATTATTAATATATCAATTTTAATGAAATATTTTTTATCTCTATAAGTGAATTATTTTTAGATTTGTATTCATTTTTATTGGAAAGGCAGATCCACAGAGAGAAAGGAGAGACAAAAAGATCCTCCATCAGCTCCCCATGTGGTTGTAGTGACCCAAGCTGAGCCAATCTGAAGCCAGGAGCCAAGAGCTTCTTCCAGGTCTCCCATGCGGGTGCTGGGTTCCAAGGCTTTGGGCCGTCCTTGACTGCTTTGGCAGGCCACAGGCAGGGAGCTGGATGGAAAGCGGAGAAATTGGGACACAAACCCGTGCCTGTGTGGGATCCTGATACTTGCAAGGTGAGGATTTAGTCATTGAGCTATTGTACCGGGCCCCATAAGTGAAATCTGAAGTTTAATTCTGATAAAACAAGTACAAATTATACTATATGTATTGTTTTGAAACCTCCTTGCCACAACAGTTGTCAGGGCATGTATTCTCTGAAGAGGAGCCCTAGTACTTTCTCCTGCTGTGTCTGCCAGATCCTTTGTCTGAGCTCTGCAGACAAAAGCGTCTACCTGACGCTGCTTTCCTTAGGGAGACTCTTCTTGGAACTTCCACGGTTTGATGGATTCTGTTAGTACTACGACCTGCTCTGCAGTTTCCCCAAAGCAAAATGTTCTCTGTTGCTCTGTGCTTTAATCAAGTTCCTCTGCAATGGATACTGCAGTTTATACACACGTCTGCATTGATTTCTAATGAATGCCGTGATATTTCCAAGGATGTACTTTTGACTCTTAAGCCTATACTTGGTCTTACTGATTTGTTGTTCTTACACTTATGCCTGATTTTTACTTTTTATCTTGTTACAGCTTACATAGTTTTAAATACTCTCTGTATTAAAACAGATTGGAAAATGCTGAGACAAGCTTGTATCCTATAATCTGTACTCTAATGATTTTGCATCGTAAATATAATTATCACACTATTTGAAATAAAGAACTTAATTCAGACAGAAAAAACTATAATCTTAAAAATATTATGGATTGGGGCCCGGCGTGATAACCTAGTGGCCAAATTTTTGCCTTGCATGCACAGGGATCCCATACGCATGCGCTTTGTATCCTGGCTGCTCCAATTCCCATCCAGTTCCCCTGCTTGTGACCTGGGAAAACAGTAGAGAATGGCATAAAGCATTGGGAGTCTGCACCCTCATGGGAGATCCGGAAGAAGCTCCTGGCTCCTGGCTTCAGATTGGCTCAGCCATCATGGTCACTTGCAGAGTGAACCAGCAGATGGAAGATCTTTCTCCCTGTCTCTCCTTCTCTCTGTAAATTGACCTTTCCAGTAAAAATAATGCTGTTTAAAACAGGTTCATACAAAGGAACTTTCACTTTGATTACTAAATTTAAAACTTTTAAAAACACTTTCTAGGCAACGAATCGTGCAGGTAAACTTCAGACCAGGAAACGCACACTTCATGGAGTTCATCACGTTCCTTGTACCTGCCTTCTCGTTTGAAATGTGCTCCACTCTCTCCTTTGTGCTCAGAACTGCAATTACAATTCCCAGGGGCCTTTTCTCTATTTTTCTACTCCACAGTTTTTTAAAATGTCATTTTTGGTTATATAAATTAGATTACTATTTTGTGGCTTCAACATTCAAATGTTTATTTTTCGAAGCACGGGCAAGTCCAAGCCACTTTGTGGAAATATCGTTTAGGGATTTTTACTTTCAGCTAAACATACACCACTTTCTCGGGGTATATTTAAAAAATATGAATAGATTTAAAGTACTGAAACTACCAACATTTGAACGAAAATGAGGCAGGTGACTTTTCTGATTAAAAATGCATGAGGATTCTCTCCCTCTCTCTCTCTTTCTGTCTCTCTCTGTCTCTCTTAACTGAGAGCTCCTGGCATGATATTTCCATTACGGTCATGTGAGCGACCGTAACACGTGTTGTCCAGGAACACTCATTGACCATTCTGGCAGAGACGCTGGTGAAGCAAGCACGGACGCGGTGAATTTTGACAATAAGTTTTATGTGAACAACCATGCGAGTCAGACGACCCAATATGGCCGACATCTTGCTGAGAAGCCAGAACTCAGAAGCACGGCACAGCTCTGCAGCAAGTTAAGCCAGTTGGTGGGCTTCTCAGGAAGTCGTCCGTTTCCTGTTTCAGCCTTTCTCGTGTCCCATTAATACTTCAAAGAAACCTGTAGAGGTCGGCCTCTTTGGTTCCCAGCTTCATCAGTCCGCCCGGATGGAACATGAGGTCGACGATGTACACTTCCGGCGGAGAGAAGCCCCCAATGGCTGCTTTAGGAGACGCAGTCAGGAGCTTCACCTCATTCCAAGCCCGGCCGTAATCTCCTCGGACCAGAGTACAGCCAACGCCGATTCGGTCCGCGAGAGCCTGTGGGAAGACGAAAACACGATCCAGAGTGACATGGCAGCGGGAGAGAGAATTCTCACATCTAAATCCCCTGGGCTGAAGGGGAAGCATCGAAGTCTTGTGAAGAAATGCGTAGTTTGTTCTTCAAGATTCTGTAGGACTCCAAAGCCCCCGTGCAGATCTTGGGGGCCGGGGAAGGGGTGGGAAGTCAGCTTTATTTTTTTTTTCCCATATATTTACACTGTATTTCATGTATTTACACTGTATTGCATCAGCGCGAGACTGACCAGGGGAGTGAACAACAGCTGGGCACTCTACCAGCCCACGTCTGTATGCTGCGCTGTCATGAGGCAGTGGGGGACTGAATGGAGGCCGTAAACCAGCGGGAACCTATCTCCAGCCAAGTTACTCCGTGTGCGGTGGATTCGTGCTCCAGAGCAGGAAAAGCCGATGTGTGATTGGACAGTCCCGACATGGGAGAAGGCCAGGAACTGGAGGCCATACTTGTCTTCTCTGTCTACCGATGTATGAATCAATCCCTTTCCCAGTATGTGATCTCTCTTGGCCTGGGACCCGAAGGAGGCGTCGGCTGGTCCCTTCCAGCCTCCTAAGTGGCCAGCAACCGTGAGGGGTTTGGTCTCTCCCTGCAGACCAGGCCAGGCCAGGTGCCAAGGCACTGTCTACACGTCCCACACCCATCCTTCCTCTTCTTGGCCGCTCCATTCTACAGCAATGCCCGTGTGTGCGTGTGTGTGTGCTTTAAACAAATGTTATGACTTTGTACACTCTACCTGTGTCTATACTTAGATTGCTTTCTGAGACAAGAACCTGGAAGAGGAATTTGGAGCCCGCCTCTCCCACACCAATCCTTGGGGGCTGTTTCATCTATGAGATAACAATAATACCTACTTGACCTTCCATCCGGCCTTAGGCACTTTGCGTTATAATATAGATAGCATTTTCCTCTCCATAAGAATCTTCTTCATATCTTCACAACATAGCCTTAAGAGAGCCAACCATTCTTCTTGCTTTAGTGGCCTTCTCATTTGGAATTCCTGTATCTGTTTATGCCCATTCCCTCTCGTGCCTGCAAGATGGCTGTCACCACACCTCCCCCGCTCTGCACTGGCAGGAGGCTGGCGTCACAAGCCGGAGGTGGGCATCCAACTCAGACCCGGCATTCCAACTGCTAGGTCAAACCTCCGATCCTACATTGATCTTTTCATTTCACTTCCCGTAAACTTTTTGAAATATCCTTGTAAATCAAATATAAGTAAATTTGAATGATAAGACTAATACTATCCAGCTAAATGTTAGCAACTAGCTCAATTCAATATGATTCAAGCAAACATTTTTACCTAATGGCAAATGTGGCAAAATGTCTTAAGTACCTTGAAAAGCAAAGCCCGGTGGTAGAAGATTCCTTTTTTGATCAGTCCAATTGGAACAACATTGGATTTAAGTTGGAATTTTAGCTCACTGATGTGGAGTTCCCAGCCAAAAGAAATTATTTTCTCTTTTGCAATCTTACCACCCATTTTTTCTGCTACATACCTGTGTCAATTACAATGAGATCAAATCAATCACATTTAATATTGCATTTTACATTAATTTAGTGTATTACACACATATATCTAATAGAAGGGGTAAAAGATATATTCATTCTGATTTTTATCGCTTGTTTTAATTAAAACATATACCTACAATAAGGAAGTTAATAAGTTGATTGTATGTAAACATAAATCAAAATTCTAGTAACTTTGTTGGAAATGCAGAAAAAAAATGAGTGCTAATTTTCTCAACATCTCTAACAGGACACAAGTCAGCATAACACTAAGTATCAATGCAGTTGAAAGACCATATCTTACTTTTGCTCTTTTTGAAAATGATTATTTATTTACTTGAAAGGCAGAGTGACAGAAAGAGTGAACGAGAGGAAGAGAAAAAGAGAATCATCTGTTAACTGCTATTTCACTCCCCAAGAGGCTAACAGTTTGAGGCTGCGTCAGACCGAAGCCAGGAGTCAGTAGTTCCATGTGGATCTCCCACAGGAGTTGCAGAGGCCCAAGTACCTGAGCTAACAGATGCCTCCCTGGTGCTGACCCAGAAGTGGAGTAGCCAGGACTTGAAGTTCCACATGGAATGCGGGCATACACACAAAGTGGTGGCTTAACCTGTTAAGCTACAACCCCTGCCCCATGCTACTTTGAAAATTATCTTTAAAATATTTGAATCTGAACTCTGAGGCTTTGCACTGAACATGGTCCCTCCTACAAAGAATGTAAGCTCAGAGTTAAGACAAACACAGAAAGCTATCCGATTTAATACAAGTTCAATTTTTTTATATAATCTTATTTTCCTTCTAATGTATTTTAAAATATAATTTAGAAAGACATTTGACATCACATAGCACTGAAAATAGAAGAGACAGAATGGGAGGAGAAACAAACAAAAAGGGAGGGGATGCAGGGAAGTGGTGACGGGACAGACTGGTGGGCGAGGCAGGACGTCACGCTCTAAACGAAGAAGTCAGGAAATATACCTGCAAAATTCTGTCAACTAAGCCACCCTCGCTACACTCTTGCAGTAAAGGAAGAATCTCAACTCTTAAAGAGATAACTTCCTCGTAGGTGAAGCCATGTCTTTCAAGTAGACACATGTCGGCACTCACACGGCAACTGTCTGAAAAGTCAGCAACTCTTGTTGAATGCTATGGGTCTCAGAGCCTTGACCTTCACAACCAGTAATTGCCTTTTTCTTGTAGATACCTTGGCAATTTCTTAACCTTCCCTTGGTGCAACCAGATTAAACATTCTTAAAAAAAAAAGATTTATTTATTTTTATTGGAAAGGCAGATTTACAGAGACAGACAGAAAGCTCATCATCTACTGGGGTTCATTTCCCAAGTGGCCACAACGACCAACCCTAACCCTGATCCAAAGCCAGGAACCCGAAGCCTCTTCTGGGTCTCCCATGTTGAATACAAGGTCCCAAGATTTTGGGTCGTGCTCTAATGCTTTCCTAGGCCACATCAGGGAGCTTTATGGGAAGTGGAGCATCCGGGATTTGAACCGGTGCCCAAATGGGATCCAAGCACAAATAAGGAGAGGACTGTAGCCATGAGGCTACTGTGCTGGGCCCAGATTGGACAGTAATGGTAGGCATTTGGCGCAGTGGGAGGCATATGGAGTGCATGTATCCCCTGAGAGTGTACCTCAAATCAAATCAGCTTCAACATCTGAAGTCAGATTCCTATTAATATGCCCGCTGGGAGGCAGTAGATGTTGGCTTTCTGGTACCCGCACGGAAAACCTGAAACAGATGCCTAGTTCCTGCTTTCTGTCTGAGTCAAGCCTAGCTACTGTACGTATGTAGGGAACGGATTTGTGGAAGAAAGCATTCTCTTTCTCTTTCTTCCTCCCAAAGACAAAAATAAATAAGCAAAAACAGACTTTTTGAAGGGTGCAACCTCATGGGTTTATGTAGGATCCTGAGCCTGCCCAGGCAATCACCTCTTAGGATTTCCAGATCTTATGTTGGAACAACATAAGCACAACAAAGAAAGAAGACAATTAGATATATCGAAAATGTTTTTCTGAGTTCACAAAATATTCAAAATAAGTTTAAGTCCTGAGCCCTCCATACTTCAAAAATGATTTAATTTTAAATTTTTTGATTCATGTATAGTTCATCCAAAATCACATGGAAAGCTGCTGCTAATGGTTCAGCTGGGAAAAAAAGAATAAGAATTTTCTTTAAGCAGTTTCTAACTCTTAGCTCTGATTCTTTCGGGAAATGTGACCACGAATAGAAATTAGGAAACTTTCCAATTCACTGTGTTATAATTCGTTGTCGCTGTCAAAGTGAAAGGACTGTACATTTCACTTTCATTGCAGTTTATTTGAAGATTGGCTAAAAAAGACAATCATCATATAATTATGATTATACATACACACATAATTGTGTGTATATAATTACAATGTATATGTGCATTAAAATTAAAATGATACATATGTATATGTGTAATTATACATGTTATACATAATTATACATGTCCTATAATTATGTTTATATACAGAAAAAGAACTTACTTGGCAAGACTCTCAATCTGCTCCTTGATACTGGTGATGGGCAGTATTGACTTGGTAACCTCATAGACGTAGACACAGAAGTCGGGGTCCGAGGGAGGGCACCATTCCTTATCGAGGTTTCCTTCCCCGGTCAGTTTCGGGGCTGCAAGAACCTCCTCTTCTTCCTTGGCTTTTTCCTCTTCCTTCCTTCCTCTGCCTTTCCTACAAGAGCAAACAACAGGAAGAGCAACCCACGTCACAGCTTCTGCTAAGGAAGCGGGCAAACTCGGGGCTTTGACTTAATCTGAAAAACATCAACAGAAATAAAGCATCCATGTCACATGTGGTTTCAAATCTTCATTTATAGAAGCTATATTATGCAGAAGAAACTGAGTTTTTAGAAGAATTTTATGTAGTTAATAAGTATTATTAAATCATGCATTGGGCTTTCATATGATTGCTCCAGCAAGGTATCTGGGACTCAGTAGGTATGTAACTCATATTTTTGAAATATTGGTTTGAAATTCGGGATGCATTTAGCCAAATCAAAGCAACAGAAAAGCTATCATAATAGATGAGACAGTAATACAAAGCAAGGATGGTAAGAGCATATGCAAATAAGATACTAAAGGAAATAAGAGAAAAGACAAGAGACAAAACCTAGAGATTTTATCTTCATCTCAGGCCCCGTGCCTTGGAGGACGGGGCTGCACAGCACACCAGCTCCCGCGAGATTCCATAGACCATGGGGTGGCTGGCGAGGATCTGGCGTTCATGAAATCGTTTCGTACAATAATACTAACAATCATAGGTACCATTTGTTGCTTTAAGCATTTTTTCAAGTTGTATTTAATTCTACAACAATGCCGGGAGGTGCCTGCTATTCTTATTTTCCTCTCCTCAGTGAGGAAACAGGTGCATAAGATGCTCACTACGCAGTTTTCAAATGGGGATCCTGTTGCAGATGCTCTTTGCCTAAGAGGATAAAGGTCTGAACCTTTATCCTCTCTGATAGAAACGCCTGTATATCCCGATCAAGTACTACATCACCACTGAGAATGGAAACAGGTTATTCCAGTAAAACATGTTCTTATTTTAAAAGACTTTCACTTCTGCGAAAAGAAGCTGAGAGGGCTCAAAGAACAGGGCAGGTTGGGCAGGGAATGGAATGGGAAGAGAAAAGCAGAGAAAGAGAAGAACAAGGCATGGCGCAGCAGACAGGGAAGGAAGGACAGAGAAGGACAGCGCAGCAGCGAAGAGGGAAAAGTGAGGGAAAGGAAGGCACGGAAGAATCAGGAAGCAAAGGGACGGGAAGAGAAGACAACAGAAAACAACGGGAGAGCAAGCACAAAGACAGAAGTGGCAAACATCAACAGGGATCTAGGGAAACAGAACGCAAGGCGGGGAAGGAAGTGAGGAGAGGGGGCGAAGCACACGGTGTAAACACAGACCCGAAAGTCAGTCCTGGGAGAGGTCCCTGCAATCAGTGCCTATGTCAAGAAACTGGAAAGGCACCAGGTAATCAAGCTAAGTGTCCGTCTGGAGGAGCTAGAAAAACAACAGCACAATGCCAGGATTACAATCAAAGCAGGGGAGGAGATTGACCAAACAGAGACGAAAGAATAAAACATTACACCAATGAATCAAAGTACAGGGCAAGGGTGACATACCTACACCTACAAAACGGAATCATGGAAAATACTAACAGCAGCAACAAGACGTTTTAAAATATATTGAATCAAAAGCACCTGAATCTACAATGATTGTTCCAATCAACTCAGATCTCTGTCCTAGTTCTGTTGCTCCTCCATTGGAGGCTCATTAAGTAAGAGGAGGCGGCGTGAGAGCAAAATACAGGAAGAGAGAAGACACAAAGTTTGGAGAGTTTAATATCCCGCCGAAGGATCTCCAGGGGGCGGGAAATGCTTTCAAGCTGCTAAAAATCCAGGGCTGGGTATTCAAAGGACTGACCGGAGCTTGCGACTTCTGCTGCTTTGTGAATGAACATGGCAGTAAGATCGCACAGTTCCTGCGAGTGATCAAAGTGCTTATAAGAGGCAACCCTGAAGCCATCTTTAGCTCTGTTTTATAAAGAAAGTCCCACTTCAGCAAACGTGCGGAGCAATGAAAAGGGATGCGCTTCTAATTGGGAGAAGGAGGCTCCTTTCCCTACCGTGTTCCTTTTTCTTTCGTGGCGCTTTTGCTAAGAACAGTATTGCGTCCGGAAGTAGGCTCTGATTTTTCTTCCACGGGAGATCCAAATCCAGTACTAAAACGAGAACTGATTTTTTTTGTCATTTGAAAAACAATGCAAGCAATTTTAATCATGTGGATAATAATGAAACATTAATTTTGCAAGACATTTCACTAAGCTCTTCCATTTGCCTCGTGGGTTTTTGTTTGTTTGTTTGTTTGTTTTTTCACCATTATGACACAAGGGCCCTAGCTCTATTCCATCTTACAGTTAAGGCAACTAAGCCTGCACACAGGAGCTGAGACATTCAAGATCGTTTTAGGCACACAGCGGACGGAATGTGGAACCAGACTGCCCGGTTCCCTCTGAGTTACTTGAGGATAGATAAAACATCTGTTCCTTACTTGGTTTTTTCTCTGCTTGCCCTTCTTAAGGAAGACGAAGAAGAAATACTCCGGCCATATGCGATGTCTGATTTATCTTCCATAGATGGAGGTGGAGAACTGTAATTGTCCACATTTGAGATTATGTATATGTGAAAAGAACATAATTGTCAGGATTCACTTTATCCCACACACAAAAAAAAGATTTTTCTGAAAACCAAACTTGCAGCTGACACTAAACAGTGACACACTGTTTTATAAACTCAAAGGTTGAGATAAGACAAAAAAATCCATAATCCTTTTCATAAACCCGAACAGGAAGTACTTTTTAAACATGGGCTGTAAATACCATATAGACTTCTGAGGGCGCTTGAAAAGGTTTTATAAAAAAATTACAATTACAAGTGTGTCAGTGTGTGATGTTGGCATAGCGATGCACAGCCCAAGTTGTCACACAGACACCTGAATCCCACATTGGGGTGCCTGATCCAGTCCCACCTCGACCTCTCACCCAGCTTCCTGCCAGTATTCCTGGGAGGCAGCAGAGGCTAGCAAAAAGGATTCTGTACCCCCACCCCACCCCCATATAGGAGACTCAACGTAGTTCCTGACTCCTGGCTTTGACTTGGTGAAGACTCAACTACTGCAGGCATTCGGAGAGTAAATCAGCAGATGGAAGATTCTTTTTGTTTTTTTTTCTTTAAGATTTATTTTTATTGCAAAAGTCAGAGAGGAAGATCTTATGTCTGATGATTTACTCCCCAAGTGACCACAAGGGCTAGTGCCGCGCCAATCTGAGGCCAGGAGCCAGGAGCTTCTTCCAGGTCTCCCACATGGGTGCAGGGTCCCAAGGCTCTGGGCCGTCCTCGACTGCTTTCCCAGGCCACAAGCAGGGAGCTGGATGGGAAGTGGAGCTGCCTGGATTAGAACCGGCGTCCATTTGGGATCCTGGGGTGCGTTCAAAACGAGGACTTTAGCCACTAAGCCACGGCGCCGGGCACAGATAGAAGATTCTTTCTCTGTGTTATCCTTCCTTTCAAACAAAAGAATCAGTCTTCAAAAAACCACAATGCCCATTTTCCATGAGCTTTTGAAGCCCGCTCACAAACTAATAATATACACGATCAGCTTTAAGAGAAATGCAGGCGCTTTAATTTTTAGCTCTATTATTTAATTCCTATAACAAAGAAAAATACTGGATGGTTGTCATGCTTCTGGGGACTTGGAGGCAATTCGGTTAGGTTTTCGTTTGCCTGTTCTTGCTCCAAAGAAGAGGCTCCGACCTCAGAAATCTGTTGGAAATTTCCTAGTAATGTGGAATTGTGACTTCTCATATCGGGCTCTTAGTTGATGGAGCAATGTTTATTTTTGGTGCTCTTAGAGCAGAGATGGAAGCTAACACATTGGGAATATTTACATACGTATATATGCTGATGGCTAAAACAAAAGCGTTGTCTTTCAAATCATACTTCCCTCCCCCTCCGAAACTCACACGTCGGAAGATTTACTGTTAATTAAGAGAACAGCACGTCGATGGTTTAGTTCTTGCAGGCAGAGCTCCTTCAGAGGTGAAAGTCTTGTGCCAGAATTGATCTACAAGAAATTTTAGGACCAAAAAAGTAAAATTTGCGTGGGTTATTTAAAAGGGAGTAATTATAGAATATAATCTCAACTCTTTGAGCTGTCTGCTTTCACATATGCGCGCATATGATAAAAACCTCCAAAATGAGAAACAGAAATTGAAATCTTGTGCATGTTCTTGCCTTTGGCTAAGATGCAGATTTCGGTTCCCCATGCTCCTTGTTGCTTTACACACAGCTGTGTCATTCTATGTTACATCTTCGATCCTGAATGCATCCATATTTAAGGGAGAGTTCACTGTCTATCAAAGTATTGCAATACTTCAACAGATTACTAAGAGTGTCCTTAGGAAATCCAAAACCAGTCTGGGCAAAACTTTATACTGGGAATGTTACTAAATGGCAGAGGGTTATTATAATAGATTACCTTCCGAGAGCTCTTCTTGATCAAGTTAATTCACATCACATAGTACAGTCCTTGAAAAACACTCCTAAGTCCAAACTTGTGCTATTTAAGCATATCCTCGCATAGGGATGGAGGCGAAGTCTGAAGGTAACACCTGTTTTGTCTGATGCCAAATTTATGGGATTCAGAAACTTTCTTCCCCGTTGATTTTAATCTTTCCGTTCAGATGAAGCAGAAAATGCTGACTTATCAGCCAGCCATTACAAAAAGTCCTCAATATTTTAATTCTTGGCTTTTTACCTCTCTCAAAGAGAAGATCCAAGATGACCATACAGTGTGCCTTCTCTTCCACCAAGCTACTGCAAAGCTGCTAGCTCTGTAGGTCTAAAGGCCTGCAGCAGACCAGCAGAAGGAGAGAAGGAGAGATACGGTGTGATAGCTACAGCAGGCATAGCCGATCAGAGGGAGGAGAAAGACCAGGGGCCAGATCAGGGCATTTGCTGCTGCTGCTGGGGAGAGAGTGAACAGAACGCAGGCAGAGTCCATCTGAACAGAATCCGCATCCACGTGATCCTCCTTGGAGAAGAATCTTGTTGTAACAGACCAGCAGCTCAGTGAAGAGTGCTTGCTCAAAAATCTGGGGCTCCTGGACTTTGCATTTGGCATCACGTGGCTCCCTTCCCTAAGTCTCAGAGCAAGGATTGTAGGCATTAGATATCACCTTTACAGGGAAATTGCTTCCAGTGAGTTCTTGCCAGGGGTCCCAGATGCATTCCTCATCCTAGCTTAGCAGACTGAATCCTGTCAGTCCAACTGGACACAGCAGGGGAAGTTAGAACTTTGCAGCCCAGGTCCACACAGTGGTCAACAACGCTGTGGTAGAAAGTGGGCCAGGGCAAGTGGGCAGGAACACCCCAATAGCACAGGGAACCATTTCCTCTTCCATTGCCTCTAATCCACGAATAAATTAAAAATCACAAGTTGTGATGTGATTCCCATGAGCTCACACGGTCTGACTGTGAAGATTCATAGCTCCTGCACAATGAGGACCACACTACGGAAGGAGGCAGTGTTCCAGACAGTGCACGTGCCAGCCTGAGTGATGTGTGCTGGCACTGTGAGTTAAGCTAGGGCATTGGCTCGGAGAAAAGTTGGAACCTTGAACAGACAGGTGTCTCTAACAAAGCCTCCCCAGCACCGACGGCAGCTAAAGGATATCCAATGCAGCCATCTGGGATTTCACTCTGGACTCTTACCCACTCACCAATGGTGGCTGATGTTCCCTTGTCCCACCCAGCACATAGCCCTGGAGCTCAAGGGTAAGCCTTAGGTGCTCCACCTAGCCCCAAAAGGCACATCTCCAGGAATAAAGCCTTCAGTAGAACAAACAAACAAACAAACAAAATCCTCCACCAGTGACAGAAGCTAGAGACGGCCCCTGTGATACACAAAAATCAACATAGAAATACGAACAAACATGGACACGGGAGGCATCGTGACTCCCCAAAAGGAACACTAATATAGATATGTTAGTAAACTAATACAGATTGTAAAGAAAGGGAGATTGATAAAATGCTTCTCATCCAGCTCCCTGCTTGTGGCCTGGGACAGCAGTCGAGGACAGCCCAAAGCCTTGGGACCCTACACCCATGTGGAAGACCCAAAAGAGGCTCCTGGCTTCAGATTGGCACAGCTCCAGCCATTGCGGCCGCTTGGAGAGTGAATCAATGGACACAGAAGATCTTCCTTTTTGTCTCCCCTCTCTGTATATTTAACTTTCTGATAAAGATCAAATAAATCTTTAAAAAAAGAATAGAATCCCCCAATGAAAAACATTACTTGGAGATTGATGAACATTGAGACTGATATTAGTAAGCTGACATAAATACAAGTAGTCAGATTGTAGTTAAAGGAGCACAAAAATGCAAAATTTTACGATTAAACAGAAGCTAAACTTCCGTGTCAATAAATTAAGCGGTTATAATAGTAACACAATGGCACCATGATTTAAAAAACTATTATTGTCACAAATAATATGAGTGGTGTCACTTACCCTGCCGTAGTCGTAGAATCCATCACAAATTATGTCACTTGATGACAAATAGCCGGTCTGGCTGTATTTCAGGGACAGGTTATTGCTGAGCAGCTTGTTATAAGCTACCTCACTGAATTTATTTTTTCGACTTATTGATAGATTAATTTCTTCAAGAATCTCCAAAGCTCTGTCAACCAAAGCAAAAGAATAGTACTGAATTTCTGCAAGCAATCCAACGCCGAGTTAATATAAATATTTACTTAAGATCCTGCATGAGGAATTGATGGAGACCTTCATAGTTCCTCCATCCTTCTAGCTAGAGTAGCACTGACAGAATTAAGAAGCAAAGCAGCTCTTTTTCACAAAATATGCACTGTGACGGGACTTTCATTGGAGAGTCCAAACAAATGCTTTCAGAAAAACATCCATTTCTTAATTTCAAGCAAAATTAATATTGGACCCCAGCCTTTTTTTTTTTTAATCAAACCCGGCAAAATACACAAACAATAATTTAAAATCTGTACAGTAAACCTTCATGTGGAAGTTTAAAACCCCATTTACTGATGTGTCGGAGGTCACTTGCTGATCTTAAGTAGCATGGGTTGTGGGAGGGCGGGCAAACAGGTACTTCCGGTGACAAGACCGAAGTGGATGGGAGTGATAATTAGGAAAGTCCTGGCTTTCACCAACATGATTTTAACCTTAAATTTCAGAGACAGAGAGGGTTGTTTTCATCAGTAGCAGAAAGCAGTCTAAGAGAAGTGTTTATCAAGGTGATGAGAAAAGGCTGTGAGTGGTAAGGGCGCTGAGTGAGAGTTCAGGTCAGGACGGAAGGACTGTCTTTCACCTGCAGGTGGTTGCTCAGAGCTGCCCAGGCGCCGGAGATGGGCAGGGCTGGGCACTCCCATGCACTTCCACTCACCCAAGCCTGCATAACTCCGTAGCTGTCAGTTCATCGTTGGCACAGGCCGCCACAGCCCAGCTGGCATGCCTTCTGACTTCCACGTTGTCCGAACGCAAGAGCTCCACCAGGGGTTCCAAACCACCAGCATTTCTTAACTATAATACAGAAAACCAAAATTTGATGAATGAAACATCTCAGCTTTTAAGCAGCCCGTTGTTGAAAAGTTTTAAGCTGTGTAAGATTGTTTCAGAATCTGTCCATAGTGATATTCATTCAATTCGGCAGCGATAATAGACTCCCCCCACCCCCAAACTCTAGCCAACAACATCCATCCACAGAAGACACTCACTTTGTCTTGAACAGGTGGACCAGCTATAAATGGTGAATCGGCTGGAAGAGCTTAACCTGCAAAGCTGTAACCCTCCAGGTGAACCCAAAGACAATACAGATGTTAAAAGCCAAAACGCAGGACTCAGCGCTGTGGCTCAGCAGTTTAAGTTGCAATGGCCTTCCACGTGTGTGCTGGACCCAGTCCTGGCTGCACCACTTCCGACTGAACGTGTCGGAAAGCAGCAGAGGGTGGCCCACACTCGCTTGGGCTTGGTCCAGGCCCAGCTGTTGGTGTCATTTATGAACTGAAGCGATAAAGAAAAGATGCTTTCTTTCTCTCTCTCTCTTGCCCCAGTCCTTCACTATCAAATCCGATTTTCAAATATATAAGTAAATAATACTTTTAAAAGCTAATTACAACTCCGTGGCTTAGCGCTCCCCCCTTCCTCTCCCCCCCCCAACCACCCCAGTTCCCTGCAAAGAACCTGATGAGGTCACCTGCTGAGATGTTGAGATGTTCTGCTCACTGCATCCCTGGGCCATCAAAGGCAAAGAACAGGGCAGTCACAGCAAACAAATTATCCCAAAGAAGGTCCAACAAGGACCCCCCTGCCCCATCCTCAGCCCCGGGTGGCCTCCTGACCCAGTCCCATGGCCCCTGGATCTCTGCAGAGCTTTCCTTTGGCTCATTGGAACAGTAATTAAAAGGCAAAAGGAGAAAGAGAACGGGAAAATGAGTGAGAGGTACTGCAATAGAAGAAACACATCTTGATGTTAGGAAGTAGGAAGCCTGTCTTTTTCCCGGCCCACTTCATGCATGAATGTAGACTGTGCTGGCGTAAATGCACATTTCACTGACTTTGAACTTGGTGTGCTCCGTCAACCACAGCCCCCCCCCTTTTGATTTTCTTAGTAGTTTTCATAAGCAATATAAACAAAACAATTAGCTTCCGTAGTTTTTAACATGTACACCTCAGATGGATTTTTTATTTTTTGAGAGAGAGAGGAGCAGATACCTGCCGTATGTTAATTCTCTTCCCAAATGCCTGAGAACCAGAACTCCTAGGGAGGTGGTGGGGACCCAAGTCCTGGAGCTGTCGCTAGCTGCCTCCCAGGGCATGAGTCTAGCAGGAATCACGGGATCTTGGGGCGGGGGGCACCTGGGGTTCCCACTCAACCCAAACATCTGGCCTCTAGTTTTGTATAACTTTCAGTGTGATGTGCGAATCTTCTATGGCTGCGGCTCATTCATTTTGCTGATTGGAGATTGCGCTTTATGAATACTCCTATATGGCAAATCATTTAGCCGACCACCTAACAGTTGGACAACTGATGTGTCTACAGTTGCTGAGGTTATAAACAACACCTTCTCGTATTGAGAGGCAAGAGTCTCTTTCAGGTAGATTCAGAAGCAGAATTCCCGGATGATAAGGTATCTTAGCATCTTTGCTAGAAAATTGCTGATGCGTTTCCCTAATAGTCTTTTCGCAGGGTTCCAATGAGGGGTGAGTTCAAATACTTGACAAGTGAATCCATTGGTATGCACTGACCAGGAAAACGAGGAGCAAGCGTGACTTACCTCTGCGCGGGCCTCCACATCGCAGGCCGTGGCAGCTACAGCGAGAGCAGCTCTGCTCTGCACCACCGTGTTGCTGGAGCGCAGCGGGCTGATGATGGCCTGCATGAGGCCGTGGCTCTGAACCGTCCCACGCAGGGGCTCCTGCATAGCCATGTTGGTTAACACTGTGGCGGCGTTGGCGATGGCTCCGTCTCGTTTACTGGACAAGATGTTTATTAGCGAATCAATGCCGTCAGCTTCAGCAGCAGCGCTGGGTGCATTGAAGAAAATCCAAAGAGATTCAGGAGGCAGTCTTTGGAGCATTCAACCAGTCTTTTAAAAATAAACGAGGACCGCCCGGTGCAACAGCGTATTGGTTTAAGTCCTCGCCTTGAACGTGCAGGGATCCCATATGGGTGACAGTTCTATTCCCAGTGGCCCCACTTCCCATCCAGCTCCCTGCCTGTGGCCTGGGAAGGTGGTCGAGGACGGCCCAAAGCTTTGGAAACCTGCACCCATGTGGGAGACCTGAAAGAGCTCCTGGCTCCTGGCTTCAGATCGGCTCAGCTACAGCCATTGCAGCCGCTTAGGCAATGAACCATCGGAAGGAAGATCTTCCTCTCTGTCTCTCCTCCTCTCTGTATATCCACCTTTCCAATAAAAATAAATCTTTAATAAATAAAGAAATGCATTCCAAATGCAAATTTAGAAATAATTTCCCTTGGGATGAACCTGGAATTGAGGGTAATGAACTCAGATCAAGTCTGGGGTAACTGAAGACGGGCTTCCACAACTTTTCAAACTAGAAACTCACCCACCACAGACTATCAGAAACCCTACTACGTTGTCAATTTTTACTCAGGAATAAGACCGTAACATTTTACTCCAAGAACTGTTCATATGTTCCTGATCGTTAGGAACACAAAAACGTAAACAGGAGCAATGAGCATCTGTGGGAATTCAGGATTTGAGCTACAATTTTTTAAGATTTATTTATCTTATTGGAAAGGCAGATTGAAAGAGAGGAAGGGAGACACGGAGATCTTCCATCTGCCGGCTCACTCCCCAAATGGCCAGAAGGGCTGCAGCTGCGGCCGTCTGAAACCAGGAGCCGCAAGTTTCGTCTGGGTCTCTGATGTGGGTACAGGGGTCTAAGGATGAGCCATCTCGTGTAGTCAGCAGGGAGCTGGGCTGGAAGCGGAGCAGTGGCACATGACCCAGTACCCGTACGGATTGCCAACACCGCAGACTGAAGATTAACCTGTTATGCGACAGAGGCAGCCCCCATCTTCCCTTTCTTAAAAGTCAGATTGTTAATGGTGGTCATAGGCTGGGAACCAGCAAATTATCCTGCGTTTGATTGTTGCTTTTAAATATTAAACATCAAAGATTAAAGTCATGATATTCACCCCCCCAAATACACACAGATGGGTACTACAAATATATTCAATTTTTAAATTTCCTATTTACAGTATAAAAATACTATAGTTATTCGTCAGTATATGGATATTCTTCGTGAGTATAAAGAATAAATTTTAAGAATAGGATACGTCTCTAGTTCTTGCTATTTAATTATTTTAAAAGCTCACGAGATAATGCAATGAGAATTAGACTGTGATCCCTAGCCCATATATAGCATGTATATTTGTGTATGTAGATATGTATCAGCTGTATAGGTGTATATCAGCTCTCTTTACAAAGCACATATACATACACACACATTTACATATAACAGAGCAACGACAGTAAAAACACGGGAACGATCCAGTTGCGTAAGGAAGCCATGCTACATCGACACGGTGGAATATTACACACCCACGAAAAAGAATGAAATTCTACATCTGTTGTACAATTGTCTCAACTAGAAACACTTATGGTCAGTGAAATAAGCCAATCCTAAAAGGATAAAAAATAGATTGCATGTTCTCCCTAGTCCAAGGCACTATTAAAGCAGAATACAAAACATTTACACACATGGGTGTGCGTTATGTACATACCTTCTCATAAATGGACTGTGTAGCAGACTCACACACCAAGAAGTGAAATTACACTGCGGTAGGCATCGATGCTCCCGGATAACACTGTCATATACCTTGACCATACGAGCTAGGTGTTCTGTCTGTTGCTATACCTGACGGCATCATACGCTCAAATGGTAGAGTGTGAAACTTGTAACTGTTACTACATGACTATACCACTGTCAGAATGGTGGGGCAAGTGATGGCAGCGGAAGATGGCCAAGGTTAAAGGGGCTGTAAGGGGGGAATCCTCCAGTCTCCAGAAGTGTAGCGTGGAGAATCAGAAAAAAAAAAAAATTAAAAAGAAATAATATGCAAATGATCCTGACAATATAAAACATGAAGTTAAGAATATTTCGACGTGCTGAAACAGAAGGGCATCTCAAATATTTTATGGATAATGGAATGGAAGATGCTTATCTTTGTGCAAAAAGTTTGCAAATCTCGACAGTTTTTCGGACAGTGGTTTCCCCGGGCGTGGTCTGAATTTCTCTGGGTTGCACGATGAGTGGTGCCGAGTGCCCCTGTGCCTACCTGGCACTGGCGGGGTTGCCAGTGGTCAGGTTCGCCAGGGCGAGAGCCGCAGCTTCCCGCACCTCTTCGTTGTCACTCTTGAGCAGCTGCAGCAGCTGGGGAATCCCTGCAGGGAACAAGGGTGGAGACGTGACTTCAAACGCGTACGTCCGCCTGCACCACAGCACGGGCACCTGAAGCCTTTGTTCCCAATGTGCTCACCCTGATTATTGAAAAGACGCTTGCTGCCCGCACTCTCACACATCGCCGAAATCGCTTGGGAAGCAGCGATTTTAGTTCCATCACTTTCAGAACTCAAAAGGGTTACAAGACACTTCTCAACCTCTTGCTCTTGGAAAAATTTCCTATTTTCAGCTTTCACGAAACAAAGGGAGAACATTTAGGATTTTGATGCGGAACTGCAAGAATACTGCTGACCTACCAAAGTATGATAGGATTTCAAACTAACTGTTTCTTTAGTGTCAGGGTCCACGTTAAACAAATCCTATACCTATTAAAACTTTCAGAACACATCAGTTACACGCCATGAACCATGGTTGCTGTATTTCTCCCCGTTCTTTTATATGGTCTTAGTACTGTTGCAAAGAAAATCCTAAAATAAGTTTGGCAACTTCTCAGCTTTATCAGACACTCATTTAACATCGGTCACGTGCTGGCATGCCCTTCTCAGCATCCGCGCGGGCTGTTGTCCGACTACGGGCAAGACTCTTTATTTGATGGTTGCTTTAAGCACAAAACCTAAGATTGAAAAATACATCACTTGGTGAGATAGATGCTTAAGACCTCAGAAGGGACTGGCATTGTGGTGCAGTGGGTTAAATGCTGCTTCGGGCAGCAGTGTGCTGGAGCCTAGGATGGCTTTCTGGTTCCCACCTGCAGCCTGGCTGCAGCCTGGCTGCGACCTGGCTGCGACCTGGCCATACCAGTGAATCAGCAGAGGGCAATTCTCAGTTTCTTCTTCTTCTTCTTCTTCTTTTTTTTAAAGATTTATTTATTTATTGGAAAGTCAGATACACAGAGAGCAGGAGAGACAGAGAGGAAGATCTTCCGTCCCATGATTCACTCCCCAAGCGAGCGCAACGGCCAATGCTATGCCGAGCCAAAGCCAGGATCCAGGAACTTCTTCCAGGTCTCCCACGTGGGTGCAGGGTCCCAAAGCTTTGGGCTGTCCTCGACTGCTTTCCCAGGCCACAAGCAGGGAGCTGGATGGGAAGTGGAGCTGCCGGGATTAGAACCGGTGCCCATATGGGATCCCGGCGCGTGCAAGGTGAGGACTTTAGCCACTAGGCTATGCCGCCGGGCCCTAGATCTCAGGTTCTCTACATCTCCCTTGCTTTCTCTCACTCTGCCTTTCAAATAAATAACCTTCAAATGATCTTAAAAATAAAAATAAAATTATTCCGGTGGAAGAGCAGAAAAAAAAGTAAAAGCAGATACTATAGTATGATCCCACATCTCAGACACTTGTGCTCAAGTATCATAATATCTTTAATACATAAGAATCACAATTATATCAAAGTTCAATACATACTAATGCAGCAAAAATTTGAGTCATAATTTCCTTCGAAAAGAAAATACAAGATATATTAGAATAGTTTTCTTTTTTAAAAAGCAGTTATGGGGCCCGGCGCGGAGGCGCAGTGGTTAAGGTCCTCGCCTTGCACGCCCGGGATCCCATATGGGCGCCGGTTCTAATCCTGGCAGCCCCGCTTCCCATCCAGCCCCCTGCCTGTGGCCCGGGAAAGCAGTGGAGGACGGCCCAAAGCTTTGGGACCCTGCACCCGCGCGGGAGAAGAGGTTCCTGGCTTCGGATCGGCATAGCATCGACCATTGCGCTCACTTGGGGAGTGAATCATCGGACGGAAGATCTTCCTCTCTGTCTCTCCTCTCTGTATATCCGCCTTTCCAATAAAAATCAAATAAATCTTTAAAAAAAAAAAAGCAGTTATGACTTTGAGTATGTCCCTGTATAGTGATTTTCATCCAATTATAAAATAATATATATTTTTTTAAAGATTTATTTATTTTTATGACAAAGTGAGATAGACAGAGAGGAGGAGAGACAGAGAGGAAGATCTTCTGTTGATTCACTCCTCAAGCAGCCACAACGGCCAGAGCTGAGTGAACCTGAAGCCAGGAGCCAGGAGCTTCTTCGGATCTCCCACATGGGTGCAGGGTCCCAAGGCTTTGGGCCGTCCTCTACCGCTCTCCCAGGCCACAGGCAGAAAGCTAGATGAGAAGAGGAGCCGCCAGGATTAGAACTGCTGCTCATATGGGATCCTGGCAGGTTCAAGGCGAGGACTTTAACCAATACGCTACTGCGCTGGGCCCCCCCCCCCAATTTTTTTTTAATGTTTTGTTTCCTAACATTATTTCTCTTGCTTTAGCTTAAATTCTTTACTAGACACTATAGTAAATATCGCCTTCAACTAAACCAGAGCAGTGAAATCCAATTTTAATTGTTTTTTCAATTTTAAATAGTTTTTCTTTTGTTACAGTTAAAGAAGTTATTATCTATTTAAGTGTATACTGCAAAACATACGTTAAATGAAACTCAGTTTTAGTACCACACTGAGCCTAGTGTGGTAACAGTTTACAATAAGTCTATGCTAAATTGCTTACCATTCTTTCAAAATTCTTTTCATGGATTTGATATTTTTTATTAGCCTTGAGAATGCTTCTAAGATTGACAATGATAAAGGTCAATTTCATGATTAAAGTCAAAGAACATGTGATGTATGTTCTAAAGATATTATACAAAAGAACATTATATTAAAAAAATAAAAATCCTTGCCAAAACTGTTGATCAGAATTTAGACTGCAATATTTGTAAGTGGGGCTAATCTGTTAGTTCTACATATTTTAAGTGATGTTTCACAGAATATTGTTTAGATACATTCTAATGGCATCGTATGTTCATATTTTTAGATCATGAACTACCTGGCACAGGGCAAAGTTGCCAACACCCTGTGCATTTGTCTTAAACCAACCTGTGGAGCATGTCCTGTAATTCTATGATTTTAATCCCTTTTGCTTTTTACTTAACATTAGAACCTAGGCACTCATTAACTGTGTTCCTAAAACAAAAAACTGCAACCAATACCTCAGTCTCAAGTATGTGGTTCCTAAAATGTTGTAAAATATATTTAATCCTTACTAATTTCCACTGAATAATACCTGACAATTTTCCAGAGCCTTCGGTCGAAAATGTTTAGATTTATGTAAATGTTTAGATTTAGCCAAATCAGATTTCGTGAGCAAGGATTCTATCAGGAAAATCAGCCAAAATAATTAATGTAAATTTAATCACTTTGTATTATATAATTTTGCACTCAAAAAGTTATATCTAGCTATTGAACATATTTTAATAATTTAAATAAATATGATGAATAATTGATTTTTTTACCTTGCTGAGAATGCTAAATCCAACTGTGTTCCTTCAATCTCAGAAAGGTTGACCACAGCGTGGCTTTAACAGGTTTAAAAGGTGGATTAACCTATTAACTAAGTACTTAACACTCAGTTTTGAAGTATTTAGATTTTCATTGTGCTGATAGTAAAGCTGGAAACGTGGCTATACTCTTCATAGAGTAACCTTTTCTAAAAGCAGCATTTGTGGGGTTGCTGTAATTATATAATTATCTAAGTGTAATTTTATAAACCCTCAGAAATACCAGGTTAGGTATCACTGAGATGGGAAGCGCAGGTTTGGTTCCTGAAAGCGGTGTGAGCTCCTTTTCAGGAGGTGGCATTGTGCCATGTTCACTCCTGCTGGGATGACAATGCCAGTTCAGAAACCTCACGTGAACACGGTCATTAACAGCCTCCTCCCGCCGGGACCAAGTCAAGTGAACCCTGATAATGAGAAAGCCATCTCGGACTTGACACAATTTAAAGAATGCAGGCTCTGTGTTCCAAGTATGTTTTGACACATAGTAATCTATGATATAGTGATCTTATTTTTAAAAATATATATGATGTAATATAAAAATAGTATATGTATACTAATGTATACATATACATTAGTATATGTAGCTGTTAATTTTTTAAAAAACAATTTGTTGGAAAGTCAGATATACAGAGAAAAGGAGAGACAGAGAGAAACATCTTCCATTGACTGGTTCACTCCCTAAGTGGCCACAATGGCCAGAGTTGAGCCTATTTGAAGCCAGGAGATGGTTCAGGGTCTCTCAAATGGGTGCAGGGTCCCAAACTTTGGGCCGTCCTCTACTGCTTTCCCAGGCCACAAGCAGGGAGCTGGATGGGAAGTGGGGCTGGTGGAATTAGAACCGGCACCCATATCAGCACATGCAAGGTGAGGACTTTAGCTACGAGGCTATTGTGGGGCCCTACATGATTCATTTTCATGAACAAATATTATTTAGTCATTTATAATTCAGTCATTTATAATTTATTCATTATACTGCAGGATATGGGGGAGGGGGAAATCAAGATTCTGACGCTATGGAGTTGTGTGCTAATCCTCTGTATGTGGAGCCAGCAACCCAGATGGGTTCCAATCCAGCTCCCTGCTAATGGTCTGAGAAATCAGTGGAGGACGGCCCTAAGCCTTGGGCTCCTGCACCCATGTGGGAGACCTGGAAGAAGCTCCTAGTTCCCAGCTTCAGACCAAACCAGTTCTGGCTGTTGCAGCCACTTGAGCAATGAATCAGAAGAGAGATCTCTTTGTCTTTCAAATAAAACATAAATCTTTTAGAATAGGAGAGGGAGAGAGAGGGGGAGAGAGAGAGAGAGACTGTTTTTGTATACTCTGTATCTCTTAAAATACCTGTAATAGCCAGGGCTGGGCCAGGCTGAGGCCAGGGACCAGGAACTCCACCCGTCTCCACTGTGGGTGCGAAGAACTGTTTGTTTGTTTGTTTGAGCCAATAGTTTCTGCCTGGTTGAGCTGGGATTCCCTCCCAGGTCCTGCCAGGTCAGGTGCTAAGCATCCCAAGCAGTGGCTTAACCAGTTGCAGCACAATGTCCAACAACCATAGCATTTCTGATAACAGGTTTAGGAGTGTGTTTGTTTCAAAAGCTACACGTGCATGGAGTTGTCTTATTGTTTAATTAGATTTCATATAGAAATGTTAGAATTTAGTTTTGTGAACGCTTTTTCAATTTTTAAAGCTTGTGTTTATAGTATATAAACTAGAGCATGTCTAATTTAGCTGACTGGATCTGGCCGATAGAGATCAAACAGAAAACAACTGGTATTTTTATCGACAAGTGAAATTCTGTTTACTGCAAGAAAGCTTTGCCTTCAATACATTCTGTGCTTATGAAAGGAAACTCCATAATCTACAGTGATAGATGCAGCTGTAACAATAAATCACTTAAAATGTTGTCAAAATGGAAAGAGTCGTGATGCAGAAAGAGGAAAATACAATCACACTCGTTGCTAAATAAAAGATTGCACAGGGGCTTAAAGTAAAAATGATTCCTCATCCCCAGAGCTTGCAATTAATTTCTCCCATATTCAAGCTCTCTACCAACATAGCGTGTCACAGACATGCAAGCTGTGCTGTATGGATATCTTTCCACATCTACGTAAGAAGGCACGCTCGCCTCCCACTGGAACTTGAAAACTGCTTTTTCAAATATCATTTTGAAGAAGGGTTTCTTTAAACAGTCTTTCCAAGAGAGTATTTCGTTTATGTAAGTATAAATGTGCTGTGTAACTATAAATGCATGGGTTAAGTGTCATGAAAATGGTATTTATTTTTACATTGAGACTATGAAAACCCTGACACGGTAATCACTATTTTAACTTAGGGCAGCGAGGTAGGTTTGGCCGTAAGTATTGAGTATCCCACTATGTTCAGATGGCTAGTCAAATGCAGACAAAAACACCCTAGCGTGAGACAGCATCAAGCGTACTTAATTTGGGTAAAAGACCTACAGTCGTAAGCGGCTTTAGCGATGGCTTTTGCTGCGTTCTTCTGAATATCAGGAACCGTCGAACTTTCTGCAAACGAGAGGAACTTTTGCAGACCGCCCGTCTGCTGAATCAGCACCCTGGTGTCCACGTCTTCCAGGCAGTTGGCCATCACCGAGAGTGCTTCTGTGTGAAGGTCGTTCAAGTCCTAACAGGGAAGGCAAGCAAGACTTCAGAGGGATGGATGGAAGGGAACTGACAGCCCCGGACTTTGTTCAGACAGAGGCCTGAAGAGGCAGAAGCTCCGTTCATCACCTCTCCTCTTTTCTCGTTCTCCTCACTCTCAAATTCGTGATAGATCAAAGTTAAATGCCGTTGAGGAAGCTTCCGATAATGGTTGTTAAATGAAACTGCCCAAACAGCCTTTCACATAAAACAATTCTCACATCTAGAGGAAAAGAAAAAAAAAATTTTTTTTCTTAAAGCAGACAGAACCTGGAGGTTCTTTTTAAGCCGTGCAAAAGGGCAAGTATTGTGAAGTATTGGGTACCTAATGTATTTCTCAAACCCCCCAAAAGAATGAAAAACATCAGGTTTGCCTACAACCGCTAGAAATTCAAAGGAGGGATACTCAGTGTGAGGGAAAGAGAATGGATGGCCCTTAGTCACAGCAGTCCACAAAGAGCTGCTTCTGATGAGGGACTCACTTCACAGCCCCAAACTATAGCAGTGGGCCCAAGTTCATGCCACTCCCGGGTCTCAGCATTTCCCCTTGCATTTCCCCAAGGCGTTTCATTAATCCTACTGACTTACTAGCAAAATGTTTGCTTTCTATGCTCGGCTGGTCCAGAGGATCTTACCTCCCAGGGGAGGGACACTTCCACACCAGCAATAGCTACAGTGAGTCCCTTGAACTTCAAACTGCTGCCTGAGTGCTTTGTTCTTCTCGTGTCTCTTAACCAGTAAGTAAGGGATATTGCGCAAAGAGGTGTTGAATTGCTTCATCACAATTGAAGGAAGACTGTGTGTAAAACAAGAGTTCCCATAGGGAACCTCCTAAAGCGACCGTACCCTATGACCAAAGTTGGTGGAGACCGGCCTGACTCTCGATCCAAGACCACAAGTGGCCCGGATCGTCAAGAAACAAAGTTATGCTCACACGGCAGCCATAAGTGATGGTGGTGCTTCCTGAGGGCACAAGGAGTGGAAGAAGGTAACGGTGATCGCCAACCACGACCATGGATTATTGACAGAGCTGAGGTCTACCTCTCACCGACGCTTCTTTATTTTGCAATGAATTTGTTTGTCTGTACACATGTTTGCGTACGTTTTCCTATGCTTTTCCCATGATATGAATGATAACTCATGTAATACGAGATGTATTAATTTTATGTTGATGATTTTTATTTCCTGAACATCAAGGAGAATAAACATCATCCAAGGACTTCACATTGCTTTTTGTGAAACCGATGGATTTTTCATTGCACAGAGATGTTATATAATGGTAGAGCAGAAGTTTTGCCTGAATATTAAGAATGATTTAAGGGGTAGGCTTGTGATAAATGCCGTGACAACTTAGCTAGGTCGCAGTATCTCTGCTATCTGACCAAGCATTATTCCAGATGTTTCCATGAAGACAGACTTCCAGTGAGATTAATATTTAGATTTGCAGACTGGATAAATCAGATTACTGCCCATAACTTGGACACATTCCGTTTTACTAGACCGAAAGATTTCATAGAAACACACTGAATTCCATATAAATAGAGACAATTCTCCCGATCCTTCGCCTTGGCATTTCCCTGATTCTGCAGTTGGCTGCTTTTTTGGCCCCCAATCTACTCTGAAGATTCTGCACCTGCCAAACCATTATAATTGTGCAAGCCAATTCTTTAAAATAATATACTCTTTCATATATATTTTACTAATATCTAATTTAACTTATCAACTTAACTAATTTAACTTATCATAATAGGGGCAAAGAATTTGAAATCCATGTGCTACCATTTCACTATAGAATTAAGAAATTGGACACTTTTTTCTTTCTCTTTCTTTCTTCTTCTTCTTCTTCTTCTCTTCTTCTTCCTTCTTTCCTTCTCTTTCTTCCTTTCTTCTTTCTTCCTTTCTTCTTCTTTCCTTTCTTTTCTTTCTTTCTTTCTCTTTCTTTCTTTCTTCTTCTTTCTTTCTCTTCTTCTTCTTCTTTCTTTCTTTCTTTCTTCTTCCTCTTCCTTCTTCCTCTCTCTTCTTTCTTTCTTTCTCTCTTTCTTTCTTTCTTCCTTTCTTCCTTCCTTCCTTCCTTCCTTTCTTTCTCCTTCCTTTCTTTCTTTCTTTCTTCCTTTCTTCCTTCCTTCCTTCCTTCCTCTCTTTCTTTCTTTCTTTCTTCCTTCCTTCCTTCCTTCCTTCCTTCCTTTCTTTCCTTCCTTTCTTTCTTCCTTCCTTCCTTTCCTTCCTTTCCTTCCTTCTTCTTCTCTCCTCCTTCCTTTCTTTCTTTCTTTCTTTCTTTCTTCCATTCTTTCTTTCTGTTTTCTGATACAGTTGTAAAGCCTCTGGGATTTTCCCCTGCTCTAGTATCCCTCTGCCTACCGATCTCCTCTGTAGTATTGCACTAGTCGAGTTCTGGACCGTCTAAGTCCATCATTCTGCTGTTTCAGTGTGCCCTCACACTGTAGATTTCCACAATGACAGAATCCAGGATCCTAACCAAAACACTTCAAGTCGACTAAATGGCATCCATTAAACAGCATGACTGTTTCTGTAAGAGAACTAAGAAGAGACATTGCAAATTCTAAAGGAGTGTCATTCATACCTAAAAGGCTTGGAAACAACTATGGAAATTCAGATCCAATATTGCTCAAAATGTGCTTAGAATGTGAATTAAACTTTATTCCCTAGTTGGAATAACAAAACTTAGAAGATTAAATTCCAGCGTTTCAGGATACTTGGAGGAAGATCTACACAAGAATCAAAGTATCGTAAATGTTTTAAGTCAGGATATTTTTTAACAGCCTCGGGTATAGCTCTGACTCAGTCAGGCTAACTTAATATAAATTGCTTAGTCTTATGTTCGATGCTAATGTAGTTGGTCTTATGCTAAAACATAGTAACAGTTCCTTGAAAATTTACAATTCTTATAACAATATTCAGGAAAGATGTATTTGCTCAAAGAGAACTGAATGGACGATGTGAATACCTTACTTTCTAGGATCTTAATCAGTTGCTCCAGTCCTTGATTGTCTCTCAGCATTACTCGGGACTCTTTGTCATTTGTGATGACACCCAAGGTCTTCAGAGCCAACAGCTGAATCACCGGGTAGTCGGACTTCAAGAGAGCTAACATTGGAGGGATGGCATTCAGGTCTTGAAGTGTAATCCGACATTGAAAATCCTGCCACGAGATACAAAGGACCAATCAGCAACGCTCCAAGATAAAAGACTTTCTGAAGAATGAAGAAATACTGTTCTCCAGCAAAGCATATGAGTAGTTTTAATTTTCTCAACTTCTGTTTCAAGCTACTTCCAAAATATTGAAAACAAAAAGGAGGAAATCCTCAACTGACAAAACCAATATTTATATTTTAACCATGCAGACCCTGTCAACAACAGGAAACACACATGATCTGTGACTTTTGTGGTGTCTGTCTTCGTAGCGTGAAATGAGGGTCTCAATTCTTAATTATCTTCATTCAAAAGGATTGTTTGTGAGGTACCTGTGTGCATGCCACGTGGCTAACAGGTCATATGCATGCGAATTGATAGGCAGTTTAGTTCAGCTACATGGTTATTTTATTTAAAAATATTATTTTATTAGATGATATAAAAATATCTGGAAGATAAATAGGATAACGTGATGTATCTTAATATGAATAACTTTGTTTTACTTTGTTGTTTTCCTTCACGGCACAACAGGCAGCGACTCCATGCCATTTCCTCTTTCATTATGTAGATGTCAGAATCCGTACACCACCCTCAGTCTTCCATAATAAAGTAAATTAACTCGCAGGTCATTATTTATAGTAAGCATCTATGTTTCTTTCTGCTTCACAAAGAGGACTTTTTTTTGTTCACAATTAGGTTAGTGCAAAAAGAACCAGTTTTCCCTATAGGATACTAGCACCGCTGGGGAAGGATCGGTTTGCTACCCCACTGTCCCAGCCCCTAGATGTGTGATTATCAAGACTTTTACAATATCAAAGGATCATTATAATCTAGAAAACTTGTTCTATGTGTTAATAATTCTGTGTTACTATTTGGAGTGTAGGGGTCGATTGTAGAGAGAGAGCAATGGAAAAAGCCATGAAGTCCAAAAACTTTTGATTACTAAATCATGACATTTTAAATAGTAATCTAGTAAATTCAAAACAAAAGGTGGAAAAGATTGTTTATGATTTAGCTTTCTTCTAGCCATCCTTCAGCTCACATGTGATCTTAAGTTTCCTTTAAATGAACAAAAACATTAGTTAGCTAGTAACAGGTTGAACTGGGTCCCCTCGTAACATGCATGGAGGCTCTGACCTCAGTTCCACTAAAGACACAATCAAGTCAGGATGAGGACATCCTGGATGGGCTTGGGCTTCCAGAGAGAGGCCCGGAGGGGGCGGGCACAGTGCTGGCATACACAGCACTCCTGACGATGTGGTGACAACCACCAGAAACCATCAAGAGGTAGGAAGGATTCCACTCCGTGTCAGAGGGACCACATTCCTGTCCACACCATTGTTTACAACCTTGAACTTCCAGAACTGTGACTGCGGTTTGAAGCCATCCAGTTTGTGTTACTTTTGTTGTCAAAGGTAATTGTTATTAGCTAGTGCTTCTGTTACTAAGAGCTGTGGAAGTGATGCTTTTCGTTTCTGCATGGTAAAAATGTATTTTTGATGCTATCAAGAGTCTTTTCAAATGGTGTTTTTGTGGGATCAGCACTGGGATATTGTGGCACAGTGAGCTGAGCCACTGCTTGCAATGCCGGCATCCCATTTGAAAGCTCAGGTTTCAACCAGCCCTGGCTATTGTGGCCCTGCGGTGAGTGAACCATCAGAGACAAGATCTCCTTCCCTCTATTTTTCCTTCTTTCTCTGACAATCAACCCTTCAATAAATAAATACATTTTCTTATATTTTCAGCTGATACAATGCTTATCGAATGTGCATAGTAATGGTTAGGGAAGAGGAGCAGGGAGAAGCAGAGCAGTGTTTCAAAATGTCACGAGGCTGTTGGGTGGTAGGGTGAGGGTACGGCATGTTGAATTGGGTCTGTGTTATCATGACCAATGTGCTGAGGTTGCCACAATAACAGAACTATAGGCTTCTCAGCTTCGGCATGAATGCTAGCCTTCCCTTTCAGAAAAAAAACACATTTCATCCAGTCCGACTCCACCTTAATTTGCATGCTATTTTATCCTTTTAAAATAGAAATACATTTCTCAGATCTTTTTCATGGGAGACAATCGCTTTGGAAATGTGATGTTTGGAACATATTTACACTAAACTTGCATGGTTTAAAAGTATTAAATAGAAATTAAACACTAAGCTCAGAGAAATGAATTCCCGGTGTCACACAGCAAAGTGAAGAGACAATGGCTCCCAGTAGCCTCGTACAAATTAGCTGCACAAACAGAAGCAAGAAACTGCGGACCTGGTGATCCTGTTGGTATGACTCTACACTGAACAACGAGGCTTGATAAAAAATTAAACAGGCACGTCCAATGAGCTGCAGTGTATGGAACCTGATCTAAATGGTTTAACCGGGCCCGGCGCGGTGGCGCAGTGGTTAAGGTCCTCGCCTTGCACGCCCGGGATCCCATACGGGCGCCAGTTCTATCCCGGCAGCCCCACTTCCCATTCAGCTCCCTGCCTGTGGCCCGGGAAAGCAGCAGAGGACGGCCCAAAGCCTTGGGACCCTGCACCCATGTGGGAGACCTGGAAGAGGCTCCTGGCTTCGGATCGGCATAGCATCGGCCGTTGCGCTCACTTGGGGAGTGAATCATGGGACGGAAGATCTTCCTCTCTGTCTCTCCTCTCTGTATATCCGCCTTTCCAATTAAAAAAATAATAATAAAAATAAATCTTTAAATGGTTCCACATTAGTAAATGTTTCCCTTCATTATAGGAAGGATGAGTTGGATTTATTATAGGAAGAAAAGTGGGCTACGGTGTGTGCACTGATATGATGAAAGGTGACCACCTGCAGTGACGTGAGAGCTCCGTGCCCTCTGTCATGTCTCCTGACTTGTCTTAGAAGTTTATCCTGCTTGCTAATTCCGGGGTATACCTTCTGTAATACATCAATTAACGTAAGTAAAATGATAAGATAATAAAGAATATTTACAAAGTCTGTGGATAACTGCTTCCATTAAGGTATTGTTAAGTTGTTAGATATGATTATGTCTTACACATTTAAAAAAATCTCATTTTTAGCGATGTATGCTGAAATATCTCTATGATATGAAATGACATAAATTGTTTTATAATAATTGACGAAGCTAGATATATAGGTGAAAGAAAATTACTGTGTTAATATATACTGAATCGGATTATGAAATGTTTATTTTAGGTTCGTACTTATGTTGCAAAAAAACTCAGTTTATACTTGAAAGCTTAAGTGAACAACATTTTAGAAAAAAGAGAGAGCAACAAAAAAGGGGTTTTGTAAGACGGACAGGTTTTTAAGTGTTTTCTTCTTAGAATTGGGAGAAACGTCTGATGTCATCTTTTGTCCAAACACTTTGCACGAATGCTTCTTACCTGCACCAAGTTGTAAAGGCTCTCGATGGAGTTCTTCTGAACGTCGGGGTCCGGGCTGTTCAGCAGTCTGATGAGCGGCTCTAACCCACCATGCTCACAAATTTGCACTTTCCCTGTGTACTCCACTGACATGTTTGCCAGACAAAGACTGGCAAATTCATGGTTAACCACGTCTTCTGTACACACACACAAACGAGAAAGACAAGCACGTGAAACACTTACTCAACCACTGCTGTTGAAATACGCTTTGAAAACTAAAGCACTGCAAATTTCACCTGCAGGTTTCTAAGTTCAAAGCAGAAATAAGTTCAAAATTGACAGACTCTGCAATGATCATTTCATGAACTCTTTTCAATAAGCTATCAAATGTAAAAAAAAAAAATAAACAAGCTCTACTTTAAAAACACATAAAGGATATGAAATTACCTTCTGGAGCGAGCTGGGAAATAACAGAATCCATGACATCTAACTCCCTTAACAATTTCTTAACATCATCTACACAGGGAAAAACAGAACATTCATGTTTATTATTGTTATGAATAAATGCAACATGCATTAGACAGCACTACTGGGATAGGTAATACCGTGATCTACTTTGGCAGTTAGGGAAACTGAGGCTCCAAGCGTGTGAAGTGATGGCCCAGGCTCCACGCCCAGGTAGTTCCTTGACAATTAGACTATAACACCTTTCAAAATACTAAAAGGTATAGACATGAAAGAATAAGTTGTGCCTAGATCAAATTCAAGTCAAGCTACTGTGTCCTAACAGTTGTTTATTTTATAATAATTCATTTTCTGCTTTTTTGGAGGGTATTTTTAAATTTTGATTTTAATAGAACTTACACAACGCAAATAAAATTATCTCCGCATATTTCAATGAATACATATTGATTGATCACTTTGTTTAATAGCTCAATGATGATTCCAGTTCACTGGGACACAATTGGTGACAAAACTGGCCAATTTATTATTCTGCCAGATTTGTTCTCGGCCATAGATCTCGTGCCTTGCAGTGTTTGCTTCAACCCAGCCTGGCATAACCCATCAGCCAGCTTGACCTTTGCTATCAGATGCTATAGCCCTGCCTGGCATAGCATGGCCAACACCCAGACCAAACTTTCACTGGTCAATGCTGCAACCTAGCCCTGCCCAGGCTGCCCCATCCCTGCCTTTCATGCAAACCAGTTGGAATGACAGCCTTGCCTGCCTCAGCATGGCCACACCCCATCCTGGCTATCATACATGCCAGTGTGCTATGGTTTGGCCTGGTCCTGCCTGATCAGCCCCTACAGAGCCAACCCACATACCTGCCGACAAGTGAAGCAGCCCTGCCCTGTCTGATCAACATCCAACCCTGACATAAGTGCTCACCAGCAGCCCACCAGGAAGTTCCCCAATCAGGCCCACTCCCAGACCAGATCTCACATGTGACAATGAGTGCTAAGCCCTTACCTGGCAGCCTGTTCCCTAGTGTCAGCCTTTATATGTGCTGGTGGATGTTGTGACCTGGCCTGCCTCACATGCAATTCTTGGGTGTGCAGGCAGATGCTGAAGTCTAGACCAGACTGGCCTGTTCCCAACCCCAGTTCCTACAAGTGTTGGTGAGTTCCATAGTCATACTTAGTTTAGCCTGTCACCACCCAACCCTTGAACAAAACAGCTGGTATGGCAGTCCTACAGGAGTGGGACCATGATCGCCTACAGAATCTGCTCCTCCCAGACCTGCTGCTTTCGTGAACTGGAAAGTGTCATGACCCAGTCCAACACAGTCCACTGCCTGCCCCGACACTCACTGGTGAGTAGAGCCCTGCCAGGCAGTCTCCCAGCTATGGCTTTTGTGTGCACTGGTAAGCAACAGCTGATACCAATGAGTCCAGCTTAGGTCTCCCACATGGGTGGGTGTATTGGTTTGGTCCCACTCAGGTACCACTCAGTCTCACACCCCCCCCCCCATTTATCTGGCAAGTGTAATAGCCAGGTTGGTGGAAGTCCCCCAAAGTCACTCCTCACCTGTCATGTTCTCCCTCAGCTGTCCCTTCTCCCACACATCTCCAGACCTACTTCTCTGAACAACCCATAATCCTCTGCCAGATCCTCTGGTGGTGTGCAGTGCCATCTGGGACCCTGTCTGCCTATCCAGCCCCCACTCATGTGGGGGTCCACTGTCTATTGCCAGCCCGGCATTTGTCCCTCATATATCTTAAAAATAGGCTACTATGCTGGTGCACTGGTAGTTAACACAAATTTGGCATTAATCAGGTCCAGAATGCCCACCGGCTGTCAGCTGCTTTTCTCTCAACAGTGTTACACCCTGCCTAGGTGCAATGCCGCTGGGGTGACATCCAAAATTTTAAGTGGTTTCAGAACTGTTAAAATCTTCACTTCCTAGAGTTTCTTCATAATAATTTGATTTTTAAAATAACTTCTCCTATTTACGGTAGTTTAACCCACAACAACTAAGACAGAAATCAACCCAGTGTCTACCAGCGGATGATTGGATGGAGCAGGTATGGTGCGGAATCACCATGGATTCAGAAAAATGAAATCCTGTCTTTTGTAACACAATGGAGTCAACTACAAACCATCTCACTTAGTGAAATGACAGAGTCCCCCAAAGATAAATAGCATATGTTTTCCTTGATCTCTAATGAGTAATGCACAGACTTGCTTTGTGAAAAAAAACCTGATGAGTAATTTAGATGTCTATCTTGAAAGACCCGCACAGACACAGCTCAGTTAAGTCTAGCAAAACAACCACAGAAGAGTGTCTTTTTGCAATTGCAAAAGGGAACTAGTGTTCCCATAGGAATCCTTTGTGCCTGCCACTCTGTTGCAACATCAGATTCATCCACCATGAACACTGACATCAATGAGTACATGAAAAACCCAAGATAAAGGTTTCTAAAAACCCATCAGATATCTTAAGATTGTCCAATGATTATAGTTTAACTGTGTATCTGTTATGATCATTCATTGCATATTAGGCTGAAAATGTGACCTTCACGTAGAGATCCAATAATAATTAGTTACTCATTTTTTTTGTTCAATGTTTTCTTGCATGAAGAATAAACAGCGAATAACATGGTTCTATAAGCATTTCTAAAGCAATTGGGGATTTATTTTTGCTTTATCAATATCATCAGATACTTCAAATACAAAGCAAACCAGATATTTCCAACAATGGTTTTTTACTTTTATCGAATTTCTGAATCAAAATAAACTTCTAGCTATTATTTGATAGGCTGGAGTTTTGGCGTGTAGATTAAGCCATAGCCTACAGGTTGGTATCCCATATGATTGCTGATTTGAGTCTTTTTTTAAAGATTTATTTATTTTTATTGGACAGACAGATATACAGAGAGGAGAGACAAAGATCTTCCAACCATTGGTTCACTCCTCAAGTGGCCTCAACAGCCACAGCTGAGCTAATTTGAAACCAGCAGGCAGGAGCCAGGAGCCAGGGGCTTCTTCCCATCTCCTACACGGGTGCAGGGTCCCAATGCTTTGCGCCATGCTTTACTGCTTTCCCAGGCCTCCAGCAGAGATCAGGATGGCAAGTGGCGCAGCCAGGACACAAAGTGGCATCCATATGGGACCAAGCCTATACAATTCTTTATTACGCATTTTCTTGATGTCTTCCTCAGTTACCTCTGAGGCTGACAAAAGCTTCTGCTCCTCTGAGGTGAGTCTTCAGTAATACTGCTTGTATATCTGTCTATTCTTTTTCTCTGGGTCATTGCTATTTTGGTTAGCAGATTCTTCTCCTTAGGGCTGGTTTCTAAGCTGTGCTGCTCACTGGTCTGCAGGTCAATTTTACTGATTGCGTTTGGTACCCAGTTCTTCACTTGCAATCACTTGTGCCTCTCCCTGTGTTAAGCTTCCACCATGGTCTCCGTAGCCCAGCTCCTGGCTCATCACTCTCCAGCCCTTGTCACTCTGCACTGTGGCTACATCCTGGTAACACAGGCTAAACCCAACTCCCGGCTCCAGCAATGTCCAAGATTAAGGATACACCAGCTGCCCTAAATCACTGGATGCTGGTCTTGATGGAACCTGCTGAAGGTCACCAGTACCTACTTTTTCTTAGAAACCGTAGGATGCCAAGTTGGTACAGATTTCCATGTGAGATCAGTGTAGTGTGCTCAGCTGGAACTGATTGTGCTTCTGGCTTAGTACTTGCACAGCTGTTTTCACTCTGGTCCCTCAGCCTTTGCTGCAGTGTGCAAAATAGTGCCTGAAGTCTTCTGGCTTAGTTGCATGCCCCTCTGGTCCTGTAACCTTTGTCACAGTGCATAAGCTGGTGTCTGACATGGCACTGGTGGGGTTTTGAGTCTGCTGGCTTCTAGGTCTGGGAGTCACCCAGAACTATTTTGCTTGGAACCCGTAGGATACCAAATTGGTACTGATTTCCCTGTAAGACCAATGCAATGCCCTGAGCCAGATGTGATTTCACTCCTGGTTCAGCACATGTGCAGCTCATTGCTGTCCCTTTGGTCCCCTCAGCCTCTGTCACAATGCATAAAATGGTCCCTGATTGCCCCGACTTAATGCGTGTGAGCTCATTGCAGGCTTTGCCACAGTACACAATGACAGCCAACGTAGCACGTTAGCATGTTTTTGTTTTTGATTGTAAAGTCAGTATGATAGTACTGCAGTTATTACATAGGTGATTCCTGAGATGAACTTACAAGTGATTCATAATACAAATGTCTACTGCCTTATTTATTTATTTATTTATTCTGTCTCTGTTGTCTCACATGTATACAGACTAGCACTTAACTCATAAGGCTTACATTATTTGGTACCTATTTAGAATAACGTCTGGCATACTGTAAGTGCTATGAACGAGTATCATTAACACAATCTAGCTGGTAGGACATGTCTGCATTATCCTGCTGCCAGAATGTTCCACGAGCCCTTGTACTACAGCAAAGCCACCACGAACACTCCTGAAAATCGCTGCTGTCTCCTAAGCATCTCAAAGAACTCTAGCTACGCCAGACACTGCAAGAGTCTGCATCGGACACTGCAAGAGTCTGTATCGGACACTGCAGGAGTCTGTATCGGACACTGCAAGAGTCTGCATCGGACACTGCAAGAGTCTGCATCGGACACTGCAAGAGTCTGCATCGGACACTGCAAGTCTGTATCGGACACTGCAGGAGTCTGTATCGGAGAATATATTGCACAGATGTGACACCAAATTCCCTTTTTTTTCTTCTTTCCATCCTCTGGTGTCTCCTTCTGAACACCACAGAATAAGAAAGAATGTCTCTCGTCATACAGAGACCAGAGCTTTTGTAGTGGTAGGGTTGGGGATAGCACAAAGAAGGGGAAGCAAAATACTTTTTTTCTACTAGACTATGATAAAGGGGGAAAGTATGATTTTTAGCCATGGTTGGTAATAGAGACACATATGTATGGCTGGAAATCTGAGTTTCATAGAATTCAGTATCATTTAAGATTTATTATAAGTTCAAGATCTTTTTTTGGGTGACTCCTAAACTGTCCTAATGATGTAGGGAATATGAACTACGTGCAGAAAGTATATCCTGTTAAGTTAAAGACTATAATGGTACGATTTTGGAAAAACTGATACCTCAACAGATATGAGTATGCTTTAATTAATATCATTACATATCAGATTAAAATATTCCAAGTAACTAATAGCTCTGATTTAAGGAATAAATGCACATTTAAATTTATTTTTGGAAAAAACACAGTTTCACTATGAAATATATATGAAGGGAAACTCAAGTTTAGGTAAAAAAATTATTTTTTAAAACAGTGGTTCTCCCAATTGGTAAGGTTGGTGCAAAACCTCCTCTAAAACTTTCATATAATTTTTAAGTTAAAATATCCTGTAAAATATGAAAGTGCATGATTTTGTATTTGACTGATTTCATATTTTTGTCATATTGAGGTTAGTCTAGACAATGCAGAAACGCATCTTTTAAGTTTAAATGGACAGTTATTCCACAAGATCGGTACTTACTGTTAGAAGTCAAGATGCCAAATATCATAGTAGCATTCCGTTTTACGATTTTGTCCTCGTGGATCAGCAGTTTAGTTAAAGGCTCCACAGCTCCAAGTTCAAGGAGAGTTGCTTTATTTTCTTCACCTGACATCACAGTAAAATTAAATCATACATGGATACCACCCAACTTCATCAGCACTCTTTGTGTCATTCTAATTTCTTACCTGCCATGTTCCTTTCGTGGTCTTCTTTGTGCCCCCTCTGATTCTCTAACAAGCTGGCTTCCTCTCTTCCTGACATGGGCTTTCTCTGCCCCATCACTTTTGTTTCTGGTGGTTTTTTTTTTTTAACATTCATTTTACTTTATTTTTTAATTGGAAAGGCAGATACACAAATAAAAGGAGATACAAAGAGAAAGATCTTCCATCTGCTGGTTCACTCCCCAGTGACCCCAATGGCCAGAGCTGAGCCAATCTGAAGCCAGGAGCCAGGAGCCAGGAGCTTCTTCCGGGTCTCCCTCGCAGGTGCAGGGTCCCAAGGCTTTGGGCCATCCTAGACTGCTTTCCCAGGCCACAGGCAGGGAGCTGAAAGGGAGGTGGAGCATCCCAGACACAAACTGGTGCCAACATGGGATCCTGGTGCTTGCAAGGCGAGGATTTAGCCATTGAGCCATCTCACTGGACCCATAGAGTATATTCATATTGATGATAATTAATCCATTGTAATGGATTTTAATAGTTTATACATTCAGCTTCTAAAGGAAATCGTATTAAGATTTATTAAGGCTGTTACTTAAAATGCATAACTGTTTGTGTGTATGTTTTTCCACATAGCTATCATTTTGTTTCTATTGTCATCAACAATTGATGCACATTCCTGTTGGGCCCCATGCTTGTCAGAATCTGATGATGCCAGTGCTTCAAACTTTAGCCATTCTAATGGAAAACGTAGCATCACTTCCTTCTTGTTGTAATTTTTGTTTCCTTAATAGCATGTGATGTGGGGTACGTTTCCACATGCTTATTCAACATATCTAAATCTTTGGTGATATTTATGTTTAATATCTGCTTTATGAGTTCACTTGTTAGGTTTTTTTTTTTTTTACCGCTTTTGTTTATTGGGACGTTGTCCATGTTTGTCCTTGGAACTGGTAGGTGCTATGATTTTTCTCTGTCTTGAGTGCATCCACATCAGTGTAGACTCATGGAAGTCCATTTCTTCGGGCTATGATCCAACATCATTTATTTGCTTGCTGAAGTTGTTCCAGCTTTGATCCTGGAAGTTCTTATAGTTACCACAACGGTAAAACTGAAATACAATCTTCACCTTGGCTATTGGAATTGCTTACTAAGGCATTCCTTAAGGTTAAGTTAGGCACTTAGGGGGATATATTACTTTCAGGATTGCATTGAATAATCTGATTGTATGAAATACTAAATCTGAGAGGAAACAATCCATTATATATGACGATTCTGACAAAAAAAAATTAATGAAAAAGAAAGATAAGCTGAAAAAAAATCCATACCTTTTAAAGCAAATTTGTAAATAGCTTCACATGCTTTTGCCAAAATTTCCTCTTCGGGAGAATTGAGCATCAGCACCACAGTTGCTGCATTTTTGCTCTCAATCATCAATGGATCAAACTGCAATGCAGAAAGAAAACTCAGCAGGTGTGCAAGGCAGCTTTAAAGTTTAGATGAGAACCATGCTGTCTTAAAGCTTAAACAGAATGCAATATTGAAAAATCTCATATGCCTATGCCATACTTGTACTGTTATGTCTTATCATAACAATATCTGGTAAGAAAAACAATTGACAGTTCCATGGTTTCTGTGGTATAATCGGAAGAGCAAAATGTTTTGGAATGCAAAAATACCTAGTTTTTCAAGTTAACCAGGTGGAATCAAATAGCATATCCCAAAGTGCCTCGAATGTCAGTTTCCTTTACTGTGTGGTGGGAACAATACTACACAGATCATGCCTTTAAAGCACTCAGCACAGAGCAGATGTAGAGTAGCTGCTTATTAATGATATATGCTTCTGAAAATCTTAGCTGACAAGAACCCTGATTCCTGGATGTATACCAGTATGCATATATATTGGTGCTCTGACAATCCAAATAATCAACAGTAGACTTTCTAGACTGTAGGAATTGTATGTTGTGGTAAAAAAAAAATGCAATAGAAAAAGCATGCAAAATAATATGAAACTTGCAACATGGGAAAATGAATTACAATGTAACAAAAAGCATAGAAATCTAAGAAATTCAGCATCTTGCAATTAAAGCTGGAGAATTGATGTGTAGTTAAAGTGAAAAATTAAATTTCCATGCAATTAATATGTAATTATATAAATTACATATAAATTGCTACTTAAAAATACCATATGTTCCCTGCTTTGAGAATTAGATGAGATTAAATAAAGGTTTCAAATACACCCAAAAATGAGATTTCTGGGAAATAAATGAAGAAAGAAATCTTCATTTATAGGAGGTTTTTTTATTCCTGGATATTTAAAATATCTAGGAATAAATTTAACCAAGGAAGTGAAGATCTGTAATATGAAAAATTACAAAACTTTGATCAAAGAAGTTCAAGAAGATACAAAATAGGAAGACAGTTCATATTTGTGGAGTGTGAGAATATTGTTAAACCATTGATAATATCCAAAGCTGTCTGTCTACGTGTTCATTGTGACTTATATCAAAATAGCAATGAGATTTTTAATGAACTACAGAAAGCAATGTCAAAGTTTGTATGCAACCACAAAATACTTTAAACAGCCATGCTATCCTGAGCAGAATCATGCTAGACTTCAAAAAGTACTACAAACCTATAGTAAGCAAAACAGCACAGCACTGGCAGAAAAACAGCCCCAGCTTGACTACATCAAACTGAAAAGCTTCTGAGCAGAAAAGGAAATAATAAACATAACAAAACAGACACCCTACACAATGCCAGACAATACTAGCAAAGTGATCAACTTTCAAAATATATAAAAAACTCAACAGCAAACAGACACATCAACCAATGTCAAATGACCTTAATAGATATTTCTCAAAAAAGAGGCCATTCAAATGGCCAAAGGAGCAGGAAAAAAATGCTCAAAATCATTAACAATCAGGAAGATACTAACAAAACCACAATGAAATTGCTAAAATGGTTACTAGAAAAAAACACAGAACTTGAAGCAGGCTGGTAAGGATACAGAGACGGCGCAATTGTCACACTATTGGTGAGAATGCGCATGAGCACAGCCATGGTACAGGGTATGGTTTTTGATGATTAGCATATGATTCGTCAATCCCAGTACTGAGTACGAATACAAGTGAGACAAAACAAGTATGTTGAAGAGACACCTGCGCTAAAATGTTGTGGCAGCAAGATCCACAGCTGCAGATGAATCGGCAAATCAATATGATATATATCCACAACGAAAGAGCCACAGAAAGAATTTCTGTCGTGGAACTGGATGACACTTTGTCACATGAAATAAATCATGCGCACAAAGTCTGATCTCTCTTACGTGAAGAGATGAACCTGATACCAACGACTTACGGAGCAGAGCCTGTGAGAGCCTGTAGGCTGAGCCTGTTGCCACGGCCTTAGACCAGCCACCTTGCTGTGGGAGAGGGGAGTTGGAAAGATGGTGGCTAATGAGTGCAGGCATAAAGTTGGGGAGCGCAGTAGGATACTGTGGTTTGTCAACAGTGACCGAATATTTCGAAATAGGTGCTAGGATCTTAAAGCTCCAATACAGAGAAAGTACATGTATGAAGTAATGTTTGTACATGAATAAAGTAACTCTGCATTATCACACACTCTAGACACATATTTAAATACACATTGTAACCCATATACACACACAATTACTATAAGTTACTTAAAATCTCTTTAACTTTTTTTAAAATGCTGTGAAAGTTGAGTTAAAAGCCAATCATGAAAACAACCAAATTGGGTGCAAATGATCTAACATTCCTGAATAGATATTACCAGACTGAATAAAAAGCTCACATATAAATTATCCTTGAAAAAACTCACTTAATAGAAATACCCACATAAAACAGAAAAGGTGGAAATCATGCAAACATTAATCATAACAAACTTGCAGTCCCTTTGTCAGATAAAACACACTGCACTAATTGGACTAAACATTAATAAGCAAAAAATTCAAACGTAATAATAAAAAAAGGTTCATTTTAGGAAGAACATGTTTCTAAATTAGTTAGCAAATTACATAACTTATGAAATAAATGAAGAAAAATGGTACTATACAATGACATTAAAAAATCAATGAAATACTCAGATACAAGTTTTGCAAAATTAAAAACAATGCAAGATGGTTGAATGGTGAGGAAATGCATTGATCTTAGTCAGATGAGGCAGGGGGAGAGAGGGAGACAGAGAGAGACTAGAGAACAGAACAGACACTCTGGGACAGACACACTGTGTGGCCAGCTGCACGGTTGAAAAGTACCATCTCCCCAAGTCCACATGAGAGTGATGCACTGCATCACCCACTTCTGGCACCTTTAACTGAGGGAGAACTCCTCGGCCCCTCACTGATTTTACTCTCACTTGGAGTTTTGACTGGAGTCTGAGTGCATTTACATGGCTCCAAAAAGGAAAGACACATTGCCTTTATTTCTGCAAAGCATCAGATCCAATTGGCTCTGTAGACACACAACTGCCGTCTGATCCAGTGATAGCAGAAGTGACCGGAACCAGAATCGGAGCCACTTACAGAATGGAGAGCATGCCCCATTCACGGTGCAGCTCTGAGAGTTCTGGACACTCACAGTGGAGCTGCGTTCACTCCCTACAGGATCTTGAGCGGACTCCCCTCAGCTTCTTCCAGGCAGTACTAGCAGAAGCCCATAAAACATGGACCCAAAGTAAGGGAGTTGCTTCAGTACTTCCCAGCTTAGGGTGCCAACAGCCCCAGTCACACATTCTAGCAAAATCTTTGTGCATTATTAGACAACTGACATTAGCTTTTTCTGTGTTTTACGATACCAAGACTCTTGCTGATCCTCCACTCCACCCATTTGCATCACTCTGCTTCTCCCAGACCTGGCTTCCGCTCTGGGCAATATGGGTGATGATCTCACTGTACATTTAGAAATACAGCGATCACTGCTAGGTTCCTCAAAGCTCCTGGAATCTATCTGATGGGACCTAGGGATGAGGCCGCCTACCCTCTACCTTCCCAGACACATACCTGCCAGTGAGAAATCTCTTACATGCCTTGTCATCATCTTGCGGGATTGGAACAGGATTTTATTTATATCCCCTAGTTCCAGGATTAGTGCTGTTCATGTCATATGCCCCAGCACAATTACCCTCTATCATCAGGACCTGAGAACTGCCCAAGCACATGACATACACCTAGACCTGTCGTTACTACCCTAAGTCCCAGGTGAATCATGCTTGCAGTGAACTAGGCAAACTGCACCACACACACACCTGACTACCACACACTAAGTGTGACTAACACCGACTTCTTAGGGTCTCACAATACACACATTATGAAGCCCGCAGTCACCTCCAAGACACAAACCGCTAGACCACTGTCACTTATAAATACAGCCAACAATGATTAAAGCGTAAAGAAATCACTCAGATCACTTTGGTTTCATCTACAGAAAACCAAAGCAACACGTCAACTGACACCCTTCATTCCATCAAAATCATGAACTCTGACAATAAACCTATTCCAAGAAGAAGGCGGCAACAAAACAAACTGTTAGCCAGACTAACAAGCAAAAAAGAAAAATAATTACTTTGTGTTCATATTAACAGCAATGAAATTTGGCAGCAAAATGTGCAGTAATGCAAACCTACAATGTACTGAAAAATTAAGTGGGATTCTGCAGCATTTTAGTGGTACATCTGAAGAAAAGTAGCCAGACTGGCAAAACCAGGTCACTCTCAGTCACTATTTGTGACTACGATGACTTCTGGGGTCTGAGATGCAGGAATTGGAGTGATTCTAAGTAGCTCCGATCCATCATATACCAAGCACCAAATAACTTCAACTTCAATTCAATAATGGAAAGCGTTAGGATGCTGCAATGTTTACTTGAGGAAAGCATCTTGGAAGTGCTGAAAGATTTTGGCCTAAGCATACGCTTCTTGAATAAGACACTAGACGCACAGGCTGAAGCCAGGAGACCATAAGGCAATCCAGGCACACAAGAATGGCAGGGACCTGATTACTTACATAATCACTGCTGTTTCTCGGCGTATGAATTAGCAGGAGGCTTGGAGGAGGAGCTGAGACTGGACTCTAACCCTGGCACACTCACATGGCATGCAGGCGTCCCAACTGGTGTCTTAATCACTAAGCCAGATGTCTACCCCCAAAACAACTATTTACTAACTTGGGCATGAATGTAGCATTAAATGGAAACACTTAAGAATTGCTCTCCGGTTCTGATAATTAGAAATGACAACCTGGTAAATGTTTGGTTTACGTAATGCCAGATTTCCGTGACTTACCCGTAATCAGTCTATGGACTTAGGGCACCATGTGGATTTCTATACATCCTGCTATACCATTTGAGCAATTTATTTTAAAAACCAATATTAAAGTGCTAGCATTACAATCATCAACTTACCACATCCTTCGGAGAAGGCTCTACTTCCTTTTTAATTTTTTTACCCATCCTGGAAAAAAGATAAAGACACAAAGGATGATTTGGGCAATATGTGTACAAATCTCCCAGACACTATCATTCTTTGGAGGAAGTGTATTTCCTGATTTTCATTTATACATGATAGAAGACAATGCAGCAACTGCAGAAATTTTTACCCATGTAAGGATATGGTACCTACATCCCTACGTTCAGATCTATAGTTTTAAAAACCTGGTGATCTGATTTTCAGCATTCACCTTGGTCTCCAATCTTGATTACCAAATTTTACTCACATGACAGAAATTTGCTATCATACTTTTATTCTACTTATGTTGGGATTGGGATGAGATATAGAATAATTCTGAGATCTGCAAGAATACCCTATAGAAGGCAGGGACAGTGATTCACTCTCTTCCCAAATGCGTGCAATGGTCAGTGGGCTAAATCTGGGATCCAGGAATTCCGTGTCTTCCAGGTGAATGGCAGGAACCAATTGCTTGAGCTATCACCGTTCCTTTCTGGGGTCTGTCTCAGCAAGAAGCTGGGATCTAGAGCCTGAAGCCTTCCAAAGTGGCATGTGACATCTTAACTAGAAATTAATGACTGGGCTAGACATGGTCTGATCACAGTTTCTGGAATTATGTTTGGCACTGGTGCAATCTCAGGATACTTTTTGCTTCACATAAATACGTTTTTCACAAAACCTGAGTAGACAATCTTTACAGAGAATACAATGTCAAGGTTAACTCAAAATGCTTTGAAAGAGTCAAAAGCAACTGCTATCATTGGATATGCTAATCAGAATTTACGAGGAATATTTGTCGGAGTCGAAAATGGGGAAGGATGAAAAGAGAGAGGGGAACCCTTATGCCTTCAAAACTGCATCATAAAAATAACTTTAAAAATAATAAAAATAAATAAAACAGGAAAGAATTTAACACTTAGAGATCTGCAGATTCACAGACTCTGGTGGGGAAATCTGAAGGACCTTTTTGTCTTCAGGTGACTCCAGACCACACGCATTTGAAGAGCTCTGAGAGTCGGGGAAAGCTTCTTCAGTGGTATACTACCTTGCAATAGACGCAACATGCTAAGATGTATGAAAGTTCCCTATTAAATATCACTTTCATCATAAAAGGATTGAAATTTGTATTTTAAAATGCCAACAATCGGTGTGTACATTTGGGAATTCTTGCAATGCAAGCTGAGAAAATTGTTTTCAAATGTAATGGTAAATTTGATATATTTATACGATGGATTTATTTGAAAGTTAGTTACAGAAAGAGAGGGAGAAGGACGGAGGAGAAAAAAGAGAGATCTTCTCCCTGCTGCCTTACTTCCCAGTGGCCGCAATAGCCAGGGTTAGGCCAAGCAGAAGGAAGGAGCCACGGGCTTTACCCATGACGCAACCATTGAATAGCAGCACAGTGTTTATTTAACATCGGCTTTTCCATCCTTCCCACAGCTCAACCATCTTTCACAACAAGCAAATGAAAAATGCACAGGTCCTAAGCATCACGCCTAAAATATTTTAGACAGACGCATAGAAACTATTTTGGGCAAATGAGATTCTATCACATAATGATTCTTCAGGAATAAATAAGATCATAGATTTTATAACTAATCCCAAGATTTAACAACTTTTACTTAAAAAATAATTCTATAATATTTGAGAAAGTAGTTCAGTTACACTTGCATCTAATTGTCATTTACCAACGATTTCTTCCTATTCCAGAATAGTGCCTTCGAGTGGCTGCATGATCGGGAGTGCAGAGGCTGGAGCTGCTTAGCGAACAGAACTTGCAATAGCGGAGTTGGTGCCAGGGAATCCTGCGACACCAGAAGCGCTGTGTGTTTTATCGCTGTGTTGGGTCTAACAGGCAAGATGGAGACAGGAACTCGCTGATACAAGACAGATGCAAGGAGCTCTTGAGATGAAGCTGTGTTTCTTACAAGAGCAGTGCATTGCATTGTAAAGGATTTGGAGACCAAAAAGTACAAGCCATAAAAGTCCTTCCTGGGTAAGCTTAGGAAAGTGCCATTTTTATGCGGTTCTGTGTGTGTGTGTGCGTTCGGAGTCACTGTGCCATCGGTCCTCTTTTCTATCCCTTATTCTCACCTTCTTGCTTTGGAATCATTTCCCTAACAAATCCTGAAACGATGCGACAAACTATTGAATCCTAAGGGTCCATTTCCTGCCTTAATCATCTCCAATGGAGTAGCATATTACGCCATTTGAATAATAGCTTCAAGTCCATTATACTCCGATTTTCTGGGATGATTAAAGTTGCCATGTCCGACATCCACGGACACAAGTTCACTCTCAAAGGTGACTGTTTCTGTAGGACGTATTTCGAATATAAAAATAGTGAAAAGATTCAGGCCATTGGAAGACAGAATACGCTTTAAATGGGCATCCTCCGGACTACTAGAGTCACAGTCCACCCCGCCCCACCCCCGTTTTTAGTTCTCCTTCCTGTATTTCGACTACAACTTCAGTATTTTCTAGCAGAGATGTGTCTCAAAATGGCTCAAAGGGGAGAAAGAAGACTCGGGCAAGTCGGGACCCACTTGCCAAGTTGCTATCAAGAAATGTAATCTCAGACCCTAGATCCTCTCTTGGGGTCTCACTTCGGCCATCCCAAATGGGAAACTACAGAAGGCCCAGGAAACCCACTGGACTCTTGCTTGACAAGGCGGGGCTCAGACAGGATCAGCCCCGAACTGTCCGCTCAGTTCCCCCAGCAGGCGCCCCCAGATGACCCTTCTCCTTTGGGTAATTTTTGTCGGAGCCTTTGCCTGGGTTGTTCCAATCGGCGGGACCTGCCTTTACCTGCCAAGAGGTGCCACGGAACCGGCTCTGCAGACCCAGTGCAACGCTGGCAGCTAACCGCCTGCGCATCCCAACCCAGTGTTGTTCTCCGTTGCTAGGAGACGCCCTGACCCACCTCTTAACTGCCGCTGTCCAGGGTTGCTAGGTGACCGCTCGCTTCAGCAAGCAGCTCGCTTTGCGGACTGATCGCTGGAATTATCGATCAGTACCGAAAGAGTGCAGTGCGTCCTCAGATCGCCGAGGCCATGCTCTGGGGCCGAGGGGACGTTCGGAGCACTTGCTGGTTGTGCAGGGCCAGCCTGGCGAGAACTGTACATGAGCTTTTCTCTGGCTGTGGGTTCAAACACCGGGGACTCACGGCGCTTTCCCGACAGAAGTGTGGGCTGTGGTCTCCTGTGCAATTCCTGCTCAGACTCTGCTCAGTCCCCACACACCAGGCTGTTCAATCGTCACAAATGTAGTGCTGACTCTTGAGCAACCTGCTGGAGTCCCCTCCTTCTTTCTGCGAGGATGCCAAATGTGGCCGGATAAATCACTTGGCTGGCATATCCTGTTATCTCCTCTCTCAGGTCCTGTCGTCCAGCCCAGGTCAGCATTTTTGGTCCTTTAGCTGATGAATTCAGTACCCTTACCCTTGCAGTTCTTCCTGCCTATTGCAGACAGTTGAACCTTTAAAAAACATCGCTTCTTTCTGGTCAAATGCCTCGCAGCGGCCTCTTACGATGACATTTAAACACGTTTGGCGTTCAAGGCTGTTTGCCCCATCTATATTCTTTCTGTTCAATCTTCCCTCCTTCATTCTCCATTTTTTAATACTTAATTCTATGTTAATGCTATGTTAATACAAAGACAATAGACTCAACGCAGTTCTTCATCAAATTCTAAGAATGCAATATTTCTTCTTTTTCCTTCTTTCCTTCCTTCCTCTCTCCCTGCCTCCTTCATCCCTTCCTTCTTTCCTTCCATCCTTCCTTCCTTCTCCTCTCTGTTTTAGTTTTTGAGGTTATGTGTCTCTAACTAATATTACAACCAAGGGCTTATTGATTCCTTAAAAAGGGAAATAAGAAGTTTAGTGGTGATATAGGCAAGGCCTATAAAAATACTCAAGTGGAAGGATGACCACTTCATTCATATGCAATAAAACTTTAAATAATCATAGATCATTATAATGAACTATAGCATTCTTTTGCTTTTTTAAAAACCTAGGCTAACACAGTCATTTAACATTCTTAAACATTGGCTTGACAAATAAATATATCAAAATTTGACAAATAATTGCAGCAACACTGATACACACAGGTATTTCCTGTTGCTGATTTTTGACTTTGTAAGTTTTAATTTCAGCTGCCACATAAAAAGGAGAATATATGTTATTTGTCTTTCTGCGTCTGACTAATTTGGCTCAAACTTATGAACTACAATTGCATCTGTTCTGGCATAAATGGTAGAATTTTATTCTTTCTTTTTCTTTTTCTTTTCTAATTTTTAAAATTTTGCTTCTTCTTTATTATTGCTATTTTATGATATAGTTCCATAGGTCCTGGGATTTCCCTTTTCCCCTCCTCAATTCCTCCTTCCTCCCTGAGTCCCGCTATATTATTGCTATTGTGTAGTTCTTCATACACAGTCATTTGTCCATCATTGCGGGTATAGACAATGGCAGAGAGTCCAGCATCCTATTGTCAAGATATAGTGAACGGTTTCATTGGAGGTACATCTTTGTCTGGAAGTAGAGATGCATACTGCATTGTATCCTCACATCTGGATATGATAGTCTCCATTACAGTTACTATAGATCCCCTTAAATGAAAAGCCACAATACAAAATCAACTACAGGAAGAAAAAGAGAAATTTACAATGCCATGAAGTTAAATAACATGCCACAGGATATGGCAGTCTTCATTTTACAGTTACTATACATCCCCTTAATGAAAAGCCACAAAACAAAATAAACAGCAGGAAGGAAAAAAGAAATTAACAACACCATGAAGTAAAATAACATACTATGGAATGACTAATGTGTCACTGAAGAAATGAAAAAGAAAATCAAGAACCTTCTTGAAGAAAATGATGCTACTCTATGATCTATGAGTCACTGAAGAATTTAATCAGAAGAAAATGTTTTGAAGAGATGAAACTAACAAAAAATCTAATCTATCAGATACGCTTTCCACTGATCTTTGTTGGCAAAATGTGT